TTATTGGTTTAGAGTCTGTGGTTCGTGCGCTGTTATATTGGGGCATGCGAGATAGTGCATCTGCCAGGAAGTTCTTTCTCCCTGGTAAATGTTTGAGCTTAAATTGGAACTAGTGAAAATGCTGGGACCAGCGGGCTTGTTTGGGATTGAGCTTCCTGGGCGCTTTCAGGGCTTCCAAATTTTTGTAATCAGTCCACACCTGGAAGGGGATTTTGTTGCCTTCCAGGAACTGTCACCACGTGAGTAATGCCCAATGTATCCCATAAGCCTCCTTCTCCCATACGGGCCAGCGCTGTTCTGTTTCCGTGAGTTTCTTGGATGTATATGCACAGGGTTGCAATACCCCTTCATTGTTTTCTTGTAATAGAACAGCCCCCACTGACACATCACTTGCATCTGCCTGTATTACGAAGGGCTTGTCCATGTCTGGGTGCCTTAGTACTGGTTCGGCAGAAAAAAGTCTCTTTAGTCTCTCAAAGGCTGCTTGGCACTCCATTGTCCATGTTAGTGGCTGGCTAGGTTTTACTGAGGATGCTCCCTTCATTTTTAGTAAATTAGTGAGGGGCAAGGCTATCTGGGCAAATGAGGGGATGAATTGGTGGTAAAAGTTTGCAAAGCCCAGGAAACTTTGTAGTTGCTTTCTTGTGCGGGGTGGTGCCCAATCTAATACTGCTTTGACCTTCTCTGGGTCCATTTCAATGCCCCGGGGGGATATGCGATAACCTAGGTAGTCTATCCTTTCCTGGTGGAATTCGCATTTTGAGAGTTTGGCATATAGGTGGGCGGCTCGCAGCTTCTTTAAAACTGCTCTGACAAGGTTGACATGTTCCTCTTTTGTTTCAGTGAAGATAAGAATGTCATCCAAGTAAACCAGGACCCCCTTAAACAGGTGCTCCCTTAGAACGTCATTGATTAATTGCATAAAGACTGCAGGGCCCCCTTGTAATCCAAATGGCAAGACTTTGAATTGATAGCACCCCATGGGGCAGTTAAATGCAGTCTTCCATTCGTCCCCTTCCTTAGTAAGCTTCCCTTAGGTCTAGTTTAGAAAAAATTTTCCCTTTCGATAGGTGTGACAGCATGTCTTTCGTGAGGGGCAGAGGGTATAGGTTGCTTTCACTGATTGTATCCAGGGCCCTATAATCCATGCATAAACATAAAGAGCCATCCTTCTTCTCTCCAAAAAGGACCAGGGCAGCCACTTTAGGCTTGGCTGGCTCAATGAAACCTCTCTCTAGGTTTTTTTTTAATGAATCTTTCCATTTCCTCCTTCTCCTTTGGGCTCATGGAGTATAATCTGGGCTTCGGGAGTTTTGCCCCAGGCTTGAATTCAATGGTACAGTCTGTGGGTCGGTGGGGGGGAAGCTCATTCGCCCTCTCCTCACTGAAGACTTCAGCAAAGTCTCTATATTCCTCTGGTATTTCTGTTAATCTTTTTTCCTCTCCTATGGATGCTTTTTCTATTCTTGATTCTGGTAGCCTCCCTTGGGTTTTTAAGTCCATAGGGTCCCCCTTCGGGAATTTGATTTCTGTCGTCCTCCAATTTACCCAGGGGTTCCATTTTTTCAACCATTCCATCCCTAGAATCATTGGGCATTCCATACCTGGGGTCACCACAAACGTTAAGTCCTCTTCATGGTTGCCCAGGGAGAGGTGTATTGGCAGAGTGGCTAGGGTAGCTGGCACCCCCCCTGCTATAGATCCATCTAGCTGGCCAAATGAGATTGGTTGTTCCAGTCTCCTGGATGGGATGCCCAGAGTCCCCACTAGTGTTGGGCTAATGAGGCAGCGGGTGCAGCCAGAGTCTATTAAGGCTTTCACCTTCACAGCTTCGGGCATGGGGGGATTAATATAGTCACTGTCTTGAGGATGGGTGTGATGTGTCCACTTACCAGAGGTTCGCCCTCCAAGCTGTCATCTGAGGCATCCACCGGCTCTGTGGTGTAGGCTGGAGTTCTTTCCCCTTGTTGAGCAGAAGTGGGGGGTTCCGCAATTTCCATCATTCTCATGGCAGTTTCTTTTGGCTTAGCTGAAGACTTTCCGGATTTGTTGATTGGGGATCTGTCTGGGTTGTGCTGGGGGGCCTTTGAGCAGCATTCTACAGCTCGATGCCCTTCTCTTCCGCACTTGAAACACCCCATTTGCTTCTTGGCTGTAGCCAATGATTTCACCGGTTCGTGTGTCAGCTCAGGCGGGAGGCAGCTCCATTGTTTTCCTCGGCGGTGTCTCTTCAATATGTCGATCTCTGCTTCCTCTGCCAAGACGTACCATTCCTCAAGTTGGTGTGGGTCCCCTCGGGGCAGGCAAGCATCATATAGATCATAATTTAGTCCGTCTTTGAAATGGCCAAGGAGCATGTCTTCTGGCCAGTTCAGTTTGCTGGCAATGGCCGGGAATTCTTGTGTATATTCAGCCACCGGGCGTTTGCCTTGCCTCATCGTTTTTATCCTTTCACGGGCTTTGCGATCAGCCAGGGGGTCTTCAAATCGTCTTCTCAGAAAGGACATGAAACGGTTGAAGTTACTGAGTTCTGGGGCATTGGAGTCATGCAAGTTCACCACCCAAATCTGCAGCCGGTCCATCCAGGGCAGATTGCACGATCCAGATGCGGGCTTTGTCACTGGGGATGTCCTGCCCATATTCCTCCATGTAGCTGAGGACTTGGGTTAGGAAAAACCCCAAGTGTGTTGGCTCCCCTTTGAATTTCACCTCCAACGGTGGACGTCTTGGAATGGATCGGTGCCTCCGTTGTTGGTGGTAGTGTCTTCTGTCCAGATTGCCATCTGTGGTCCGGTAGGGGGTGGGGGCTACTGGATCAGTAGATGTCCCCGGGGTTGCAGGTTCCACGTCCCCCTCGGTGTCTCTCCCTTTGCGGCTCCAGGAGCTGGTGTGGCCGTAGGGCTCAGGATTCTCCTCTCCTAGGGAGCTGAGAGTTCTCTTCATCAGGTCAATAGCTTTCTCTAGGATCCAGTCTGAGTACGGTGCCCAGCTTTCTCCTTCTTCACTTGCGTGCAGGGATTTCTCCATCTCCTGCTTCCATTCTGGTTGCTTGGTCTCCCGTCTCAGGGTCACCTTTCTTGATTCCTTTCCCCACTCACTTTTCTTTCCAACGCCCATTGACCAGCGAGGCTTGTGGTCCCGTGTCTCCACCACTTCTTCTCCTGAGGAATCTGACCTCTCGGATCCCAACATCTGACGAGGTTCCAATTTGGTCAGCGGCTCTCTTTCCAGGGAGTTTTCCCCCTCTCTTGCTCCATTGTCTGACATGGTAAATTTTTTGCAAAATCCCCCGGCAAGGGTCTCCCTTCCAGTTGGATTAATTTTGCAAGTCCTGTCTAATGTAAGGACCCACCCCACTTTGCATCTTAAGAAGACAGAACTCTTGGAATAATTCTTCCAACAGGAATCCTTTATTAAGAGAAAATGGTTGCAGGCGTGCTAGACAGGACTTGGGGTTCAAGCTCTCCCATTCAAGGTTTTAAGGGGTTCCCCAGTAGCCCCACCCAATCACCCCCTTCTTCCAGCGACAGTCTCAGGCATTACACTCCCACCCCCTTTTCCTTACTGCCCGGCTGGATGGAGACTTCAAAGAAATTACATGAAAGGAAAACAGCCCCATTCTTATGGTTAGTTCTTTTGCAATACACACATTCAGTTCCTTAGAAGTCTACTGAAGGAAGTGAGGGCCATAAAGCCCCTTTGTTCTCCCCCTTCTCTCCCTCTTATGGCAGAATCCAGAGAAGGCAGAATTGGGGTTTTCTATATTTGATAACTAAAGATGAAATATAATTGGATTCTGACAATATCCCTGGCTTGGTTCACTCATGAGGCTAACAATCATGGCTGACTGAATGTCTCTGAAGATTCTCTGTCATCCAGGCCAGGGTTGTCCCCCCCAAAAAGATGCTTTTTTTTCCAAAAGGCAACTGGATTTTCTCTTGGTTTTTTTTTCCTTTGAAAACATTTCGCTTCTCATCCAAGAAGAGTTTTGGATGAACTGAAAACAGAAGAAGTGAAGTGAAAGGTTTTCAAAGAAAGGAATCGCAGGAGGTCCAGTTGCCTTTTTGGAAAAAAAGAAGAAAAAAAAAGCACCTTTGGGAGCTAGCCTAGCTGACGGCATCAAGCAGAATTGTCTGCCTTCCTCCCACATTGTGCTACGAAGCCCATTTTACAAACTGCAAGCAGCCAATAAAAGAGAATATTTGCAGCTCAGGGCTGAAAGAAGAGGTCCTGGGTGCTCTCTGAGCTGGGTTGTTGTCTTCTTGCAGACGTTTCATTACCTGGCTAGGGAACGTCATCAGCGCTAGAAGGCGCAAACCTCAATCCCTTCTAGCGCTGATGACATTCCCTAGTTGGGTTGTGAAACATCTTTAAGAAGATGACAACCCAGCTCAGAGAGCAGCCAGGACCCCACACCTCTCCTCCTCCTCCTCCTCCTCCTCCTCCTCCCCGCAAACCTAACTCCCTTCTAGCACTGATGACGTTCCCTAGTTGGGTCATGAAACGTCTGCAAGAAAACAGCTCAGCTGAGAGAGCACCCAGGATCCCACAGCTCTCCTCCTCCTCCTCCTCCTCCTCCTCCTCCTCCTCCTCCTCCTCCTCCTCCTCCTCCTCTCCACAAACCTAAGTCCCTTCTAGCACTGATGATGTTCCCTAGTAGGGTCATGAAATGTGTGCAAGAAAACCAGCCAGCTCAGAGAGCACTAGGGACCCCACAGTCCTCTCCTCCTCCTCCTCCTCCTCCTCTTCCTCCTCCTCCTCCTCCTCCTTCCTCTCTCTCTCTCTCTCCGCAAACCTAACTCCCTTCTACCACTGATGATGTTCCCTAGTTGGGTCATGAAACGTCTGCAAGAAAACAGCTCAGCTCAGAGGGCACCCAGGACCCCACAAACTGCAAGAGGTGTGTTCACACATCCTTCCCAGACTCTCCCCGACTTGCCCCCTCCCCCAATCCTTTCCCACTTGCATCACCTGGAACTAAACCTCAGTTCTCTCCGCAGGTGAACAGGGGTCGGTTTCCATGTTCCCCCTCTTCCTTCTAGATCACAGCTTCTCTCCCCAGAAGCTCGGCTTCTGGAACGGGATCGTGGCCACCGCCTTTTCCATTACAGGCTCTTCCCTGGGGGGCCACCTGGTGTCAGACAGCAGGTAAGTGATGGAAAGTCCTTTCTCTGTTCCCTAGGAATCTCTCCCTGGGGTGGTGGGACTTTGAATCCAGCATCCCCAAGAAGACGGGTGTATTTATTCCCTTTCTTAAACTGCTCCTCTCTCTCTCTCTCTCTCCCTCTCTTTCTCTCTCTCTCTGTCTCTCTGTCTCTCTCTCTCTGTGTCTCTATCTGTCTCTCTCTCCCTCTCTCTCTCCTTCTCTCTCTCTCTCTCTCTGTGTCTCTGTCTGTCTTTCTGTCTCTGTCTTTCTCTCTCTGTCTCTCTCTCTGTGTCTCTCTGTCTCTCTGTCTCTCTCTGTGTCTCTGTCTGTCTTTGTCTGTCTGTATGTCTCTCTCTCTCTCTCTCTCTTTCTCTCTCTCTCTGTGTCTCTCTCTGTCTCTCTCTCCCTCTCTCTCTCCTTCTCTCTCTCTCTCTGTGTGTCTCTGTCTGTCTTTCTGTCTCTGTCTTTCTCTCTCTGTCTCTCTCTCTGTGTCTCTCTGTCTCTCTGTCTCTCTCTGTGTCTCTGTCTGTCTTTGTCTGTCTGTATGTCTCTCTCTCTCTCTCTCTCTCTTTCTCTCTCTCTCTGTGTCTCTGTCTGTCTTTCTCTGTCTCTCTCTCTGTCTCTCTGTCTCTCTGTGTGTCTCTGTCTGTCTTTGTCTGTCTGTATGTCTGTCTGTCTCTCTCTCTCTCTCTCTTTCTCTCTCTCTCTGTGTCTCTGTCTGTCTTTCTCTGTCTATCTGTATGTCTCTCTCTCTCTCTCTCTCTCTTTCTCTCTCTCTCTCTGTGTCTCTGTCTGTCTTTCTCTCTCTGTCTCTCTCTCTGTGTCTCTGTCTCTGTCTCTGTCTCTGTCTCTCTCTCTCTCTCTCTCTCTCTCTCTCTCTCTCTCTCTCTCTCTCTCTCTCGTCTTTGACAATTGCCCCTGAGGGAGGGGTAATATTTCCAAGAAAGGAGAATGTTTCTAGCTCTGGGTTGACAGGAGGGGTCCGTGTTGTTCTCTGAGCTTGCCGGCTTCCTTGCAGATGTTTCATGAGCAGACTAGGCATCGCCATCAGTTCCAGAAAGGAGTGCAGTTGCCTCTTCCAGCACTGAGGAGGTTACCTAGTTGAGTAATCAAATTCCTGCAAGAAAACCATCCAGCTCAGAGAGAAGCAAGGACCCCACAGTCCTCCTCCTCCTCCTCCTTTCCTCCCCCTCCCTTCCCCCCCTCCCCCTCTCCTCCTCCTCCTCCACAAACCCACTCCCTTCTAGCACTGATGATGTTACTTAGTTGGGTCATGAAACGTCTGCAAGGAAACAGCCGAGCTCAGAGAGCACCAAGGACCCCACAGTCATCGTCATCGTCGTCGTCGTCCTCCTCCTCCTCCTCCTCTCCTCCTCCTCCTCCTCTCCACAAATCCTTCTTCCTTCTAGCACTGATGATGTTACCTAGTTGGGTCATGAAATGTCTGCAAGGAAACAGCCAAGCTCAGACAGCACCAAGGACCCCACAGTCATCGTCGTCATCGTCGTCGTCCTCCTCCTCCTCCTCCTCCTCCTCCTCTCCACAAATCCTTCTTCCTTCTAGCACTGATGATGTTACCTAGTTGGGTCATGAAATGTCTGCAAGGAAACAGCCGAGCTCAGAGAGCACCAAGGACCCCACAGTTCTCCTCCTCCTCCTCCTCCTCCTCTCCACAAACCCTTCTCCCTTCTAGCACTGATAGCGTTACCTAGTTGGGTCATGAAACGTCTGCAAGGAAACCACCCAGCTCAGAAAGCACCAAGGAGCCCTCTAATGAGAATCCTAAGAGGAATTTGCCTCCCCCCCCAAAAAAAAGAATGAAGGGGAAAAAATGCTCTGAAAGTCCAGCAGAATAATAAAACTCCAGCGTGCTTATGTCCGAAAAGCTCTTCCTTTGGGGGAACCTCTGCTACTGGAACTCCCAAGTAGGTAGCCCTGCTACTTTGGACCCCCTAAAAGCTACCTCTGGACTACCATTCTGTCTTCAGGTGTCACGGTTCCGAAAAGAAGCAGCTTTTCAAAGAACTTTGAGGCTTATTTACCTTAAAGAATCCTTTTATTTCTGCATAGCTTCGGCACATGTACAAAGTTAAGCCAAAAACTGAATCCTCCCTCCCCCAATCCTCTGTGACAAGGCATAACTCACTCCTTCATTTTATAGTCATCAATTCCATTCTCCAATTAATGTGTGAAGTGCCCCTCCCCTTACAGCTGACCTTGGCAATACTGTGGCTCAGATATTATTATGGTTAGTGAGCATATTTTCCCACCCACTAGGCTAGTATTATCTGCTTTAACTCTAGAAGTGCTACACAGGCTAAATAAAACCGGTTTGCTTCTTCATATATGGCAAGCGAGAACATCTGATGTTAGCAGTCTTGACATCAGGTTTTGGTGACACCATGTTTCTTTCTGTGTCCTGGGTGCAAATTCTAAGAATGGTTAGGGGTTTTCTTTTCCCCTGCTCAGTAGGCCTGGGCCAGGGGTAGGCAACCTTGGCTCTCTTATGACTGGTGGACTTCAACTCCCAGAATTCCTGAGCCAGCCACGCTGAGGGGAAAGGGAGAGGATTCCAAGCTGAGCCATGTTGGCTCAAGAATTCTGGGAGTTGAAGTCCACGAGTCATGAGGGGGGCATGGTTCCCCCATGCTGGCTGAGGAATTCTGGGAGTTAGTCCACGAGTCATGAGGTGGCCATAGTTCCCCCATGCTGGCTCAGGAATTCTGGGAGTTGAAGTCCATGAGTCATCAAGGGGGCTATGGTTCCCCCATGCTGGCTCAGGAATTCTGGGAGTTGAAGTCCACAAGTCATAAAAGGGCCAAGGTTGCCTACCTCTGGCTAGGCCTAGGCCGCTTTATGACTCGTGGACTTCAACTCCCAGAATTCCTGAGCCAGCCATGCTGAGGGGAAAGGGAGAGGTTTCTAAGCTGAGCCAGGCTGGCTCAGGAATTCTGGGAGTTGAAGTACACCAGTCATCAAGGGAGCTATGGTTTCCCCATGCTGGCTTAGGAATTCTGGGAGTTGAAGTCCACGAGTCATAAGAGAGCCAAGGTTGCCTACCCCTGGCCCAGGCCTACTGAGCAGGGGAAAAGAAAACCCCTAACCATTCATAGAATTTGCACCCAGGGCACAGAAAGAAACATGGTGTCACCAAAACCTGATGTCAAGACTGCTAACATCAGATGTTTTCGCTTGCCATATATGAAGAAGCAAACTGATTTTATTTAGCCTGTGTAGCACTTCTAGAGTTAAAGCAGATAATACTAGCCTAGTGGGTGGGAAAATATGCTAGCTAACCATAACAATATCTGAGCCACAGTATTGCCAAGGTCAGCTGTAACGGGAGGGGCACTTCACACATTAATTGGAGAATGTAATTGATGACTATAAAATGAAGGAGTGAGTTATGCCTTGTCACAGAGGATTGAGGGAGGGAGGATTCAGTTTTTGGCTTAACTTTGTATATGTGCCGAAGCTATGCAGAAATAAAAGGATTCTTTAAGGTAAATAAGCCTCAAAGTTCTTTGAAAAGCTGCTTCTTTTTGGAACTGTGACACCTGAAGACAGAATGGTAGTCCAGAGGTAGCTTTTAGGGGGTCCAAAGTAGCAGGGCTACCTACTTGGGAGTTCCAGAAGCAGAGGTTCCCCCAAAGGAAGAATTTTTCGGACATAAGCACGCTGGAGTTTTATTATTCTGCTGGACTTTCAGAGCATTTTTTCCCCTTCATTCTTTTTTTTGGGGGGGGGAGGCAAATTCCTCTTAGGATTCTCATTAGAGGGCTCCTTGGTGCTCTCTGAGCTGGGTGGTTTCCTTGCAGACGTTTCATGACCCAACTAGGTAACGCTATCAGTGCTAGAAGGGAGAAGGGTTTGTGGAGAGGAGGAGGAGGAGGAGGAGGAGGAGGAGGAGGAGAACTATGGGGCCCTTGGTGCTCTCTGAGCTTGGCTGTTTCCTTGCAGACATTTCATGACCCAACTAGGTAACATCATCAGTGCTAGAAGGATTTGTGGAGAGGAGGAGGAGGAGGAGGACGAGGACGACGACTGTGGGGTCCTTGGTGCTCTCTGAGCTCGGCTGTTTCCTTGCAGACATTTCATGACCCAACTAGGCAACATCATCAGTGCTAGAAGGAAGAAGGATTTGTGGAGAGGAGGAGGAGGAGGACGAGGAGGAGGACGACAACTGTGGGGTCCTTGGTGCTCTCTGAGCTTGGCTGTTTCCTTGCAGGAATTTGATTACTCAAGTAGGTAACCTCCTCAGTGCTGGAAGAGGCAACTGCACTCCTTTCTGGAACTGATGGCGATGCCTAGTCAGCTCATGAAACGTCTGCAAGGAAGCCGGCAAGCTCAGAGAACAACACGGACTCCTCCTGTCAACCCAGAGCTAGAAACATTCTCCTTTCTTGGAAATATTACCCCTCCCTCAGGGGCAATTGTCAAAGACGAGAGAGAGAGAGAGAGAGAGAGAGAGAGAGAGAGAGAGAGAGAGAGAGAGAGAGAGAGAGAGAGAGAGAGAGAGAGACAAAGACAGACAGAGATACAGAGAGAGACAGAGAGAGAGAGAGGGAAGAGAGAGGGAGAGAGAGAGAGAGAGAGAGAGAAGTCCACGAGTCATAAAGGGGCCGTAGTTCCCCCATGCTGGCTGAAGAATTCTGGGAGTTGAAGTCCATGAGTCCTAAAGGGGGCCATAGTTACCTCACGCTGGCTCAGGAATTCTGGGAGTTGAAGTTCACCAGTTATGAAGGGGCCACAGTTCCCCCATGCTGGCTCAGGCATTCTGGGAATTGAAGTCCACGAGTCATAAAAGAGCCGAGGTGGCCTACCCCTGGCTCGGGCCTTCAACCAAGCAAACCTGTGACGTCCTTGAATGCTCCTCAGCTTCCATTCTGACCTCTCTGGCTTGTTCCCATCAGGAATTCCGAGTCTCTTCAAATCTTGCTGGTCCTCCGCTTCTGCAATCTCCTTTTCCAGACTTGGGTGATGGTCACCTATACAGACCAGGCAGCTGCCTTTCAAGGTGAGCCCGGTGGTCCCATCCGGTGCAGTAGCCGTTTGCCCACCGGCTGAAGAACAGGCGGCTTCTACGCACAGGAGTCTCCAAACCTGGGAAGCTTGATCCAAAAGTGGGAGGGGAGGAAAGAGGTAGCGATCCTGGCTTATGCTGGAAAGGCCAGGTGCAAAGGAGGGTTTGTCCGTGTGGAAAAACGACCCTGGGATCTGTGTGAATATCTCGTCCTCCAGGTCCTGGTTGTGCCAAACCTCCTTTTTCAAGAGGGAAAGGGACTTTCTTTGTTTTAATAATAATAATAATAATAATAACAATACTGAATAACTCAGGACATGGCTATCAAACATCAAAAACATCTGCCAGACTATCCCACCTCCTTTACATGGATGATCTGAAGCTGTATGGAAAAACATCATCTCAAATAGAATCGCTGCTCAACACTGTCCGTATATATAGCCAAGATATTGTAATGGAGTTTGGCTTGGACAAATGTGCCACACTTACTATCAAACAAGGAAAAATAGTGAAAACTGAAGGAATCAAGATGCCCACGAAAATAACATTAAGAGTCTGGATGAGGAAGATTACTACAAATACTTGGGTATCCTTCAAGCTGACAACATCAAGCACACTGAAGTCAAGAAAAAGATTAGAGGTGAATACATCAAGAGAGTAAAGAAGATCTTAAAGTCCAAACTCAATGGAGGAAATACCATAAAGGCAATCAACCCCTGGGCAATCCCAGTCATTAGGTACACAGCTGGAATAGTGGACTGGACTCAAGCAGAACTAAAAGCAATGGATAGGCAGACCAGAAAAATAATGACAATGAATCATGCCCTTCATCCACGCAGTGAAATTGATAGACTTTATCTACCAAGGCAAATAGGTGGGCGTGGAATGCTACAAGTACATCAGATGGTTTAAGAAGAAAAAATGGCTTTGGAAGAATATCTGAAGAACAATGATGAAGATGCACTGAAATTAGTATATCAGGAAGGCTTACTAACTACTGGAGAGACCAAACTGGCCTACAAGAAAGACCAAATGAAGAACAGAATAGAGGCATGGGAAAACAAAGCACTACATGGCCAATACATTAAAAAAATAGCTGGGGAAGCAGATAATAACAAGACCTGGCAATGGCTAAGAGCAGGAAAATTGAAGAAAGAGACCGAGGGACGAATTCTGGTTGCACAAGACCAAGCCTTAAGGACAAATGCATATAAAGTCAAAATTGAGAAGACAGCAACAGACAGTAAGTGCCGCCTATGCAAAGAAGCTGCAGAAACAGTGGACCACTTGGTAAGCTGTTGCAAGAAGATTGCACAGACTGATTACAAGCAGCGGCATGACAAAGTAGCAACAATGGTGCATTGGAAGATCTGCAAAAAATATCATTGCCTGTAAGCAAAAACTGGTGGGATCATAAAATAGAGAAAGTCATAGAAAATGATAAAATTAAACTGCTCTGGGACTTCAGAATTCAAACAGACAAGCACCTGCAACATAACACCCCAAACTTAACAATTGTCGATAAGAAAGACAAAAAAGTCTGGATAGTGGACGTGGCAGTGCCTGGAGACAGCAGAATAGACAAGAAAGAACTGGAGAAGATAACAAAATACAAAGACCTGCAAATAGAAATAGAAAGACTGTGGCAAAAGCAACCAAGGGTAGTACCAACAGTAATAGGCGCCTTGGGTGCAATCCCAGAACAACTGGAGCACCACTTGAACACCATCATCGGCATTGACAAATTTGCTATTAGTCAATTGCAAAAGGCGGCCTTATTAGGAACTGCTTCCATCCTGCGACGATACCTGTAATACCATCAAACATCCACATCTGCCTATCCCAGGTCCTGGGTAAGGACTCGATAGGTAGACAAAATGCCAAATCCAGTCTGAACATCTGGCTGACTGTGCGATGATCCATAATAATAATAATAATGATGATGATGGTGGTGGTGGTGGTGGTAGTAATATAGAGTTGGTAGGGACCTTGGAGGTCATCTAGTCCAACCCCCTGCTCAGGCAGGAAACCCCACACCATTTCAGACAGATGGCTGTCCAGTCTCTTCGTAAAAAACTTCCAGTGTTGGAGCATTCACCGCTTCTGGAGGCAGGCTGTTCCACTGGTTAATTGTTCTCACTGTCAGGAAGTTTCTCCTTAGTTCTAGGTTGCTTCTCTCCTTGATTAGTTTCCATCTGTTGCTTCTTGTCCTGCCTTCAGGCGCTTTGGAGAATAGCTTGACTCCCTCTTCTTTGGAGCAGCCCCTGGGATATTGGAAGACTGCTATCCTGTCACCCCTAGTCCTTCTCTTCATTTAGCTGGACATATCCAATTCCTGCAACTGTTCTTCATACGTTTTTGCCTCTAGGGACACCAAAATGGAATTAGTGGAGGACCTGCCACCAAACGTGCATCTCTACATTGTGGGCCAGGTTGTTGCCTTTCTGTGGCTTAGCATATTGTGTGAATCCAGCCCATTGTGCTTTATTCAGTAAACTGTGATTAAACAAAAGAGAAAAAAAAGAAGCTGAGGCCCTAGAAAGAGTGTAGAGAAGAGCAAAGAAGAGAAGAGGCCTGGAGGCTAAACTACACAAAGACTAAGGGTGAGGGACTGGAGGCTAAAACGTACAAAGAACGGCTGCTGGAATTGGGGATGTCTAGTTTAATGAAGAGAAGGACCAGGGGGGACATGATAGCAATCTTCCAAAATCTCAGGGGCTGCCCCAAAGAAGAGGGAGTCAAGCTCTTCTCCAAGACGGAGAAAGCAAAGACAAGAAGCAACGGGTAGAAACTCATCAAGGAGAGAAGCAACCTGGAACTAAGGAGAAACTTCCTGACAGTGAGAACAATTAACCAGTGGAACAACCTGCCTCCAGAAGTTGTGGATGCTCCATCCCTGGAAGTTTTTCAAGAAGAGACTGGACAGCCATTTGTCTGAAATGGTATAGGGCTTCCTGCCCTGGGCATGGGGTTGGACTAGAAGACCTCCCAAGGTCCTTTCCAGCCCTCTGAATCTATGGGTTAGTGGGTTGAGAACATAGCCCATAACTCCCCTTGCATTCCCGCCCCGTCTTACCAATGTGGGGTTCCCGTTGCTGAATCAAAGCTGCCGGTCTTTCCTGTTGCTGCAAGTCGAGCACCTGATTGTCCATCCCGCACCTGGACTGATCAGGTGGCCTCTCGTTGCAGTGGCCGCGGTGCTGAGCTTGTGCATCCAGCACTTCATCGGGGGGCTGATCACCACGCTGGTCTTCAGCAAGATGATGCTGTGCAGTCAGAAGGCCCCAGAGAGGATCCAGGTGGGTGCTCGTTTCGGGGCACGTAGCCTCCACGGCCCGTGGATTCAGTTCGCAGCAGAGTTCGAAACCCACAGAGAGATCTATGGGTACAGATTGCCTACTGGGTGTGTCTTTTGCTTCCCGTTGGTCACTGTAAGCCAAGACACCAGAGAGGGGATGATGGTGGGTGGACGGCACCCGTAGCCTTGTAAACGGGCACATCCCATAGGTATCGTCTGTTTCTCTGATCTGGGAGCTTAAGGCAAGGGTTAAAAGAGGGCTGTGTACAGGGGCTCCCCAAAGGCTTTGGCCCTTTCAGAGATTTCCCATTAATGGTGGCACAGTGGTCAGAGTGCAGCATTGCAGGCTAAACTGCCAACTGCCAGCAGTTCGATCCCAATCCGCTCAAGTTTGACTCAGCCTTCCATCCTTCCCAGGACGGTAAAATGAGGACCCCGAATGTTGGGGGGCAAATAGTCTGACTCTGTAAAACCGCTCAGAGAGGGCTGTAAAAGCCCTGTGAAGCGGCATATAAGTCTGCAGTGCTATTGCTATGGCTGTTTATTGCATTTATATCCAGCCCATCTCCCTGTGGGTGGGTGGCACTGTCGAAAAGAGCAGTATAAAATGGCCGGAAAATTAAAACCTTTACAAGCCTTAGCCGTGAAAAGTTAAAATGTTGAAAATTAACGCTAGTAGGAGAAAGTGGATACCAATGCAAGCTGGAGGTGGGATCTTCTCCTAATTTACTAGCCACGCCCCCATTGGGACTCCTCCCCCCCCCAGCCCAGTTGGCAGAGCCGAGGACTACTTGTAGTAGGACTGTACAGGCTCCCACCTTGGCTGGGCTCACCTTGCTTCTCTCTCCCCACAGGCCACCCACTACAGCTTTCTCGCTGCCATCGAGGTCCTGGGGAAGGTGGCCTTTAGCACCGTGGCAGGAAGCCTGGTGGACTGGCTGGGCTTCCGACACACCTTCGGCATCTTCCTCGCCTTCTCCTTTGCCTCCGTGCTGTACACAGTGTAAGCCAGGGCGAGCAGAGGGCCGTCCCGCCAGGGTCAGTCCTGTGTCGCTGGCCAACGAAAGAGAGGCCAACTTCAAGAGAAGCCCATTGAAATCCGGGGACATCTCATTAAAGCGGCCGCCTCATGCAACTGCTTCCTGGCCGGTCCTCCTTGACAAGGGGTGGGGAGAGTCACAGCACTCCATCTGAGCCATGTAGGAGCGTCGGATGGGGAAGAGAGGTTGCCGTGCAGATTTTTTTAGTAGTCCTCCTGTAGCGGCCACAACAGGGACCAGCAACTTAGTCATTAAAACAGTCACGAAGTGAAACCGTGATAGTGATTATGGTTTTCCTCCTGTTTTCCTTCGCTTTACAGACCTATGAAGGTTGTGAGAATCGGTTGTAAAGATGTACGGAGATTCTCCCTCGTCTAGGTCATGGTTGTCCCAAAGTTGCTTTTTTTTTTTCTCCCAAAAGGCAACTGGGCTTTCTTGTTTTTTTCCACCCACCCTGAAAACATTTCGCTTCTCGTCCAAAAGCCCAGTTGTCTTTTGGAAAAAAAACAAAACCAGTTATCCAGTTAGGATAGCTGGTTGTAAAGTTACTTTTTCATTGCTATTGTGACTGCAAATGGTCACTAAAGGAGACAGTCGCTAAACGAGGACTGAACCGTCCTTGTGGTGTTCTTTCCTACCTCGGAGAGGGTATTCTGCCATGGAATTTCTCCTCCTCTTTGCTCAGGTATTCTGGAATGAAAAAAGAGCTTTCCTTATGGTCTCTTTTACTGTTGTTAGAAGGAAAAGTCACCAGGTCCAGCCCAAGCTGGGAGTAAATAAAATGGAGGCTAAGACTCTGGAAATAAAAATGGAGGCTGGTTGTTTGGAAAGAAGGTTCTTGTTTATTTAGTTGCCAGAAACCTCAGTGACACAGCACGTTTCTGGGGTGGGGGGCTGACAAAATGGAATTGGGATAGGTGGGTTTTTATCCCTTCTTGGGCTTTTTATGTGGAGTTGTTCCTCTTCTTGTGCTGTGTACTTTGACCTGAGTTTGAATGTGCCCTTTTGGGATTCTCACGGTAGTAGGTTAATCCTATTATGTCCTAAAGCAGGGGTCTCCAACCCCTGGTCTGTGGACTGGTACCGAGCCGTGGCATGCCAGCAACCGGTCCGCACAAACAAGCAAAGCCCCATCCGTGGGAGGCAAGCAGCACACAAAACCACTCACTCTCCGGTCTGTGGAAAAACCTCTCCCTGGTGCCCAAAAGGTTGGGGACCTCTGTCCTAACGATCATGTTCCTGTCCTTGGCAGCCTTTGTTTTTCTAGTCCCATCAGCTCCAACCTTCTCTGGGGCTGTGGTCGAAGGCCTTTTGCTTATGAACAGGTGGCCCACTCTTTCTGAACAGGAGTATCAAATCTGCTTTTCTACAGAGCAGGCCTCCTCAGTTTCTGCCTGGTTAAGCTTGGGCTCTTTCTGCCTAAGATTTTCCTCCATTATTCCTTTGGGAAAATATAATATTTTGTCCTTTTTAATAGTCCCCCAAATATTTATTTCTCTGGGGTGTGTGTGTGTGCGTGTGCTGACTTTCTACACCAGTGGTTCTCAACCTGTGGGTCGGGACCCCATTTGGGGTTGAACGACCATTTCACGGGGGTCACCAAACAAGGCTGTCCGCCATTTTTCCCCCTTTTCTTTGGCCATACCCTGGCACCCAGTGATGTATAAGTGATTGGAGGTCACCACAACATGGGGAACTGTGTTATGGGGTCGTGGCATTAGAAAGATTAAGAACCACTGTTCTACACAGTTTTGCCCCACAGCTGGGATGCCCGGCATCGTCATTAGATTTTGGGGGACAGAATTCCTCCGGCAATTGGGTGGGAACAGCCTGGCTGGAGTTCTGCTCTTTTTCCACATCGTTCACCCGCCACTGAGCTCATTTTTGCTGACTGGAACAGGGCTGAGCAACTTACGACCTGTGGACTTCAACTCCCAGAATTCCTGAGCCAGCATTAACACCAATAAAACTAATCAGAATACCACACGATCCTTTTCCCTCTGTGTTCCTGCTATTTCCAGACGTTCAGGTTTAGCCAGTCTCAGGTCGGGGAGAACTTGCACATTCCCGCCCCGTCGAAGGTGTCGGCTGGAAAAATCAGGAATTGCCTTAATTGGGAGAACTTGTTTCCCAAGCAGCCTCTGGATGGATCACCGCTGCTTCCTCCCACTTTGGAAAGCCTGGCTTTTGCAAAAGAACAAATGTGGACTTTGGAAGCAGACCTTTGTTCAAGTGAGCTTTGCCCCGTTTTACAATCCCTCATGCCACGATTAAGTGAATCGTGGCAATTAAGTTAATGACATGGTGAAGTGGATTTGGCTTGGCAGAAGATTGCAAAAGGGCATCACCTGACACCCTCTAGGACACCGCGGCCGTCGTAAATATGAGTCAGTGGCCAAGTGTCTTGAATTTTGGTCATGGGACCACGGGAATGGTCGTAAGCGGGAAAAATGATCCTTAGTCACTTTTTTTTTTCAAAATTTTATTTAAGTCCAACATTAATATATCTTTCAGCCATCTTCGTATCCTATTCCAATACTCGCGAGCCTTTGAGCATTCCCATCACATACGATAATATGATCCTATTGCTGTTTTACATTTCCAGCATTTGGACCCATTTTGGCTAACCTTACGGGTGGTCGCTTTTTGACTCTGTTGAGGCAGTTGTAATTTTGGTCACTAAATGAACAGTTGGAAGTTGAGGATGACCTATAATCTGGACTGGCTCCAGGGGGTGGCAGCGAGGGGAGCTAACTCTGTGAACCAATCAGAGGAGTACTGTTTTCGCAACCCATCTGGACTTTGACAAACCAGGCCCCCGTCTTTGTTTTCACGAGCGAAAGCAGCCTGAGGATCAGGAAAACTCGCCAGGAAACCAAGACGGTTTGAATCAAAAAGTTGGGATACAGAACTCAGAAGAATTCAAGGGGAACCTTGGAGATCTTCTAGTCCAGCCCCCTTCTTTATTTTGGTCACTGACTGATAAAAGTACAATCAACAAAACGAATTAACACAAAATTGTTCCCTAATAAGAAATGTTAAAACAATCATTTGTGGGCGAAACACATACATAACATGGTAAAATTTTGCTTCTTTTAGAAAAATCAAGCCTGCCTGTTTATATCTGCAGACTTAATAGGTAAGTTATTAAAGGCACAAAGGTGAAATCATAGTGCAAGCATCTATGTAGATTGGGATTGGATTAGGACAGGGGTAGGCAACCTTGGCTCTTTTAGGACTCGTGGACTTCAACTCCCAGAATTCGTGGCCTTCAACTCCCGTGGCTCCGCTTGGAAACCTGGCTCAGGAATTCTGGGAGTTGAAGTCCACGAGTCCTAAAAGAGCCAAGGTTGCCTACCCCTGGATTAAGTGGAGAGGACTTTGGTGGACTTAGAAATAAGCCCAAATTGCAGCGAGCAGAACCAGAAGGCCAGCCAGCTTAAGCCAACTGGGAACTGAGGCCTGGTTGTCTGATTGGGCAACTGGCCTGGTTCTTAAGGGTTTCAAGATCCGTTCATGCTGGGTCAGGATAGCTTTCCTGGCACCCTCCCATTTTCCTGGCCCTTGCAAGCGGTACTGATACGGAGTACACGGCCCAAACAAAAGCTCCCGGGCCAGCTTAGGATCGGTGATAAACTGGGACCATATGTTGGGCTTGACCCCAATCAGAGAAGCCAGTTCATCCATATAGTCTGTGTAGTCCACCTGGATGGTGTGGCGCTGACTTTTCACATACCTTTTTGCCATGGCAATCTTCTTATCCATAATATCGGATATCATCTCACTTGTGGATGGCAGCTGAGCAAGCCCCTTAAAGACCCGCGTGGCCCAGCGGGCTTGCATTTCTGCAATGGGCATGATGGCCCCCAGCGGCTGCACAAGACCAATGATTGCCAGGGTGGATTTCTCCAGATTAGGCAAGAAGACAAACTTATATAAGGGGATCTGATTTTCAACAACCGTCATGAGGTTCCCCAGGAAAGGAAAGGAGAAACTGTATCCTGTAGCCAGGATAACGCAGTCTATATCCTCTTCCTTAGAGCCATCATCAAAGAGGGCAGCCGTTTCGGTAAACTCGGCGATGTTGGATTTCATGACAACTTTCCCTGAAATAAGGCAATTTGGGAGGTCATCGTTGACGGTGGGATGCTGGCCGTGAAATCCGTGCTTAGGTTTCAAGCCATAATGAGAATGGTCGAACTTGCTATTTAATTTGCCCTGTATGAATCGTTCGATCATGGACAAGGGAAGATTTTGCTTCAGGAGTAAATGAGCTCGGCTAACTCCAGTGTCGAATGGGTAGCCTTTATCCCCCACACGGGTTAGTATCCAGGCTCCTCGGCGCGTGCTGAGGAAGACCTGTTGCGCTGTGTGGCTGATCTCCACCGCGAGGTCCACGCCCGAGTTCCCGATGCCGATCACGATGACTCTCTTCCCTGTAAATGCATCGGGACTCTTGTAATCCCGGCTGTGTAAGTAGTGGCCCTTGAACGTGCTAAGCCCCGGGAAGGACCCCAGGGGCAGATGTGGGGTGGTGTGGTGGCCGGTGCAGACCAAAACGGCGTCAAAAACGGACGACTCCTGCTTCCCCTCTGACTCGGTGGTGACCTCCCACTGGCCGCTGGTAGAGAAATCGGGGCGCTTTGTTACGCTGCAGACTTTGGTCTTGAAGCGGACGTATTTCAGAAGGTCAAAGTGCTCAGCATACATCCGGAAGTAGTCCATGATCTTTGAGTTGTGCATGTAGTTGGGAAAATCCTGTGGGATGGGGAAGTCACTGAAGCACATCATTTCTTTGGAGGTGTTGATGATCACGGACTTGTAGATACTAGCCCGCTCTTCCTCCGGATTCTCCTTGAATCTCCAGAGCCCCCCAATATCATCGCTCCTTTCAAAGCACACAGGATCCAGACCTTCTTCCAAGCAGCATTTGATGTTACAAAGCCCACTGGAGCCGGCTCCAATAATTGCCACCCTCTTCTTTTCCATCTCCCGGGAAGGCTGCAGATGAACAGTCGACAGCAGGGGAAATGAACCTATGTAATCTCTTCTACGCTTCTTGCACAACTGAAAGTGTTAACACCACTTTACAAAGCCTTGGTAAGACCACACCTGGAATATTGCATCCAGTTTTCGTCACCACGATGTAAAAAAGATGTTGAGACTCTAGAAAGAGTACAAAGAGTAACAAAGATAATTAAGGGACTGGAGGCTAAAACATATAAGGAACGGCTGCTGGAATTGGGCATGTCTAGTTTAATGAAGAGAAGGACGAAGGGGGACAGGATAGCAGTGTTCCAGTATCTCAGGGGCTGCCCCAAAGAAGAGGGAGTCAAGCACTTCTCCAAAGGACCTAAAGGCAGGAGAAGAAGCAACGGAGGGAAACCAATCAAGGAGAGAAGCAACCTGGAATTAAGGAGGAATTTCCTGACAGTTGGAAGAGCTTCCTGGCCCGTAATTCCCTTTTGCAGAGATCTCCCACCCGTGTTCATTGAGCTTGGCCCCCTGGAAGAGGGGTGGATTTCAACTCCCAGAATTCCCCAGCCAGCAAAGCTGGGGAATTCTGGGAGTGGAAGCCCAACCTCTCTCTCTAAATTGCCCAGTTTGGAAAAACCAAACCAAACCCAAGTTTTAAAGCATTTTGCTTGCTTTCTAATGAACCCCCCCAGGGTTGTCGTTTCCCTCCCCCCCCCACCGTCACCCAAAGCCCGGGCCTGCGGAACTCCTTACCACTGGATGTCTCCAAGAAGAGGGCGTCTCATCACTGTGCCAGCTTCATCGCTGCAAGCCTTCAAGAAGAGGCTGGATTGGACTTTGGAATTCTGGGAGTTGAAGTCCAGCTATCTTGCAGCGCCCCAGCCTCCCCCATAGGCCGGCGGGGGGGGGGGAGGAACCCCGCAGTCCCGCCCAGCCCGCCCTCCACCACGCCCAAGAGGCGGGGTCTCCGATCGTGGCGCCTCCTGCCCGCGACGGGTGGCGAGGCGGCCGCCGCGGGCCAATAGCCGGCCGGGTGGGCGTGGCCTCCGCCAGGGCGACCAATCGGGGCGCTGACTGGCGGGGGGGGCGGGACCAGTATGTGGGGGGGGGGCGTGCAGAGTCTCCTGCGAGGCGTGAAGAGAAGCGCGGCCGCCGTGATGGAGCTGTGGAGGGCGGTGAGACCCCCCCCACCCCTGTTTCGTTCCCCACGGAGCCCCCTCCCCATTCCCCTTCCCGGGAGGCCCGCAGCACCCCCGGGGCGTTGGGGGGGGGTCCCTTCTGGGAGGGGGTCCCGATGCCCTCGTGGGGGCCCAGCGAAGGGGTCGGGGGGAGGGGTTGTGGTCTCCGAGCCCCCCCCGCGCGTGGTCCCCCTTTGAGTTCTTGGCACCCCAGAGAAGCCCCCCCCTCCACTCCTGGGAAAGAGCTGGAGGTGGGCGGGGCAGGGGCTGGGGGTCTCTGGGGGGGTCTTTGGCCCTCCCTGCCCCTCCCCTCCTCTCACTGCCTGGGGGGGCTTTTGCCCCCCCCAAGAAATGGTCCTCAGCAGCCCCTCCCTCCAATTCCTGGGAATGAGCTCGGGATTGGGCGGGGCAGGGGCTGGGGGTCTTTGAGGGGGGTCTTCGGAAGACCCCCCCCCAGAGACCCTCCAGTCCCTCCCTGCCCCTCAATTCCTGGGAGTTTTCCCTCCAAAGAAATGGTCCTCAGCAGCCCCTCCCTCCAAGTCCTGGGAATGAGCTCGAGATTGGGCGGGGCAGGGGCTGGGGGTCTTTGGGGAGGGTCTTCGGAAGACCCCCCCAGAGCCCCTCCCTGCCCCTCACTTCCTGGGGTTTTCCCCCCAAAGAAATGGTCCTCAGCAGCCCCTCCCTCCAATTCCTGGGAACTAACACCGGGCTGGGTGGGGAGGGGTCTTGGGGGGGTCTTTGGCCCTCCCGGCCTCTCCCTCACTGCCTGGGGGCATCCATTGGTCCTGAAGCCCCCCCCCTTACACTCCACTGTCTGGGGGCTCCTCTCTTTTCTTTGTCTGCCCCCCCTTTTGGCATGGGGGTGTGTCTGCCTCTCCCCCAGGGCTGATCTGGGCTTTCCATTCATCCCTGCGGAATTTGCCTGGTGCCGCCCCTCATGATGGGGGTCTCCCCCCTCTCCCCCCTCGCTGGGCCTGGCCTTTGGGGAAACCGACGGCCTTCGCCTGCAACCCATCATCCACTCCCTCTGCTTTCCCTCCTTGCGGTGCCCTTGCAGGGGGTCAGCTGGCAGTGGGCTTGGGCTGCCAGAGGATGGACTCAAAGAACAGAGCAAGACCCGTTCTTTCCCCCTGGCTGGGTGGGCCACCTGGAGGAGCTGGGGCCGTGTTCAGGTTATGACAGCCAGACTTTGCCTCTGTGGACCATGGGGCACCCAGAGCCCTCCTCTCTGCCCGGTGCCCCCACCCCTCAGCTTAAGACCCCTCCCTCCTTCCTCCCCTCCTCCTCCTGTGGGATGGGCATGCCAAGCCGTGCAGGAGTGTGGTCCATCAGCCTAATCATCTGGGCGTATATAATTCAGGATAGTTGGAAGGGACCTTGGAGGTCTTCTAGTCCAGCCCCCTGCTGGAGCAGGAGACCCTAGACCACTGGTTCTCCACCTGTGGGTCGAGACCCCATTTGGGGTCGAACGACCATTTCACGGGGGTCGCCAAACAACGCAGTCCGCCATTTTTTTCCCCCTTTTCCTTAGCTGTGCTACTCCCTCTTATTCTATTGGCTTTTGAAAGCCAATAGAATAGACTCTCTTGAATAGAGTCTAATTCTATTGGCTTTCCAAAGCCAATAGGAATTGTCCAGGCTGTTTCTGCCCTGCTGAGCCCGCCAAAAGTCCCATTCTGCAAACGGTGCTGCACCAGTTGAGTAGTCCTCGGCTTACGACCGGTTGAGTAGTCCTTGACTTACGACTGGTTGGTGGTCGCAGCATTAAAAGGGTTGAGAACCACTGCCCTAGACCATTTCAGACACATGGCTAGCCTCTTCTTAAAAACCTCCAGGGATGGAGTGCCCACGATTGAATTAGTATCGGGTTCTCAACCTTGGCAACTTTAAGACTTGTGGACTTCAACTCCCAGAATTCCTCAGCCAGCAAAGCTGGCTGAGGAATTCTGGGAGTTGAAGTCCACAAGTCTTAAAAGTTACCAAGGTTGAGAACCCCGATTGAGGCTCCCCCAGCTCCTTGCCCCTTCTGTTTCCATGCATGTGGGGGTCTCTGAGCCCCTTTTGCACAAAGCCTTGGATGCCCTGAGGCAAGGATGGCTGTGCAGCCCCCCTGCCTGCCCCTCCCCAATTTCCATAGCTCCTTCTGGACCAGGTCTTCCGCTTTCTCAGACTTGCATGGATCACTGGGCCTTCCCTTGCAGTGTTGTGACTGTGTATGTGTGTGGTGTTCTAGGGAGGCCCAGAGAGATTCTTTTTCCTTCTGGATCCCTGGCCTGGGATCCTGAGTGGGTACCCCTTGCCTTTCTTTGGGGTGGTGGGAGTTAGAAGCAGCGGCAGACCCCTGGCCCACTCCTGAGGGTGGGCAAGCCTCTTTTCTCCCTGTGCCCAGTGGCACAGAAGGGCAGCCGTGCCCTCTCCTGGGCTCTGGAGATCCATTGGAGGCCAACCTTTGCCCGTCTTTCAAAGAGCAAAGCAGATCCGGGGCTGTTGGTTGCCAAGTGTGTCTTTTCAAGCAATCTGCACACAGCGCCTGGCTCTGCGTTTCCTCTTTTGGGCTCAGGCACTGCTTCCTAACAGGAAGGAAGGAAGGAAGGAAGGAAGGAAGGAAGGAAGGAAGGAAGGGAAGGAAAGAAGGATCAGTGGAACAGCCTGCCTCCAGAAGCAGTAAATGCTCCAACACTGGAAGTTTTTAAGAAGAGACTGGACAGCCATTTGTCCGAAATGGTGTAGGGTTTCCTGCCTGAGCAGGGGGTTGGACTAGATGACCTCCAAGGTCCCTTCCAACTTTACTACTATTACTAAGGAAGGAAGGAAGGAAATAAATAAGGCGGAAGAAGAGGAGGACTGTGGGGTCCTTGGTGCTCTCTGATCTTTTTAAAAAGTTTTTATTATTTTTTTCCCCCATACATTCAGTAATAATTTTTCAGCCAACGTGCTGTCTGAGTTTACATTCGCTAATACATATTTAATTCCTAATCCTTTATTCTTTCCTCTAGCCATCGATAAACTAAGTCCCAAGTTTCTTTCATCTCATAGTCAGTCTGTCCATCTCTGCGCATTCTAGTATTTTTTTGATTATTTCTTCATCTGATGGTATTCCTTCATTTTTCCAGTATTGTGCAAATATAATTCATGCCGCTGTTGTGACATGCAAAATCAAATATAATCTTTGTTTGTTAGTCTTTTCTGGCATTGTACCTAATAAAAAAAAGTTCTGGTTTAAAATCTACATGTTCTCCCAACATCTTTTCTAGCCAGGCATGTATCTTTTTCTATTTCTATATTTTATATATATTTATATATAAAAGTATATATTTATATCTATATTTAATTTCTGTAGTTTTCTAAAAAATTTGTTTCTTTTTGATGGGGAGTTTAGTCCATTTATATTCACTGAAAAAAAAAGTTTTCTTTCTCCATTTCAGTTATTTATATTTAGGTCTAGTTGATCTCGTGATCCTTTGTTCTCTGGCAATTCCTTCACTCTCTTGATCAGATTTCTCTTTCTGTTCTCCTGTTTGTTTAATTGCTTCTTCAGTTGCTTCTTCTCTTTGTTTCTGATCTTGTCTCTCCTTCATTTAAGACTTTCATCAAAGTCTTGTGCTTTCCCAACTGAATCCGATCTTGTATTATTCCAGCTGATTAAAATCCCTTCTGGCATTAACCATCTTATGCCTTTTGTAATCAGCTTTGTAATTTAAGAAATGATATTAAGAAATGATCAAGTATCTTTTACTCTCTTGGGTATGTGCTTTAAGGCCACAATTTCTTTATTTTTGTGTTGTAACAGCTCATCTCTAATTCATCTCAGTATTTCATCTCTTGTTGTTTTCGTTATAAATCTTACGTACACTTCTCTGGGTAGTTTGCATTTCCTTGCGTAGCTTTATTTCATTTTGTGCCAGCCGTGTGCTGCAGCTGCCAAAAAAGCCGACACAGTGCTAGGCTGCATTAACCGAGGGAGAGAATCAAGATCACGTGAAGGGTTAATATCACTTTACAACGCCTTGTTGAGGCCACCCTTGGAATCCTGCATCCAGTTTTGGTCACCACGATGTAAAAAAGATGTTGAGACTCTAGAACAGTGGTTCTCAACCTTTCTAATGCCGCGACCCTATAATACAGTTCCCCATGTTGTGGTGACCTCCAACCACTTATACATCACTGGGTGCCAGGGGCGTGGCCAAAGAAAAGGGGGAAGAAATGGCGGACAGCCTTGTTTGGCTACCCCCGTGAAATGGTCATTCGACCCCAAATGGGTCCCGACCCACAGGTTGAGAACCGCTGCTCTAGAAGGAGTACAGAGAAGAGGAACAAAGATGATCAGGGGACTGGAGGCTAAAGCATATAAGGAACGGTTGCTGGAATTGGGTATGTCTAGTTTAAGGAAGAGAAGGATGAGGGGGGACTGGATAGCAGCCTTCCAACATCTCAGGGGCTGCCCCAAAGAAGAGGGAGTCAAGCTATTCTCCAAAGCCCCTGAAGGCAGGACAAGAAGCAACGGGTGGAAACTCATCAAGGAGAGAAGCAACCTAGAACTAAGGAGAAACTTCCTGACAGTGAGAACAATTAGCCAGAGGAACCACCTGCCTCCAGAAGCAGTAAATGCTCCAACACTGGAAGTTTACTGGACAGCCATTTGTCCGAATTGGTGTAGGGTTTCCTGCCTGAGCAGGTGGTTGGATGAGATGACTTCCAAGGTCCCTTCCAACTTCATCATCATCATCATTAATATTATTATTATTATTTCATCTATCTCCATTTGCATCTCTGCTCTGCCAGCTTTCAAAGCCTCTGCCAGCAGATCAATAATCGCAACTGCTATATTGTCTTCTCTGTCTTCGGGAATGTTTTGAAATCTTAAGGTGCTCTCTGATCTTTGGGGGCTTTCCTTGCAGACAAAGTGCCCAGATGTTCCCTAGTTTGGATAAGGAAAACTCTGCAAGGGAGCCCACCCAGAACCCGCTCGGCCAATTTGTTCTGCTTTTCCATTCCGCCTTGACCCTGTCTGCTCCTGTGCAGCTGTCCGGCAGATGTCCTCCAGGATAACGCCCCCACCCACACGGAGGCGGCCCCCTCCATGCTGGAACAGAAGGTCAAGGCTCTCCCCAGGCATTCCCCCCCCTTTTGCTGGCCAGCTGCAGGAGCTCTTCTGGGGGGGGGGGACAGGAGACAGAGCTGGGCAAAGGGACGTCCTTGTTTTTTTCCTCCCTTTGGCCTCTCTCTAAGCTGCCCTCCCCCCTTGGGGTTTCTAGTCTTCCACCCCCTCCACCCATTGCAGAGGAGACGCTCAAGCCCTCTTCCTTTGCTTTGCCTTAACCAGGTTAGGCTGGGCTGGAGGGAGAGCCCATCACCTGCAGCGGTTCTCAGATGATCCCCTAGAAAGGGGCTGCAGAATTATTCATCCTTTTGCTATCTCTTATTTCCCCCTTCTACCAGTTGAACACTTTTAGTATATTATTATTATTATTATTATTATTATTATTATTATTATTATTATTGATCATCGCACAGTCGGCCAGATGTTCAGACTGGATTTGGCATTTTGTCTACCTATCGAGTCCTTATCCAGGACCTGGGATAGGCAGATGTGGATGTTTGATGGTATTACAGATATCGTCACAGGTTGGAAGCAGTTCCTAGCAAGGCCGCCTTTTGCAATTGACTAATAGCGAATTTGTCAATGCCGATGGTGTTCAAGTGGTGCTCCAGTTGTTTTGGGATGGCACCCAAGGAGCCTATTACTATTGGTACTACCCTTGCTTGCTTTTGCCACAGTCTTTCTATTTCTATTTGTAGGTCTTTGTATTTTGTTATCTTCTCCAGTTCTTTCTCGTCTATTCTGCTGTCTCTAGCCCAGTGGTTCTCAACCTTTCTAATGCCGCGACCCCATAATACAGTTCCCCATGTTGTGGTGACCCCCAACCACTTATACATCACCGGGTGCCAGGGGTGTGGCCAAAGAAAAGGGGGGAAAAATGGCGGACAGCCTTGTTTGGCGACCCCCGTGAAATGGTCATTCGACCCCAAATGGGGTCCCGACCCACAGGTTGAGAACCACTGCTCTAGCCACTGCCACATCCACTATCCAGACTTTTTTGTCTTTCTTATCGACAATTGTTAAGTCTGGGGTGTTATGTTGCAGGTGCTTGTCTGTTTGAATTCTGAAGTCCCAGAGCAGTTTAATTTTATCATTTTCTATGACTTTCTCTATTTTATGATCCCACCAGTTTTTGCTTACAGGCAAATGATATTTTTTGCAGATCTTCCAATGCACCATTGTTGCTACTTTGTCATGCCGCTGCTTGTAATCAGTCTGTGCAATCTTCTTGCAGCAGCTTACCAGGTGGTCCACTGTTTCTTCAGCTTCTTTGCATAGGCGGCACTTACTGTCTGTTGCTGTCTTCTCAATTTTGACTTTATATCCATTTATCCTTAAGGCTTGGTCTTCTGCAGCCAGAATTAGTCCCTCGTTCTCTTTCTTCAACTTAGCTGCTCTTAGCCATTGCCAGGTCTTGTTATTATCTGCTTTCCCAGTTATTATTATTATTGTTGTTGTTGTTGTTACTGTTCTCTGTTGTTTTACAAGTACAGTGATTGCTTTGGTACCGGAAACAAATTCCTTGTGTCTCTAATCACACTTAGCCAAATAAAATATCCTGTTCTGTCCCCTGTCCCCCATTCCACATATTCTATATATTCTATATTAGCATTCCCCAATCTTTCCCACTTGGTGGCTCAGGTGGGGGGGGGGGGAGAGGAAATGTTCAGTGTGGAGCTGTGCTCTCACCTGCCACTTGTGTGGCCCACTTCTGAATGGGCCAAAGCCTATATTGGGCTGTGGTCTGGGGGTGTGGGACCCCTATTCTGTATTCTATTTATTCTATACATTCTATACATTCTATACAATATACATTATATATAGAATACAATAGAATTAAGGAATAGAATAGAATAGAATAGAATAGAATAGAATAGAATAGAATAGAATAGAATAGAATAGAATAGAATAGAATAGAATTCTTTATGGGCCAAGTGTGGTTGGACACACAAGGAATTTGTCTCCTGTGCATAAGCTCTCAGTGTACATACAAGTAATAGTGATAATCATGAACATATCCAACATGAAAATACATTCATCATAATGGTGAAATACAACACTTCATCATAAATCATAAGATGCAACACTTAGTGATAGTCATAGAGTACAAGCTAAGCAAACAACATAAATCATACTAGAGTACAAAACTCCCAATATAAATTGTAAGATACAAGCAGCAAAGTTATAGTCCTAAGAAGATAAGGATAGGCCAGGAGTGGGCAACCTTGGCTCGGTATGACTGGTGGACTTCAACTCCCAGAATTCCTGAGCCAACATGGCTCAGCTTGGAAACCTCTCCCTGTCCCCTCAGCATGGCTGGCTCAGGAATTCTGGGAGTTGAAGTCCACGAGTCATAAAAGAGCCAAGGTTGCCTACCCCTGGTCTATATTATGGGTGTCCAGCCATGGGAACTTTAAGACTTTGGACGTCAACTCCCAGAATTCCTGAGCCAGCCACTCTGAGGGGAAAGGGAGGTTTCCAAGCTGACTCATACTGGCTCAGGAATTCTGGGAGTTGAAGTCCACGAGTCATGAAGCAGCCATAGTTTCCCCCATGCTGGCTCAGGAATTCTGGGAGTTGAAGTCCTCGAGTCATAAAAGAGCCAAGGTTGCCTACCCTCGGGATAGGTAATAGGAAAGATAAGGAGTATCATAGTAATACAGCTTTACTAGTATGTTGACAGTGTTGTAAGCATTAGTTATTATATATATTTATATAATATATATATTATATATATTCTACTACTGGGCCCATGCTGCTGAAACCTCTGCCTGGCACCTGGGCATCACCCTTCCCAGCTCTGACCCCTTCCTCAACTGCCCTAAGGGGGTAGGGGGGGAGGCCTGACCCACGGTGACCCCTATCACTAGCTCCAGGACTTCCACTCTGCTCCCCAGTGGGCTTCCCGGGGGTTGATCTTCCCTTGGGCTGATTTCCCACCCGGTCCCCCCCTTTCTGCCTTCCTGCAGCTCCAGGTCTGCCGCTTCCACCGGCACCTGCTCCAGCGCAAGAGGAGCCCCTGGCTGGTCCCTCCACTCTGCCGATGGCACACCGAGGCCCAGTCGGCCAGGTAGTAGTAGCTGGGCTGGATTCAGGCCGACTTAGGGCCGCGCGAGGCTTCCTCCTCCTCCTGGCCTGTGGAGCCTGTGGGGTTGATTGGTTGGTTCGGGTCCTTGGGGCTGCTCCAGGCAATCCTCGGCTTACAGCGGTTCATTTAGTGACCGTTCAGAGTTACAACGGCGCTGAAAAAAAGGGGACTCAACGTTACGGCCTTTGCAACATCCCCAGCGTCCCGTGATCAAAATTCAGCTGCTCGGCCACTGACTCGTACTTACGACCGTTGCCGTGTCCCATAAGGTGACGTAATCCCCCTTTCCAACCTTCTCACAAGCAGCGGGGAAGCCAGGTCCACTTAACGCCCGTGTTATTCATATCTGCGGGGATTCACTTAACAAGAGTGGCAAGGAAAGTCACAAAACGGAGCAAAACTCACATGGCACAATGTCTCGCTTAGCAGAGGAAATTTTGGGCTCAGTTGCGGTCGTAAATTGAGGACTTACCTGTATTGCTGCTTACAGGTTGGAAGCGCTTGAGGGGCTTCCGGGTTGAAAGGATTAGCTGGTGATATCGCTGTTCCCCGGGGGGGGACACCCAGTTTGGGGGGCTCCTTTCACGTCCCCATTACGAGCCCACCAAAATAGGTACCTATTTATCTTCTCGCATTTGCCCACTTTCGAATGCTGGGTGGGCAGGAGCTGGAGCCAAGGACGGGAGCTCGCCCCGACACACAGCAGCACGCGGGACTCGAACACTCGGGGCTCACCGGGAAGAGACCGGTGCTAGTAGTGAGGTGTGGGTGGTCCTCTCTGCTTGATTGACAGTTGTCTTTCTCCCCCCACCCTGCAGCTCTACTGGACAGAGGGGGCTGCTGAAGAGGACCTTTCTGGGGACAGCGGTGGCCCTTCCCCTAGCCACGGGCATCTACTACGCCTTGGCCGAGAAGCAGGACCGGAGAAAGATGCGGTTGGTGGCTGGCAGCGTGGTGCGCTTTGTCAGGTGGGGTGGCGACCGCAAGGCGTCCTCGGTCCTTTTTCCCGGGGAGGGAGGCGGCGTGGAGACTCCTGGACTCCCCCCTTAGAAAGGCCAGCCCAACCATCACTGCAAAATAATGCTGCTTTTCGGTGGGTCCACCGGCAATGGGTAGGACTAGAACAGGGGTCCCCAACCCAGGGTCTGTGGCCCGGTGCCGGGTTGTGGCCCGTTCAAAATCGGGTCACAGAAGTGGCGGGCAAGTACACGTGTGCACGCGGAGCTGCATTTGTGGAAGTGGCACGCCTGTGCGAAACCACCCGTTCTCTGCTGCCTCATGCCAGTCCGCCGAGCTGGAGAGGCCTAGAACAGGGGTCCACAACCCCGGATCCAGGCAACGGCAATGGGCCATGGCATGCCAGAAACTGCTCCACGCAAAAAATGAAGCCCCTCCCGTGGGATGCAGGCAGCCTGAGAAACCACGCCCCCTCCGGTCCGCGGAAAAACCTGTCTCCATGGAACCGGTCCTTGGTGCCCAAAAGGTTGGGGTCCACTGGTCTAGAGGACCTCATGATATCCCAGCTGTACTAAGGAAGCCGGAAACACCCTAGGTCTGAGCGCAGGCGGTTCTTGGGTCCTCTCCTGGCCACCACCTGCTCCAGAGAGATCTGTAACCCAGGGACTTTCAAATCCCGTGGGGCTATCCTGGCACATGGGAAACAGCAGGAACTTCTATCTGGATCTGCCCTGGACCCTCCTGGGTTTCTCCCCAAGGGCTGGGGTGACACTGAGGGATAGTTCTAAGTCTGGATCGTCTTCTCCCAAAGGTCCCTGCGGCTGGGAGTCCAAATCTCCTTGGATTACTGGTGGACGAACTACGTCATCTTGAGAGGCCTGGATGAGGTACAGTTGCTTGTCAAGCTTTGAAACCAGTCTTTGAAAGTCTTTAAACTCGCAGGGCTCTTCAAACTCGGCCCTTTGATGACTTGTGGACTTCAACTCCCAGAATTCCTCAGCCAGGTACGCGGAATTCTGGGAGTTGAAGTCCACAGGTCATCAAAGGGCCGAGTTTGAAGAGCCCTGACTTAACAGAATTAACAGAACTTGTGGACTTCAAGTCCCAGAATTCATGGCTGGCTGGGGAATTCTGGGAGTTGAAGTCCACAAGTCATGAAAGGGCCAAGGTAGGAATTTGGTTAGCTGGGGAATTCTGGGAGTTGAAGTCCACAAGTCATCAAAGGGCCAGGTTTGAAGAGCCCTGCATAATTGTCTGCCCAAGAAGGAGGTGTGTGTATGTGTCCACCCCTTCTCCAAAGTGTCAATACTTTAGAATGGCTGCAGCCATTTTTTCTCTTCTCATTCCTAGTCGTCATATAGCACAGAGGGACAGGGGTGGCCAGGTGTCACGCTAAACCAGCGCTTCTCAACCTGTGGGTTGCGACCCCATTTGGGGTCGAACAACCATTTCACGGGGGTCACCAAACAACGCGATCCGCCATTTTTTCCGCCATTTTTTCCCCTTTTCCTTAGCTCTGCTACTCCCTCTTATTCTATTGGCTTTCGAAAGCCAATAGAATAGACTCTCTTGAACAGAGTCTAATTCTATTGGCTTTCAAAAGCCAATAGGAATTGTCCAGGGCTGTCTCTGCCCTGCTGAGCCTGCCAAAAGCCCCAGTCTGCAAATAGTGCTGCAAGGGGAACAGTCTGCAGAGCTTCCCTCCCTGTTAAGCAACTAAAAAGTAAGTAAAAGAGGGCCAAGGTGGGAGGTGAGAGGCCGGTGGGCGCAGGGAGGGTTGCTGGCGCGCGTGGGACCCGGCAGGTGCCTTACCTGCCTTGGGCTGGGCCAGCTGGTGGCCCAGCTGGTGGTCACCCTGCGCCGCCGCTGCCGCGGTCACCCAGGAGCGCCTGGGCCTGCCTGCCACTGCCCCGAACAGGCGGCGGCCAAGGTAAGCCTAGCGGGGCAGCGGCAGGCGCAGGGAGGGTTGCTGGCACGCGTGGGGCCCAGCGGGTGCCTTACCTGCCTTGGGCTGGGCCAGCTGGTGGCTCAGCCGGTTGGTCGCCCTGCTTGCCGCGGCCGCCCGGGAGCGCCCGGGCCTGCCTGCCACCGCCCCTTGCTGGCTATGCCTCAGCCGGCGCAGGGAGTGGCACCACGCATGCGCAGCGCGTGCTTACGACTGGGCTCGCCGGTATAAAAAGGTTGAGAACCACTGCGCTAAACAAAACAGACTTTATTGGAAGTTCCCTGGGGGGAACCAAGGTCATCGGCTGCTCCCGAGATTGTGGGCTGAGCGTTTGATGAAAAGCCTAATAACAAGCTGTGTGGGGAAATGTAATTGCTTGCATAGCCTCAGGGGAAAGAGTTTGTGACATTGTAGTGGGGAAATTGGTATACATTTCTTCAGACTTGGTTTTGCTTTGAAAGTGCCGACACTCTTGGTATCAATAAACACGTTGAGGAATTTGCAAGCCTCTGAGTTCTGCTTTACTTGTCTCTGTCTATTGCAGGGGTCTTCCAACTTGGCCCTTGGATGACTTGTGCCTGGCTGAGGATTTCTGGGAGTTGAAGTCCACAAGTCATCCAAGGGCCACATTTGAAGAGCCCCTGGTCTATCGGAACCATGACACAAAGCACCTGTAGACAGGAGAAGAAGCAACGGATGGAAACGAACCAAGGACAGAAGCAACCTGGAACTAAGGAGGAATTTCCTGAGTGTTAGAGTAATTAACCAGTGGAACAGCTGGCCACCAGAAGTTGTGGGGGCTTTTAAGAGGAAATTGGATAGCCATTTGCCCAGAATGGTCTAGGACAGGGGTGGCGAACCTATGGCACGCGTGCCACAGGAGGCACGCGGAGTCGTCCCTGTGGGCACGCATGCCATCGCCCCAGAAGGAGGCGGGGCCAGGCTCCTCCCGTCCGCGTGCAGCTGCTGGGCGCCCGTCCGTAGCCTCGGTCAGGGAGCCTCTGATGGGGCTCCATCCTCCGCAACGCTGCAGGCCAAGGACCATGTGGTGAGAAGAAGGTTAGAGTCGAGGAAGTGGTTGGACTTATCTGCTACGTGTGCGCCTTACTGGGAGGGGGAAATTTGCACCTCCAACGGGAAAAAAAAGAAAGAAAAAGCTCCAACTTGGCGCAGCAAGCTTGCTTCACAAAAAGGCGGCTACTCCCGTGAGATGTAAAAACCCCAAATTTTGATACTCACAATACGAAGACAAGTCTGGTTAACAAAACAAAGGTTTATTGGAGAATAACATAAACAGAATAAAAAAGAAAAGAGAAAGAATAGAAGAAAGGAGCGTTTGCAAACACGGCCCCCTGGATCCTTCCCTATGGATTGGGTTCCAGGAACGCACCGGCCTGGTTTCAAGATCTGCATTTTATACCCCTACAATGCATGTCACATCTAAGCAGCTCTTTCATCTTTATAGATGTACTCCGAAGTTGTACTTTGTTTACCTGACCTCTTCCGTCCATCTGCTGTTATCTTGTTTATTTGTAATTCTCACCTTGGGTCAAAATCCCCCTCTTCCATAGTAGGATTTCTACTCAAAGTGTAAGTTCCTGTGTCCGGAGGAATTTTTTTAGGCAGGAAATAGTAAACATTCGGTCATATATTGGCATTGCATTGTTACGTTTGTGTTACAGTGTTACCTTTGTACTAAAGGGACAGTTTCATATCATGGCATTACATTTCTACAGTTATTTCTACAATTATGAAAAGAATAACTTTTATTTCCTTCACTCCTTTCTGGGGTTTTTTTCCACACCCCCCCCCCCTCCGAGGTCGTTCGCGACCCTCTCTCGGGCTGTGATGGAAAAGTTGTAGCTCGAATTTGCAAAACCAGTTCGGCCTCTTCTACTGACCACCCACCGGAGAAGACTCTGAGATTTCCTCTTCGGAGTTAACCTGTTGCAGGGCAGGGGTGCGCAGTGTAAGCAGACACCCCCTTGAATGTGTTGGGAAGGCAAGCTGTTTTTTTTGGGGGGGAGGGGGGCAAACGAGTTGGGCTGCCTTTCCTTCGAGGGAAGATCAGATGACAGCCGGAGAGCAAAGGTTGGGGGCAGCTGAGAAGTTTTTGCTCCCTGGAGTTGAGTTCTCCTGCGCTTTAAGACTTCTCTGAGCCTTACGGATCAAACGTAGCAGGGAGGTGCCTTCACTGCGGATTTGGCGTTCAAAAACATAAGTTTGTGCCCGTCCCCTTTTTTGTCCTAACTTGGCTTGCAAAATGGAGTCCATTTGCGCTTTGCAGAAGCTTGCAGGGGGAGGAGGACGCGGGCGTTTGCACTTTGGAGAAAGGGAGAGAGAGAGGAAGGAAGGAGGAGAGGGAGAAGGAAGGAGATGGGAATGAGAAAGGGAAGCAGGCAAGGAAGGAGTGGAGGGGGAAGGAAGGAAGGAGAAAGGGAGGCAGGCAAGGAAGGAGTGGAGGGGGAAGGAAGGAAGGAAGGAAGGAAGGAAGGAAGGAGATGGGAATGAGAAAGGGAAGCAGGCAAGGAAGGAGTGGAGGGGGAAGGAAGGAAGGAGAAAGGGAGGCAGGCAAGGAAGGAGTGGAGGGGGAAGGAAGGAAGGAAGGAAGGAAGGAGATGGGAATGAGAAGGAGGCAGGCAAGGAAGGAGTGGAGGGGGAAGGAAGGAAGGGAGAAGGAAGGAAGGAAGGAAGGAAGGAAGGAAGGAAGGAAGGAAGGAAGGAGATGGGAATGAGAAAGGGAGGCAGGCAAGGAAGGAGTGGAGGGGGAAGGAAGGAAGGAAGGAAGGAAGGAAGGAAGGAGATGGGAATGAGAAAGGGAGGCAGGCAAGGAAGGAGTGGAGGGGGAAGGAAGGAAGGAAGGGAAGGGAAGGGAATGAGAAAGAGGGAGGCACCTGACCCTGGGGATGCTGCAACGGTCATAAGTGAAAAATGGTCATAAGCCATTTTATTCAGTGCCTTTGTAACTTCGAACAGTCACTAAGTTAGCTGTTGTAAGTTGAGGACTACTGTACTTTATCACTTTTTTCCTTTTTTGGGAGGGGGAGGGGTTATCAAGTTTTTGACACCTTGCTAGGCGACTGGGAAAGCCCTGAGTTAGAGAACTGGGATTGCAGCTGCTTTCTTGCAGGTATGCGGAATGGCGTGGGACCCCCAGGTTTTGCAAAGTGAAGTGAAGAAGTTGGTTACAGCTTATTAGGAAAGATAAAATAGACAACCAAGAATGCTTTCTTGACCATTCTATCAGTTGCACCTGCTAGTACAGGCATTCTGCTTCAGATTTCTGTTATTTTCAGCATCTGGCAAATACGAACGAGTACTTTTCCAACAACCTGTAAAATCCAAGACCCCGTGCTTTCATTGTTTAATTCCCCCCTCATACAGTCGTGGCCAAAATGGTGGAAACCTTTTGGGAAAAGTGTACAGTAGAAATGCCACTTTTGGTTAAGTTTCCACCAATTTTTCTTCCAATTTCTTTATAATTGTAGCCTTGTTCACTTAATAATACTACTTTACAATGCTTTCTGGGCGACTGGTCAACTCTTTGCACCATGACTTTAATTTTATGACGTTTTACAAGCTCACTCAATGGAAGAACACCACAAAATCCCAACCAACTTGATAGCCATCCCATAACACACTGAGAAATCTCCTCCTCTCAGCTTCAATACAGGGCATCCATCACTGGATCCTACCGTGATCCGATTGGCTCATGACCAAAACAGGATGACAAGCTTCCTGCCAACTACCCCTCCCGCCAGAGACCCCCTGGATCTCCCCCGATCCTGCCCGGCCCCCAAAGGCATCCCTTCTCAGGAGCAACATTGATGTGGCCATGCCCACCTATGCTGCCATGACTACCACGGCCATGCCCACCCAATGGGCCACACCCACCCAGCACCCAACCATGCATAAGTGGGTTTGGGGGTTGCAGTTTGGGCACTCGGTCTCTAAAAGGTTCGCCAGCACTGGTCTAGGACTTCCTACTTGAGCAGGGGGTTGGACTACATGACCTCCAAGGTCCCTTCCAACTCTTGTTAACGCTGCAAATATTGTATATTCTTGCTTTTGACACTATCATTCTTTGTTACATCCCCCTCTGTTAGCTGCAGTGGGACTTCCCCCCACACACACACCCCTGTCTTGTGGGGTATAGAATTTCCTTCTTTTCATGCTCGGCCTATCTTGCGCGATGTCAGCAGTTTCATTGCCCTGCAGGAGGAGGAGGAGGAGGAGAAATAATAATAATAATAATAATAATAGTAGTAGTAGTAGTAGTCATAGGCGCCTTGGGTGCAATCCCAAAACAACTGGAGCACCACTTGATCACCATTGGCATTGACAAATTCGCTATTAGTCAATTGCAAAAGGCGGCCTTATTAGGAACTGCTTCCATCCTGCGACGATACCTGTAATACCATCAAACATCCACATCTGCCGATCCCAGGTCCTGGGTAAGGACTCGATAGGTAGACAAACTGCCAAATCCAGTCTGAACATCTGGCTGACTGTGCGATGATCCATAATAATAGTAATAAAAAAAAGTTGGAAGGGACCTTGGAGGTCATCTAGTCCAACCCCCTGCTCAGGCAGGAAACCCTGCACCATTTCGGACAAATGGCTGTCCAATCTCTTCTTCAAAACTTCCAGTGTTGGAGCATTCACCGCTTCTGGAGGCAGGTAGTTCCACTGGTTAATTGTTCTCACTGTCAGGAAGTTTCTCCTTAGTTCCAGGTTGCTTCTCCCCTTGATTAGTTTCCATCCGTTGCTTCTTGTCCTGCCTTCAGGAAATGCTTTGGAGAATAGCTTGACTCCCTCTTCTTTGGGGCAGCCCCTGAGATACTAGAAGGCTGCTATCCTGTCCCCCCTCGTCCTTCTCTTCATTAAACTAGACATACCCAATTCCAGCAACCGTTCCTTGTATGTTTTAGCCTCCGGTCCCCTAATCATCTTGGTTGCTCTTCTCTGTCCTTGCTTACCCCAAAAGGGTATGGCCTGGTAGATGTATTTGTCTGAGCACCTGTCTTTGCTTAGTGCAGAAAAGGGAGGAGAGGAAGGCAGTGCAAGGGGGGGGGAGGAGGAGGGGGAGAAATTGATCCTCAGTTGCACATCCAGAGGCAAACCCTCCCAAGATTAAGACCTTTGTAATCCAGGCTGGGGAGGGTGGCAACTCTTCTGGAAGATTAGAACTCTCCCTGATGTGCAGGTTCTGAGGTTTTGCTTGATAAAGAAATCCAGGAAACCAGAGGTTACCTTCCAGCTTTACGTTTTTATTCCGCTAATGGACAGGAGCCCCGAATGACAAGAAATCCTTGTATTTATTCTTCCCGATTATGTAAGCAACCCATCCAGCAAAGCTGACACACATAAGATAAGGATTTCACCCAGTAAGTCTGGCACGCTGTACATAAGAAGGGAGAAAAAGAAGTTGAAATTCAATGGTGAAAAAAGCAAGGTTCTACATTTAGGCAAGAAAAACCAAATGCACAAGTACAGCATAGGTGGCACCTTGCTCAATAGTAGGAACTGTGAGAGGGACCTCGGAGTCCTAGTGGACAATCCCTTAAATAGGAGCCAGCCGTGTGCTGCAGCTGCCAAAAAGGCCAACACAGTGCTAGGCTGCATTGACAGAGGGATAGAATCAACATCACGTGAAGTATTAGTACCACTTTACAAGGCCTTGGTAAGGCCACACTTGGAATCCTGCATCCAGTTTTGGTCACCACGATGTAGAAAAGATGTTGAGACTCTAGAAAGAGTGCAGAGAAGAGCAACAAAGATGATCAGGGGACTGGAGGCTAAAACATATAAAGGAAAAGCTGCTGGAATTGGGGATGTCTAGTTTAACGAAGAGAAGGACAAGGGGGGACATGATAGCAGCCTTCCAGTATCTCAGGGGCTGCCCCAAAGAAGAGGGAGTCAAGCTCTTCTCCAAAGCCCCTGAAGGCAGGACAAGAAGCAACGGGTGGAAACTAATCAAGGAGAGAAGCAACCTAGAACTAAGGAGAAACTTCCTGACAGTGAGAACAATTAACCAGTGGAACAACCTGCCTCCAAAAGCGGTAAATGCTCCAACACTGGAAGTTTTTAAGAAGAGACTGGACAGCCATTTGTCCAAAATGGTATAGGGTTTCCTGCCTGAGCAGGGGGTTGGACTAGATGACCTCCAAGGTCCCTTCCATCTTTACTATTATTATTATTATTATTACTAAGTTGCTAAACAGGTTCCCATTTGGGTGTTTCCCTAAAGATATTGTATGTTCTCGGGTGGGTTAGGACATCGGGTGTTGTCCTTGCTGTCCTTTCGTGACCTTACATCCAGGAGTCTGCAGGTGAGCAAAGAGAGAGGGGGTGTGTGTACGTATTCACAATTGATACTGTCCCTTAATTCCTCGTCATCCCAGGATAGCCTGTGGGGGGAGATTCTTGGGAGTAGAGGCGTCCACGCTGCCACCTTCCGTGAGGTCAGGTCTGGGAAGGATCTAACCTCCTGCTCTCCCTCGCCCGTCTTCCCTGTGGTCAGAACAGCCCGGAGTACGTGGCCACCGTGTCCAGGTGTCACCAGCGCTCGGCCGAGAGCATCGTCTTCGGGGCCATTCAAAACGGGGGCCTCTACATCAAGCTGGGCCAAGGCCTGTGTTCCTTCCCCCACATCCTCCCCCAGGAGTACATCAACACGCTGCGCACCTTGGAGGACCGGGCGCTCAGGCGGGGATACACGGAGGTGAGTGAGGCAGCTACGGGCTGCTTCTGCTGCAGACTTCAGCAGCAGCTGCGCTCAGGGACCTGGGAAGGGGGTGGTGTCACCAGGTCTTCCTCCCTTTTAGGGGCTCTTCCTTGGGTTGCCCACCGTCTGCCCCAAAGAACGGGGGAGAGAGCTGAGATTTAGTAGGAACGCGACGTCCCTTCCGGTTTCCCACTAGCAGCCACCGAAGCGGCTTCTGTTCCTACGTCGGGAAAACGTCCCAGAGTTCCTTGCGATGTCTTCGTTTCCTTTTTTTCGCCGTTGATTAGATTTGAATCTGTTGCCGGAATTTAGATAGTCAGTGGGAAGAAACGTTGCCAAATGGGGCAAATCCCAATCGCTACCTCCCTTAGCGTAGGCTCAGTTGTGGTCGTAAGGTGAGGTCTGCCTTTAGCCTCCTGGTAGATCTGTCATAACTTTGAACACCTGCTCAGCAAGTGGCCACAAACTCAGACTGGCTTTAACTTTAACCCTCTAAATCAGGGGTCCTCAACCGTGGCCACTTTAAGACAAGTCCACAAGTCTTAAAGTGGCAGGTCCATGCCAGGTATTTTCATAATGGCTCAGCTTGGTAGGAGGTTCCTTCCAGCTGGATGACCTTGAGGCAGGTCCTGGGGTGGCTCAGCCTCTACTTCCAATTCCCCAACCGTCCCCCATCCCTGCAGTTCATGGCAGTCTGTCATTGCGTAACAACAGAGCCCAGCAAGCATAAAGTGACAGCTGACACCGATCACAAGTTGCGGACTGCCTGTAGCTCTGCTTTCTTTGCCATTCCTTCCTGAGGGAGGGGTTGGATCACATACTCCTCCCCTCCGACCACGGCTCTCACTGACTCCCTGGCCCTTCCGGACCGCAGGTGGACGACCTCTTTCTGGAGGATTTCAGCGCCAAAGCGGACCAGCTCTTCCTGGAGTTTGACTACCAGCCCATCGCGGCTGCCAGCTTGGCCCAGGTGCACCGGGCACGGCTTCACGACGGCACCCCGGTGGCCGTGAAGGTGCGTCCGGGAGGACAGGCGAAGCGAGGATGTGCCAGCCTGAAGGATCTAGAGGGGGCGCGGGAATGGCTGAACTACACTTCCCAGCATCACTTGGGAGTTCGGGCGCAGCAGGTGGTCTTTCTCCTTTCTGACTTCTAGGGGTCTGGCCTCGCTTCTTGCGGGGTGGGGAAGGAGTGGCGCTGGTCCTTTGGGCTACGACTCTCCTCTGGGTCTGCTCCCATCCCCGGGCGGTGCGTCACCATCTCTGGCTCCCCTGTGCAGGTGCAGTACATCGACCTGAGAGACCGTTTTGACGGGGACATCCGCACCCTGGAGTTCCTGCTGTGGATCGTGGAGCTGATACACCCCAGTTTTGGCTTCGGCTGGGTCTTGCAGGTACCGTGTGGCCCAGCATCTCTCGCCACCGACCTGAGGGAGCTGCTCTCGAACCCGCCTACTATACACCCCCCGCAGCACCCCAAACTCCTTGGTTTGCTTGCCCTTCCAGGCACCCGACTCTGGTGGCAAGGGGGATCCCCCGTATCTGAGTCAGGACCCTTTGTGTCTCCCGACACTGAAGGCGGCCTGTTCAGAACAGCTTTGGCAAAATTGGTGAGGAGCGGGTCTAAGGCAGGGGTCTTCAAACTTGGCCCTTGGATGACTTGTGGACTTCAACTCCCAGAATCCCTCAGCCAGGCAAGCGTGGCTCAGCTTGGAAACCTCTCTCTTTTCCCTCAGCATGGCTCAGGAATTCTGGGAGTTCAAGTCCACCAGTCACAAAAGACCCCTGTCTTAAAGCATCCTGGGATAGGGCAGGGGTAGGCAACCTTGGGTCTTTTATGGCTGGTGGACTTCAACTCCCAGAATTCCTGAGCCGGCATAGCTCAGCTTGGAAACCTGTCCCTTTCCCCTCAGCATGGCTGGCTCAGGAATTCTGGGAGTTGAAGTCCATAAGTCATCAAAGAGCCCAGGTTGCCTACCCTGGTCTAGGCCTAGACCGCTTTGTGACTCATGGATTTCAACTCCCAGAATTCCTGAGCCAGCATGGGGGAACTATGGCCCCTTCATGACTCATGGACTTCAACTCCCAGAATTCCTCAGCCAGCACAGCTCAGCTTGGAAACCTCTCCCTTTCCCCTCAGCATGGCTGGCTCAGGAATTCTGGGAGTTGAAGTCCACCAGTCATAAAAGAGCCCAGGTTGCCTACCCCTGCCGTAGACCAGGGGTGGGGAACCTTGGCTCTTTTATGACTGGTGGACTTCAACTCCCCGAGTTCCTCAGCCAGCCTCCATATTGTTTGTTAGATTTAAGACAGGAGTCTTCAAACTTGGCCCTTTTATAACTCATGGACTTCAACTCCCAGAATTCCTGAGCCAGCATGGGGGAACTATGGCCCCTTCATGACTCATGGACTTCAACTCCCAGAATTCCTCAGCCAGCATGGGGGAACTATGCCCCCCCTCATGACTCATGGACTTCAACTCCCAGAATTCCTGAGCCAGCATGGCTCAGCTTGGAAACCTCTCCCTTTCCCCTCAGCACGGCTGGCTCAGGAATTCTGGGAGTTGAAGTCCACCAGTCATAAAAGAGCCAAGGCGGCCTATCCCTGGACTAGGACATCCCTGATTCAGCCTGGCTGCTCCTGAACAGGCTCCGGATCTCCCCCATGAGCGTCCATGCCCCTTTGCCAAAGGAATCACAGACTGATAGGGCTGGAAGGGACCTTGGAGGTCTTCTAGCCCAACCCACTTCTCTTCACTTCCCTCTGGTGGAAACCCCAAGCCCGTTCGGCTGCCAGTTGTCTTCCCCATAGCCCAGCACTCTCGGTTTGCAAAATGCGCCAGGAACGGACGCGGTGTCTCCATTCCTAGCTTAGGGGTCTCTGGGTGGTACCCAGCAGTGTTTGGCACCCTGACCTCCCTCCCTCCCTCCCTCCGTCCCCGCTTTCTCTCCTCCCCATCCCCTTCCAGGACCTGAAGGGGACCCTGGCCCAAGAGCTGGACTTTGAGATCGAAGGTCGCAACGGCGAACGTTGTGCCCAGGAGCTGAAGCACTTCCATTTTGTGGTGGTTCCTCGCGTTCACCGGGACAAAAGCAGCAAGGTGGGTCTGCTGCCCCCTTCGAAGGGGGTCCAGCGCCGGGCTCTTTCCTGCCAAAACGGGTGGTCTTTCTTTCAGGGCGGGGGCGGGAGGGGGGGTGTCTCCAACATTTGGGCCGCTTTTAAGAAAGACTCGTGGACTTCCAACTCACAGGATTCCCCAGCCCCCCAAATTTATGTCGCTAAGCAAGGCAAGTTCCCCCCCCCCCGGGAAGGTTGTAAATGGTGATCATGTGGAACCCCCCCCCAGGAAATTAACCACTCTCGTAAATCCATGCTGGTGGCCAAGGGTCCGTATTTTGATCATGTGATCACAGGGATGCTGCCTGCGTCACAAGTGTGAAAACAAAATGGCCGTAATTCCCTTTTTTTTTCAGTCCTGTTACAAACTTTCAGTGATCACTAAAGGCACGTCCGCCTGTCAAGGCAGCCACCTCCCGTCTGATTCATCATCCGTCGTCCATCAAAGACTTCCCTTGGATGTTAACTGGGGTTATAGGGAGGGAAAGTCAACATCTGGCGAAGGACAGGCGTTGCGCAGAGGGTTGCCTAATGTCCCAGCATCTGATGGAGAAACAGGGCGATGTTCCCAGAGACGCCTTTTGAGTGACGCAAATGGATTTGGAAGCTGCCCTGGGTTCGGGTCCAGGGCCTTCGTTCCCCTCCCAGAGGAAGGAAGGGGGCAGCATTGGGGTGGGTGGGGGCTGCGTTGAAATTGGAAGCTGGAATTGTGTTTTTGGCCCTCTTACCGTTGAGCTCAGTCAGGGGTTAAAGCATCAGGCTAGATAGGAGGGAGGTCGTGAGTTCAAGTCCTGCCTTAGGCTTAATAGCAGCTTATAGTAATATTATAATTATAATTAGAAGAAGAAGAAGAGGAGGAAGAAGAAGAAGAAGATGATGATGATAGGTAAATAAAATGCCAAATCCAGTCTGAACATCTGGCTGACTGTGCGATGATCCATCATCATCATCATCATAAAGTTGGAAGGGACCTTGGAGGTCATCTAGTCCAACCCCCTACTCAGGCAGGAAAGCCTATATACCCTTTCAGACAAATGGCTGTCCAGTCTCTTCTTAAAGACTTCCAGTGTTGGAGCATTCACTGCTTCCGTTCTTAAGTGAATCACTGCAGTTGTTCCACTCCATTCCATTCCATATTTTCTATTCTATTCTATTCTATTCCATTCCACTCCAGTCCACTCCAATCCATTCCATTCTATTCTATTCATTCCTCTATTCTATTCTATTCTATTCTATTCTATTCTATTCTATTCTATTCTATTCTATTCTATTCTATTAATTCTTCTATTCTATTCTATTCTATTCTATTCTATTCTATTCTATTCTATTCTATTCTATTCTATTCTATTCTATTCTTTCCTCTATTCTATTCTATTCTATTCTATTCTATTCTATTCTATTCTATTCTATTCTATTCTATTCTATTCTATTCTATTCTTATTTCTCATTCCATTCCATTCCATTCTACTTTCTATTCTATTATTATTCTATTCCCTATCCTATCCTATCCTACCCTATCCATGCAAACAGTTCAGATCTGGGTCATAGGTACCTCCCCCTGTACATCCATCAGGACCTCAAACGGACGCTAAGCAAGGGGTCGTTAAGTCAAAGGCTGATTGTATTTGACACAGCTCTGAGGCTGTGGGGCCATTTGGACATTTGGGGCCTGGGGCTTCTGCTCACATGTGGCATTGATCCACCTGGACGACTTTCCCATTGACCGCAGTGCTACGGAAGCTCCTGTACCGCAGCCTTTCCTAACCTCCCTTCCCTTCTCTCCCCGTGCTTAGCGGGTCCTGACTGCCGATTTCTACGAAGCCTGCAAAATTAACGACCTGGAGGGGCTCCTGAGGCAGGGCTTGAGCCCCAAGGACGTGAGTCTCGGGGGGGGGGATCTGGGGGAGGGGCATAGAAGGTCGGGCGTCGCCATTGGATCATGCCTGCCGCCGGGAAGCTGATTGCTTTGGTTGGGGATCATCGGCTGGGATGAGTCCTTTGGGGGGCCTTGCGCAGCTTCTCTCCTAGCCAGCCCTGATGATGTTCCCTAGTTGGGTTGTGAAATGTCTGCAAAGAAGGCAACCAAGGGACCCCACAGTCCTCCTCCTCCTCCTCTTCTCTCCACAAACCCCACTCTCTTCTAGTACTGATGATGTTCCCTAGCTGGGTCATGAAACATCTGCAGGAGAACCGCCCAGCTCAGAGAGCCCCAAGGAGACCTGCCTTGTGAGGGAGAGTCTGTCTCTGAGCAAAGCCACGGCCTTTGCTTTCTCCCCTTTCAGAGACCCCCCCCCCTCTCTCTCCCTCCCCCCCTCCCTCCAGGCAGCGGAGAAGCTGATCAAGGTGTTTGCCGAGCAGATCTTCTTCACCGGATTCATCCATGCAGACCCTCACCCCGGAAACGGTAGGAGAGACTGTCGAGAACCAAGGATTTATTTATGTTATTTAGCCTATGGCATATCATACATGGACTTGCAATATCTATCTATCTATCTATCTATCTGTCTGTCTATCTATCTATCTCTCCATATTTATCTCTCCATATCTATCTATCTCTATCTATCTATCTATCTATCTATCTATCTATCTATCTCCATATATATCTCCATCTCTCTCTCTCTCTCTCTCTCTCTCTCTCTCTCTATCTATCTATCTATCTATCTATCTATCTATCTCTCCATATCTATCTCTCCATATCTCTCTCTCTCTCTATCTATCTATCTATCTATCTATCTATCTATCTATCTATCTATCTATCTATCTATCTATCTATCTATCTCTCCATATCTATCTCTCCCTATCTATCTATCTATCTATCTATCTATCTATCTATCTATCTATCTATCTATCTATCTATCCATATCTATCTCTCCCTATCTCCATTTCTATCTATCTATCTATCTATCTATCTATCTATCTATCTATCTATCTATCTATCTATCTATCTATCTATCAACATTTCCCCTAGAATAGATTAAAAAGACTCAATAAAATACGAATGCTAAATGAACTAGGTCCAAATACCCTTGCCTTGGCCATCTAACCGTTAAACCAGCATTGTTTATAGGAAAAAAAAGTCAGAAGCTGGACCCCTAGATGCCCTCAGCTTACCGTCGGTCGCGATGGGAGGTACAGTTGGACGTGGGACCTCACTGTCGCTCTGGGGGGAGGATACGGTGCCCCATTTATATTTAGAGCCAAGGAATCAAAGCCCCAAAGGCTGAATGGGAAGCCGTGGGCTGCGCCAGCGGAGGCTCCGACCCCCAGTGGAGCTGGGAGGTGGGGAGCCAGTTGGGGGATCAGGTCAGCTGGCAGGATCGTCATTGGTTTGGTGTGTGAATCCGGGCACTCTGATGGAGACGCTTGTGTGGACTGGCCAGGCTGAATGCAGAGACTCGCTTTCCAATAAAGGAGAATCTGTGTCGCTCAGCCTTGAAATGAGGGCTCCTTGGTGCTCTCTGAGCTGGGTGGTTTCCTGCAGACGTTTCATGACCCAACTAGGGAACATCATCAGTGCTAGAAGGGAGGAGGGGGAGGAAGGAAGGAAGGAAGGAAGGAAGGAAGGAAGGAAGGAAGGAAGGAAGGAAGGAAGGAAGGAAGGACGGACTGTGGGGTCCTTGGTGCTCTTTGAGCTTGGCGGTTTCCTTGCAGACGTTTCATGACCCAACTAAATAACATCATCAGTGCTAAAGGGGGGGATGAGGTTCATCATCATAATCATGGTGATGTCATCTAGTTGAATCACGAAGAAAAGCACCAAGCTCGGAGAGCATCAAAGATTCCACAGTCGTCATTGTCGTCGTCGTCCTCCTCCTCCTCCTCCTCCTCCCCCTCCTCCTCCTCCTCCTCCTCCTCCTCCTCTCTGCAGACCCCACACCCTTCTAGCACTGATGATGTTACCTAGTTGGGTCATGAAACGTCTGCAAGAAAACCACCCAGCGTGGAGAGCACCAAGGACCACTCACTCTGTTCAAGCAGATTCTCAGATTCCTCATGACTGCACCCCCCTCACTGCCAGAACATCTGGGGGGGGGGAGGTCAGCATTGAAAGAAAAACGAAACAGAGCAGAGGTCAAGGATGAAACTTTGGCTGCCACTGCCTCTGCATTTCAACTCACCTTTAGATCAAGGGGGTGGGAGGTGTTGCTTTCAAGTGGGGAGATGGAGAAACGAAACCTCTTTGATTCAGCCTGTGAGAGCCTGAAACCCTTTCAAGGACACCAGAACAGGTGTGTGGATTTGAAGCGGATGGTTCCCATCACCAAGTGAACTTGTTGATACGGATTACGTAAGACGTTGGGGGTTTTGGCTGGCAAAACTATCGTTTCCGTCTACAAATTGGGGTTTTGGGAACCCGAGAGTTAGTTTTGCTTCGACAAAACCACGCAGTGTATTCCATAAAACGTAAGCTTTTTGGAAACGGAACGAACCTGGGGTTTCATTTGGATTCTCGAGCTGTTGACTGTGGGAAGCGAAGGGATGGAGAAGCAGCTACAGCTGCCTCTTGGGGGGACCCTGCACAGAGGCAGTTTGCTCGGCTTTACATGTCCTTGTTCTGACAGATGAAACTCTTCAAAGAACTTTGAGGCATTGTTTACCTTAAGGAATCTTTATTCGAGCAGCATGGCATCGGCTCGTACATAGGCCAAGCCAAAATCTGAATTCCCCTCCCCTGAGCACATAGTATCAAAACACAATTCCCTCCTCTAATTAATAGTCATAAATCATATTCTCCAACTAGTTTGAAATGCAGGCTTTCCCTCCAGTTCTGCAACCCGCCATTTCTTACCATCTCTTATTTCAAAAAAACCTTGGTTCTCACCCTAGTTACAGTATTGTTATGTCTAACTAAACTCCCATGCACATTCCTCCTACTCCCCCCCCCAGTATCCTTTAATTCTAAGAGTAAAACATAAAAAGGAAAATGGCTGCATCTCCATCTGTTGCCAAAGCAAGAACATCCAATGTTAGCAGCGTTGACATTACACAGAACCAGACCAAAAAGCCCGGATGGATGGGGAGCTGGGCGGGCTTTAAAGGGAATTCTGGGGGGGGGGGAATTGGCGAGGAGAATGCTTCATCTCCAGACAGGACTGCATTGGGCTGCCCTCACCCCCCCCCTCGTTCCTCATTCCTGTCTTGCAGTGTTGGTGCAGAAGGGCCCAGACGGCAAAGCGCAGCTGGTTCTCCTGGATCACGGCCTGTACGAGGTCCTTCGTGAGAAGTAAGGATCGGTGTGTGTGTGTGTTTGTGTGTGTGTGTGTGTGTGTGTGTCAGGAGCCTCCCCTTTGGTGTACAAGCACCCCCTGAGTAGCAACCTCAGGCTGTCTCCCACCGACAACGGTTCACTTAGTGACTGTTTGAAGTAGCAACGGCACTGAAAAAGGAGACTTACATCCGTTTTTCACACTTAATGACGGTTGCAGCATCCCACGTGGTCAAAATTCGGACGCTTGGCCACTGGCTCACCTTTATGACGGTTGCTGTGTCCCGGAATCAGGTGATCCCCTTTTGTGACCTGGCAAGTAGAGTCAACGGGGAAGCCGGGTTTACGTAGTCACTAAGTTAGTAACCGTGGCGAGAAAAACGGGGCAAAACGCAACTCAAACACTGTCTTGCTTAGCGAATTCCGTGCTGGTGGTCGTATCTGGGCTTACCTGCCGGCCAGGATGCTTGCCGTCCACGGGAGACTGGCAACAACGTCCTGCCAAATTGTGAGGGGGTGGCCCCGAACAAGGGCAACGGGGTCTGCAGGGATTGCCATTGCTCAGGAACGTGGTCGCCTGGCATCGCGCTTTAAGACTGCGTCAGCCTTGGAGGGGAGTGGGATATTCCGCTCCCAACGGCCGTCATAACTTGAGGACAACCTGCAGCTGCCTCCTGGACCCCCGAGGGTCTGCAGCTGCGTCGCCTCCTTCCCTCCCCCGGCCGACAGCTCTTCTCTGTGCTCTCTCCCCCCCCCCCCAGGGAACGAGGAGCTTTGTGCAAGCTCTGGCGCGCTCTCATCCTGCGGGACGACTGCTCCATGCGACTCTACTCCCAGCAACTGGGCGTCAAAGGTGAGGAGGGGGCTGGGACGTCTGTAAAAGGGGGATTCATTGGGGTTGGTTGGGGAAGAGGCGTCGGGTGGATCCCGTCGGGGGAGGGGGGAGATCCGGCTGGCTTTCTTGCGATGCCTCCAGAAATGGCTTTGCCCAGGAGGAGAGGATCCCTCTGTTCTGGGGGAATTGGGATGGGGGGGGGGGCAAGAATCAGCACTTCCGAATTGGTTGTCCTGCTTGCAAGGCATAAAGGAGAATCTTTGTAGCTCGGGATTGAAGTTTGTGTGTGGGGGGGTCCCTGGTGCGCTCTGAGCTGGGCGGTTTCCTTGCAGACGTTTCGTGACCCAACCAGGGAACATGATCAGTGCTAGAAGGGAGGAGGAGGAGGAGGAGGAGGAGGACGACGACGACTATGGATCCTTGTTGCTCTCTGAGCTGGGTCATTTTCTTGCAGACGTTTCATGACCCAACTAGGGAACATGATCAGTGCTAGAAGGGAGGGGTGTTTGCTTCTAACACTCCTTTCTAACACTGATATTACCTATTATGGTAATGAAAGGTCTGCAAGAAATCAAACCAAGCACTGAGGATGCTGTAGTCCTCCTCCCCCTCCCCCTCCCCCTCCCCTTCCCCCTCCCCCCTCCTCCAAAACCTCTCTCCCTTCAAGTACTGATGATGTTACCTAGTTCGTTCATGAATCATCTGCAAGAAAACCACCAGGCTCAAAAAACACCAAGGACCCCAGAGTTCTCCTCCTCCTCCTCCTCCTCCTCCTCCTCCTAAATCCTACTCCCTTCTAGCACTGATGATGTTACCTACGCAGGCAGTGAAACGTCTGCAAGAAAAACCCCAGGCTCAGAGAACACCACAGACTCCGCAGTTCTCCTCTTCCTCCTCTTCTTCTTCCTCCTCCTCCTCCTCCTCCTCCTCCTCGCAAATCCTTCTCCCTTCTAGCACTGATGATGTTACCTACGCAGGCAGTGAAACGTCTGCAAGAAAAACCCCAGGCTCAGAGCACCCAGGACCCCTCGCTTGCAACCCATTTCCAGTTGCCCCTCAATTCCTTTCTGGCCTGGTGACCGGGGGTGTGTGTGTCTCCATTCCTGACTGCCCCTTTCTCCCTCCCCCCTGCCCCAGCCCAGGATTACTTCCTCTTCTGCGAGATGCTGCTCCAGCGGCCCATCAACATGGCGGAGCTGGCCATGTCCAACGTCCTGAACCCAGCGGAGAGCGCCTACATGCGCGACATGGCTAAGCACCACTTCGACTGCATCATGCGGGTGCTGAGGGACCTGCCCCGCTCCATGCTGCTCGTCTTCCGGAACATCAACACCGTGCGGAGCATCAACCTGGCCCTGGGGGCGCCCGTGGATCGCTACTACCTCATGGCCAGAAGGTGGGAGCCCCGAGCAGCAGGCAGAAGCCGCCTTTCTCAATAAGATAGGTGGACTTCATCTCCCAGAATTCCCCAGCTGGCTATTTATTTATTTTTTTTCACTTGGGAAGCTATTTTTGTCCACTTGGCTGAAGTCAAGATCTATGACATCGACCACATTCCCACCGTCTATTAAGACAGCTGCTTCTCTATTAAGAAAGTTACAACTATGTGATAGTCTAGCCCAGTGGTTCTCAACCTTTTTAATGCCGCGACCCCCCAACCGGTCGTAAGTCGAGGACTACTCAACCGGTCGTAAGTCGAGGACTACTCAACTGGTGCAGCACCGTTTGCAGAATGGGACTTTTGGCGGGCTCAGCAGGGCAGAGACAGCCTGGACAATTCCTATTGGCTTTTGAAAGCCAATAGAATTGGACTCTATTCAAGAGAGTCTCTTCTATTGGCTTCTCAAAAGCCAATAGAATAAAAGGGATTAGCACAGCTAAGGAAAAGGGGGAAAAAATGGCGGACTGCATTGTTTGGCGACCCCTGTGAAATGGTCATTCGACCCCAAATGGGGTCCCGACCCACAGGTTGAGAACCACTGGTCTAGCCACATCTGTTCTTGTTTGAATGTTGGTCAGTCCTCGCTGGCTGCGGAATTCTGGGAGTTGATGTCCACCCATCTTTAAGCAGGAAGCTGGCTGAGGGATTCTGGGAGTTGACCTCCACCCATCTTCAGAATGTTGAGAAATACTGTTCTCAAGTTTCGCAAAACTTTTATTTATTTGAGAGGATCTTGGTTATTATTAGCAGATGCCACATCCTTGGCGAAGTGACTCCTGGGCCACCTTCAAGAACTTAAATAGAATGACAAGTTATCTGGCTGGGGGAGCATTTGCCCAGCATTTGGGGGAGCAATTTGGATTGCACTTAGAGCCAGCCATCTCTGCTCTGAGATGGAGAGGGGGTGCAGTTTGGGGCAGCGAGGGCCCCTAGGAATCCCTGGGAGGGGGGGCTGGGGGCCACAAGATGGATCCCGTAGGGTGAGCCTGGGAAGTTTGGTTGAAATCTGCTCCTATCTCGGTGGGAAGAAGGGGCAAAGAGGCCAGAGAAAAGAGTGGGGGGGGGGAGGCTGTGATTGCCCGGCTCCCCTGGACACAGTGTTCCCACAGAACAGAATGAGGGACCCTGGAGGTCTTCTAGTCCAACCCCCCCTTTTCAAGCTGGAGACCCTTTACCATTCCAGACAAAGGGTTCCCCCATCTCGTCTTGAAAATGGAGCACCCACAAATTCCGAAGGCAACTTCCGTTCCACTGGTTCATTAACAGAATAGCAGAGTTGGGAAGGGACCCTGGAGGTCTTCTAGTCCAACCCCCTGCTCAAGCAGGCGACGCGCTACCATTTCAGAGAGTGGTTCAATCGGAATAGAGCTGGAAGGGACCCGGGAGGTCTTCTAGTCCAGCCCCCTGCTCAAATGGGAGACCCTATGTCTGTCTATTTCCCTCCTTCCTTCAGCGCGGTGAAATGCTGGAGCCGCACGGTCAGCCAGAAGTCCGGCGTCCTGTCCAGCTTCTTCCTTGTCCGGTGGGTCCGTGCTTTTTGGGACAGCCTTGTGTTCGAGTTCACTCTCAGGTAAGGGGAAAAGACAGGTAGCCCTAACGGAGCCGGTCAAGCACAGTCCGGTGCGAGGAGTCGAAAAGCGAGTTAGGACACACTTCACAGCTGTCATTAAGTTAAGCTGTCATTGGATCTCATAAATTGCAACCGGTTGATTGAGGGGTGCTGCCGTAAGAGGCTGCCCAGAGCAAGGGGTGTGTGTCCCAACTAGGCCACTTGAAGACCCGTGGACTTCAACTCCCAGAATTCCCCAGCCAGCGAATGCTGGCTGGGGAATTCTGGGAGTTGAAGTCCACGGGTCTTCAAGTTTGGACACCGCTGCTCTAGAGCAGGGCTTTTCAACCTTTCCACCCATTGTGCCACTTTTAGGATATGGCAAACATCCGAGGACCACCAGTCGCCTAGCAAGGTGTCAAAAACTTGATGACCAAAAAAAAAAAAGGAAAATGATAAAGTACAGGTAGTCCTCAACTTACAACAGTTCGCTTAGTGACTGTTTGAAATTACAATGGCACTGAAAAAAGTGCCCCCCAAGCCACAGCTGAGCAAGACACCTGCCTGCCCGCCCGGCCGCGCTCTTCCTCCTGTCCGAGGTTTTCATTGTTCTGAGCATTTCTGTTGAGGATTGGCAGCGAGGGTGGGGTGGGGGGGGTGTTTGGTTTTTATTCCCCCCGTCTGCTGGGTGGTTGCAGCAGGTTTTGGTCACTTCACATGACCCTGGGACACTGGGACCGTCATAAATATGAATTAGTTGCCAAACATCTGAATGTAAATTACAAGACCCTGGAGAGGCTGCAACATTCCAGCTGATCGGCGCTTCTTCTGGACTCAGCGGAAGCGACAGGATCAATGCTGCTTTCCAGCTGATTGGTGCTTCTGGACTCAGCATAAGCACAGGATCAGCGCAGAGCTCCAGCTGGAGCCTGGCACTGATCCTGGCGCTTCCGCTGAGCCCGGACAGCCCTGCAGCTCCAGCCGTCTCTCGCTCAGGCTTGTGCGGTGCTGCCACCGGTTCAGCTCATTCCCCTCCCCCGCTACCCCTTTTCTAGGATGCTCGCGTACCACCTGCCAGGTGCCCATGGACCACAGGTGGTACCCGTACCACTGGTTGAAAAGCCCTGCTCTAGAGAGTCACCCCAAACAGTGAGATGGCTGGTACTATATATAAGTTTAATCAATTAAAAAAAATTAAATTAAAATGTGGATGGTTGCAGAGCGGCCCAAAACCTGGTCATCTTACCGTGGTGGTGGTGGAGAGAGGTTGGTCCTTCAGGGCAGATAGTCCTCTACTTACGACTGGAGCCGAACCCAAATCTCCATCGTTAAGTGAGACATGGGTGAAGACATTGGTTTGCCCCGCTTTATGGCCTTTCTCGCCCCAGCTGCTCAGCGAATCGCATTCGTCAAGATGGCTGGGAAGCAAAACCGGCTTCCTCCATTGCTCGCCAGATGGGATCACGTGACACGCACACATATATACACACACAACCGGGACGCCGCCTAACCGTTGTAAACAGGAGTCTGTTGCCAAGCGTCCAAATTTTGATCACGTTGACCCTGGGGGGGGGATGCGGCGATGACGGTCGTTAAGTGGGGAAAAACGGTCCCAGGTCCCTTTTCCCAGTGACGTCGTAACTCTGAACAGTCGCCATATAGGAACCGTTGTAAATGGAGGACTGCTTGTAACTGGGTGGGAAGTAGGTTTCTGGGTCTGGTGGTGACTCTACTCAGTGAAGTAAACAAGCCGAGGACAGTTCTGCATGTGCCAAAATGGGGGTGGGTCTCCTGCCCTTTTAACTCCGCCCCCCCCTTCTTTGCCAAACTATTAAGTGCCTCCACCCACCCACTCTCTTCTCTCCCCCCCCCTCCCCAGGATCCAGGTCACCTCCATGAAGCTAACCAGGTCCTTGCTGCAACTCCTGGTTTACGTCGGCTTCTTGAAGACCAGCGATGAGCAAGCGGAACTCTATGACCTACTCCAGGCCTGATCCTGGAAAAGCCCGGAAAATGCCCGGGTGCCCAGCTGGGCAAGCACAGGGCGGCCTTGCCCCACCGACAAGGAACCAATACTTGGCTCTGCACGGCGAAGCGGGGGGACATTTGAGGAAGCCCCCCCCCTCTTCCTGGAGCAGAGCCTGACTGGAGGGTTTTTTTTTTTTAATTAGTTCAGAAACTTGAATAAGGGGCAACTCGCCATATTTAACTTAAAAGAACCAGCCAGAAACCGTCCTGCTGTTTAAGTAGCTGGGGGGTGGGGTGGGTTGTCTCTTTTCTTTCCAAATCCATGGAGAAGGGGGGGTGTTGTTTCTCTGGAGCCCACTCCTCGTTTTGTTCTGGGGTCTTCCAACGTGGCCCTTGGATGACTTGTGGACTTCAACTCCCAGAATCCCTCAGTCAGGCACGTGTTTGAAGACCCCTGCATAAGAACCTGCCCCCCCCAAAAGGAGCCCAGAATTCAGTGCCTGGCTGAGGAATTCTGGGAGTTGAAGTCCACAAGTCATCCAAGGGCCAAGTTGGAAGACCCCTGCTGTAGGGGATGGCGAGAGGCAGCGGTTGGGCTAAAGGTGGGATCCTTGGGACGCTCGGAAGGGCCCCAGGCCGATGCATGGGGAGCAAGGGGTGCAATAATCGGAGCGGAGGGGTGGGTGTTGGGGGATCAACCATGTGCCCCCCCCCCACAGCTATCCGGAGTGGTAACGCTGGCTCAACTGTGGACCTAGCTAGGCTCCTGAGTCCCACCGGACGAGGAAGGTTTCCTGTTGTAGCTGCATTAAAAAAGCTTAAAAGTTCTTCCTGGCCTGCTTTCCTGCAACGACCCAACAAAGGAGAATCTCTGTAGCACAAGGGTTGAAGTGGGGGGGGGGTCCCTGGTGCCCTCTGAGCTGGGTGGTTTCTTTGCAGACGTTCATGACCCAACTAGGGAACATCGTCAGTGGAAGAAGGGTTTGCAGGGAGGAGTAGTAGTAGTATGGGGTCCTTGGTGCTCTCTGAACTGGGTGGTTTTCTTGCAGACGTTTCATGACCCAACTAGGGAACATTATCTGTGCTAGAAGGGCGTAGAGTTTGTGGGGAGGAGGAGGAAGAGGAGGACTGTGGAGTCCTTGGTGCTCTCTGAGCTGGGTGGTTTCCTTACAGACATTTCATGACCCAACTAGGGAACATCGTCAGTGCTAGAAGGGAGGAGGAGGAGGAAGAATGTGGGGGTCCTGGGTGCTCTCTGAGCTGGGTAGTTTTCTTGCAGACGTTTCATGAACTTACTAGGGAACATCATCAGTGCCAGAAGGGAGTTGGGTTTGCAGAGAGGAGGAGGAGGGGGAGGACTGTGGAGTTCTTGGTGCTCTCGGAGCTGGTGGTTTCCTTGCAGACGTTTCATGACCCAGCTAGGAAACATCATCAGGGCTAGATGGAAGCAGAGTTGGTGAGGAGGGAGAGGGGGAGAGGGCTGTAGGGTGCCTTGGTTGCCTTCTTGCAGATAGTTTATTCCCCCCCCCCCGGGTAATAGCCTCAGTGCTAGTAAGGAGTGGGGTTTTTGCACTTTCTAGCACTGAGGATGTTCCCTAGTTGGGTCATGAAATGTCTGCAAGAAAACAGGCAAGCTCAGAGAGCACCAAGGACCCCACAGTCGTCCTCCCCCCCCACAGACCCCACCCTCTTCTAGCACTGATGATGTTACCTAGTTGGGTTATAAAATGTCTGCAAAAAAACCCCACCCATCTCAGAGAGCACCAAGGACCCCTTTTCTCCTCCTCTCCACAAGCTCCACTCCCTTGTAGCCCTGATGATGCTCCCTAGTTGGGTCATGAAACGTCTGCAAGAAAACCACCCAGCTCAGAGGGCACCTGGGACCCTTCATGTCCTGCAACTCTTCCGCCATTGTGTGATTAACTGGCTTTTTGTGCCAAAGGGGAGCAAAAGCACACACTTCCCCCTCCCAGACCCCCTCCCCTCCGGAACAACTGCCCTTGCCCCAGAAACCTGCAACGTTGGCAATTTCAGGCACTCCCCCAGTTTATTGCACAGGCTCCAGCCGAGCCAGGCGTGCCAAGCGTGGTTTCTGCAGAGGATCCAATTCTTCAGGGGGAGGTGGGCTAGGGGTACGGCTGCCCCCAGACCCTCATCCTTGTCCAGGGAAGCAGTCAGCCCTTGAGAGGGATCCATTTCACCACCACGGCTGCTTTTCAAACGGGCTTTGGAAAAAAAAGAGACGAAAACCCACCGCCTGGCAGTAGTCTGCCAGGCGCTGGGAGCGTCCTTGTTCTACTTGCTGCCTGGGCAGAAGGGACAGCCGTGCCCGCTCTTTTGAGGGACAAGACCCACCCTGCTCCGGTGACCCCCAACTCCAAAGGACAGCCTGTTCCTGATTTAGCCCATGTCACTTGCCACGTGGCACCTCAATGGGTTTTGGGAAGGCGTGTCCAATCATGGCTGCTTTAAGACCTGTGCTGGGGAATTCTGGGAGTTGAAGTCCACAGGTCTTAAAAGCGGCCTACGTTGGCTAACTCTGCCTCAAGAGGTTATGGACCACAGTCAGCAGTCTTAGCAGCATCCCTGCCCATTTGGCCCATCAGCCTCTTCCCACTCTTGGACCAAAGCAATATTGGCTTTGGGTAACCTGGTCTGGCTGCTCCTTGAGGGAAATGCGAGTGCTCATCCCCCCCCCCCAAGCAACAAGGAGGAGAATGCAAATGGCTGCCTGTCCAGGTTCCAAACGAAGAATTCCTTCCACTCCGGAACCCAGAACTGAGATTGTCTCTTGAGCTTCTCCCGTCCTCCAGATCGTGGTTGTCCCAAAGGCAGCTGGACTTTCCTTGTTTTTCCTCAAAAGACCTTTCGCTTCTCCTCCTCCGAGACGCTTCTTCCGTTCTGGAGGAATGTGGAAAAAAGATGAACTCCTTCCATTCGCCACCAGTCAGCCAGAACGGAGGAAGCTTCTTGGAGGAGAAGTGAAACGTCTTCAAGGACAAAAAGTCCTGCTTCCTTTTGCAAAAGCAGGTTCGGGGACAGAATGGAGATGGTTTCCTTCCTTCCCTGGAGCCGTTTCCTCCCTCGAGGGCAGATTTAGATCAGGGGGTCCCTGTTACTCACACGTACCCCCCCCCGCCACAAACTGCTATTCGTGAGACCCCCCCCCAGCACAGTGATGGCGAACCTTTTAGAGACCGAGTGCCCAAACTGCAACCCAAAACCCACTTATTTATCGCCAGGTGTTGGGTGGGCGTGGCCCACTGGGTGGGCGTGGCTGTGGTGGTCATGGCAGATTGGGTGGGTGGCCAAGGTGGGTATGATCACCTCGATGGTGCTCGTGGGGAGGGACGCCTGTGGGGGCTGGGCACGGTTGGGGGAGATCCAGGGGGGTCTCTGGCAGGTGGGGCAGTGGGCAGGAGGCTAGTCCTGCAGAAGTGCCATTGTCACAGGGCAAGGTGAGGCAGGGGCCAGGGCAGTTGCTGCCTGACACCATCGGCCCCCGCACACACAGGCCAGCGAGCGCATGGGTGCTGGGATGCATCCTCCATGTGGGACCTCGGCGAGTTAGCGGGCACGGCTGGTTGAAGAGGGACGGTTGCCATCTCCAGGGCATGGCGCGCGTGCCCAAAGAGGGCTCCGAGTGCCGCCTCTGGCACACGTGCCATAGCGTTGCCACCCCTGCCCCAGCACTTCATGCACTCCCCATACAGCAGACCAGTCACCACCACTTTGTCATTTCCTTACAAATCCTGAATGTTTTATACAAATCTCGTGTGGACGGTTTTCTATCAGAAACAAACACCAAACGCAACAAGGAATGTGGCAACTTGGGGAGAAGATGGGGCATGTCGAAACGCCTCCGTTGCAGCGGAGACAGGACACCCTAGAAATGGGCGGTGACGCGATCAATCTCCAGCAGGTCTTCCAGGATCTGTTGAAGGGGAGGAAGGAGAAGGTGTGAGGAAGCTGGGGGGGTCTATGGAGGTTCTCCGTCACCCAGGTCATGGCCGTTCCAAAGGTGCTTTTTCCAGGAGGCTACTGGACTTAATTGGAATAATAAATAATAAAAATAAAGTTGGAAGGGACCTTGGAGGTCATCTAGTCCAACCCCCTGCTCAGGCAGGAAACCCTATACCATTTCGGACAAATGGCTGTCCAGTCTCTTCTTAAAAACTTCCAGCGTTGGAGCATTAAACCGCTTCTGGAGGCAGGTGGTTCCACTGGTTAATTGTTCTCACTGTCAGGAAGTTTCTCCTTAGTTCCAGGTTGCTTCTCTCCTTGATTGGTTTCCATCTGTTGCTTCTTGTCCTGCCTTCAGGCGCTTTGGAGGATAGCTTGACTCCCTCTTCTTTGGGGCAGTCCCCAAGATGTTGGAAGGCTGCTATCCTGTCCCCCCTCGTCCTTCTCTTCGTTAAACTAGACGTACTCAATTCCAGCAGCCGTTCCTTATATGTTTTAGCCTCCAGTCCCCTGATCATCTTTGTTGCTCTTCTCTGCACTCTTTCTAGAGTCTCAACATCTTTTTTACATCGTGGTGACCAAAACTGGATGCCGTATTCCAAGTGTGGCCTTACCAAGCCATTGTAAAGTGGTATTAATACTTCACGTGATCTTGATTCTATCCCTCTGCTAATGCAGCCTAGCACTGTGTTGGCCTTTTTAGCAGCTGCAGCACACGGCTGGCTCATATCTAAGTGATTGTCCACTAGACTCCGAGGTCCCTCTCAGTTACTATTGACAAGGTACCACCTATTCTATACCTGTGCATTTGGTTTTTCTTGCCTAAATATAGAACCTTGCTTTTTTCACCATTGAATTTCATTTTGTTAGATAGTGCCCAGTGTTTAATGTCTTTGTTTGAAGACATTTCGCTTCCCATCCAAGAAGCTTCCTCAGCTCTGACTGGATGGTGCGGAAAGGTAGGATTTATAATTCCTTGGCAGCCTTCTCGTCGTTTGCATTCTTTTAGAGCAGGGGTAGGCAACCTTGGCTCTTTTATGACTCCTGGACTTCCAACTCCCAGAATTCCTCAGCCAGCCTCCATTTTGTTTGTTAGATTTAAGACAGGAGTCTTCAAACTTGGCTCTTTTATGACTGGTGGACTTCAACTCCCAGAATTCCTGAGCCAGCCTGGCTCAGCTTGGCAACCTCTCCCTTTTCCCTCAGCATGGCTGGCTCAGGAATTCTGGGAGTTGAAGTCCACGAGTCATGAGGGGGCCATAGTTCCCCCATGCTGGCTCAGGAATTCTGGGAGTTGAAGTCCATGAATCATGAGGGGGCCATAGTTCCCCCATGCTGGCTCAGGAATTCTGGGAGTTGAAGTCCACCAGTCATGAGGGGAGCCAAGTTTGAAGACTCCTGTCTTAAATCTAACAAACAAAATGGAGGCTGGCTGAGGAATTCTGGGAGTTGAAGTCCACCAGTCATAAAAGAGCCAAGATTCCCCACCCCTGGTCTAGGGCAGGGGTAGGCCACCGTGGCTCTTTTATGACTGGTGGACTTCAACTCCCAGAATTCCTCAGCCAGCCATGCTGAGGGGAAAGGGAGAGGTTTCCAAGCTGAGCCAGGCTGTTTGCAAGGAGTATAAATCTTCCATTCCCCACCATCCGGTCAGAGCTGAAGAAGCTTCTGGGATGAGGAGTGAAACATCTTCAAAGGAAAAACAATGAAAGTCCAGTTGCTTCCTGGAAAAAACGTATTTGGGACAAGCCGGGAAGGGGCAAAAGGAGGGGAAGCTGAGCCCAGGGTAGAGATATGGCCCCTTGGAAAGTGAGAGTGAGAGAGAGGGAGGGTGGGCTTCCTCCAGCTCTCCCAGGGACACAGCGTGGCCTTCATATCCCTGGAATTCAGACAACTCGCCGCCAACTAAGCCTGGGACAACTTCACGCATGATGACTGTAGTCTACACCTGGGGTCCTCTTGTGATATGATTAGTAATATTATTTTTTAATCGATTCACAGTCTGGGACTGGTAAAAGCTTAACAGTTCAAGTCCCAACCAAGGGCCTGAGAGCTGTTAAGGCAGCGTCTAAGTATAGATGGCAGTTCCGAGTAAGGTGGTTTTTTTTGGTAAAGTCAGGAAATTATTATTTCCTGGAGGCTGAAACATACAAGGAACGGCTGCTGGAATTGGGGATGTCTAGTTTAACGAAGAGAAGGACAAGGTGGGGGAGACAGGATAGCAGTCTTCCGGTATCTCAGGGGCTGCCCCAAAGAAGAGGGAGTCAAGCTATTCTCCAAAGCGCCGGAAGGCAGGACAAGAAGCAACAGATGGAAACTGATCAAGGAGAGAAGCAATCTAGAACTAAGGAGAAACTTCCTGACAGTTAAAACAATTAACCAGTGGAACCACCTGCCTCCAGAAGTGGTGAATGCTCCACCACTGGAGGTTTTTAAGAAGAGACTGGACAGCCATTAGTCTGAAATAGCATAGGGTTTCCTGCCTGAGCAGGGGGTTGGATTAGATGACCTCCAAGGTCCCTTCCAACTATATTATTATTATTGTTTTTGTTATTGTCATCTTGTGTTGAGCTGTCCAATTCCGGCTGCCAAAGCTCCACCTCCCAAGAAGGGGAGGGGTCTGCCCTCCCTCCCTCCCTCCCTTCCCCCCCTGCCCGCTGCTCACAATGTCCGGCGTGGTGCCAATTTTCTTGGCCAGCTCACTGCGCTCCATGGTGCTCAGGTAGAGGTAGCGGTTCAGCAGCTCCCCGTCCAGAATGTTCCGGACGGCGTTCTGCAGGATGCGCCGGTCCATGTGCAGCATCCTAGAAAAGAGGAGGGTGGGAGGTGAGGCTGCTGGGAGCCCAGGCTGCCCGCCCCGCTGCCTTCGGGGATCAGCTCCCGCCCCCATCCGCCCCCTGGAATGGGGTACCTGAAGGCCCGAGGGTTGAGCCCTGCGTGGTGGGGCAGCATGGAAGTCAGCGCGTTCTGCAACATCAGCAGCCGCCGGTAGGTCTTCTCCTGCATGGGCAGCAGCAGCCCGATGCCTCCGTCCAGAGTAGCTGCAGAAGGAAGACCAGTCCAGGATTCGGAACAGCATCCAGCCCTGATAGGGCAAGCTCTCCCCCCCCCCCCCCGTATAGGTAGTCCTGGACTTACGACCTGTTCTGTCCCAGCCTATGGCCATCCTTTTGAGAGACTCAGAAGAAAACAAAAGCCCTTTTAATATTGGTAACAAACCTGCCCAACGGTCCAAAAACAAAAGCAACCAAACGCAATCCAAATGGAGCAAATGGTCCACAGGAAACAGAATGCAAAACAGGGATTTAGTCCCTTGGGGTTGCCCTATTGTCTCCCTCTGACCTGCTCTAGTTAACTGCCTTCCTTTATGTGAGCGTCTCTAATGACTTCCAGCTGTTGAGTCCTCAGAATCTGACTCATTTTCCTCACACAGCTGTGTCTCATCCTGACCACGATTGGAGGGGCCAGCCTCTCCATCCGATTGTGAGTCCTGTAACTCATCGGAGCCTTCCTCCGACTCTGATTTATTTTATTTTTAAAATTTATAAGCCGCCCCACTCCCGGAGGACTCTGGGTGGCTAACAATAAAAAACACATAAAACATAACAAAACAACACTACAAAAACAATCATCCAGGGGTCAGGTTTTATAAACCCCAGGCCTGCCGGAAAAGCCACGTCTTAAGTAGTTTACGGAAGACCAACAGGGTGGGAGTGGTCCTAATCTCCGGGGGGAGCTGATTCCAAAGCGTGGGCGCCATCACAGAGAAGGCCCTCTTCTGCGGCCCCGCCAAATGGCACTGCTTGGCCGACGGGGCCCGAAGGAGGCCCAGCCTGTGGGATCTCCACACCCCTTCTCCTCCTCCTCCTTCTCCTCCCCAGACTCAGCTGCCGGTTCCACTGGCTGGCATGGACTCACAACACGACCTGTCACTTAGCAACCGTTTGCAGTTTGCCCATAGATCAAAGCACAATCCCCTCCTACAACTAACCATCATAAATCACATGCTCCAGTTGGTTTGAAAGTTACTGACAGAGGCCCAAAACGGGACTGAGGACCTGGGATCCAAATTCCAAGGTCCTTCCCTCCTCATTTTGGGCACTGGGCAAGCAGATTGCCTTTACAGCCATTTGCAGCGTCCTGCAGTCAACATGACTACGATTTAACTATGGTTTTTTTTTGCCAGACACTGGCATTTATTCCTTGCCCCATAACAAACAACGTTTTTACGACCGCCGCGCTCACTTAACCGCTGCAAAAATATCGTCAAATCGGGTGGCAGTCACGGGGTGACCTGCTTTACAATTGTCACGACTTAACGACTGAAATTGTGGCCTAAATTACAGTCATTAAGTAGAGGGCTTAATCAATGCAGATACCGATAAAGGAGAATCTTTTTAGCTCAGGGTTGAAATGAGGGGTCCTGGGTGCTCTTTGAGCTTGGATGTTTTCTTGCAGATGTTTTAATAGCCAACCAGGTAACATCATCAGTCTAGAAGGGGGTAGGATTGGGTGGGGGGGAGGAGGAGGAGGAGGGGGAGGGGGAGGAGAAAGAGGAGGAGGATTGCTGTTTGGTCCTTGGTGCTCTCTGAGCTTGGCTGTTTTCTTACAGACATTTCATAACCCAACTAGGTAACATCCTCAGTGTTAGAAGGGAGGAGAATTTGCAGAGAGGAGGAGGAGGAGGAGGAGGAGGAGGAGGAGGAGGAGGACGAGAATTGTGGGGTCCTTGGTGCTCTCTGAGCTTGGCTGTTTTCTTGCAGACATTTTATAACCCAGTTAGGTAACATCTTCAGTGTTAGAAGGGAGGAGGAGGAGGAGCAGCAGCAGCAGCAGGAGGAGCAGGAGGAAGAAGAAGAGGAGGATGACTGTGGGATCCTTAGTGCTCTCTGAACTTGGTTATTTTCTTGCAGACGTTTCATAACCCAACACATGCTGATTCACTGATGATGTTCCCTAGTTGGGTGATGAAAGGTCTGCAAGAAAACCACCCAGCTCAGACGGCACCCAGGACTCCCACAGTTCTCCTCCTCCTCCTCCCCATGAACTCCCCTCCCTTCCAGCACTGATGACATTCCCTAATTGGGCAATGCCAACTTCTGCAAGAAAACTGCCGATATTCTAATCTGGAAACCCTTCGAGAGAACTTGCTATCCCAACAAAAGACTGCCTGCGCCCCCAAAGGTGCAAGGTTCTCCAGGGCTAACATAGGAAGGTTGTGTGAACGGGACACGGTGGGAAAAGCACTCCATTCTGGGTGTCCCTGCGGCCCCCACCACCGCCCTGCTCACCAAACCAGGTGATGTGCTTGTTCTCCCAGGCGTTGGTCTTCTTGGCCAGCCCTTCCAGGGCTCCCCGGCACGGCGTCCTCCAGAAAGCGTTGACGTGGGCCCCCACATGGAAGTCCGCTCGGCGGAGAAGTCGCATGCCGCCAAAGCTCTCCTTTGCTGCGGAGGAAGCACGAGGCCCCGGGGGGGGGGCTGCTGGAGGGGGGGAACCAGGAGGATCCCCCTCCCAAATGGCCCCCCTCCCAATGCCGCTGCTCCACCAGGAGCCCGGGAATGGCCGGGGGGGGGGATCCCCAGGGACAGGAAAGGGAGCAAAGCTTTCACCAAAAGGCAACTGGGCTTCCTTGATTTTTTCCCCCCCTTTGAAGACATTTCGCTTCTCCTCCAGGAAGCTTCTTCGGTTCTGACTGACTGGTGGGGAACGAGAAGATTTACGCTCTTTCCTCTCTGCGTTCTCCTCAACCCGGATGACTGCAAAGAATATAGATCCTTCCCTTCCCCCACCCTGCCAACAAAAGTGTGTACAGTCAGGGCCATGGTTTCCCCAGTTGCAATGTGTGGCTGTGAAAGTTGGACCATAAGAAAGGCTGAGTGCAAAAAGAATGGAGGCCTTTGAACTCTGGTGCTGGAGAAAACTCCTGCGAGTCCCCTGGACTGCAAGGTGATCCAACCGGTCAGTCCTGGAGGAGATCAACCCCGACTGCTCTTGAGAAGGCCAGATCCTGAAGCTGAAACTCAAGTCCTTTGGCCACCTAATGAGAAGGAAGGACTCCCTGGAGAAGAGACTGATGCTGGGAAAGATGGAGGGCAAGAGAAGAAGGGGACGACAGAGAAGGAGGTGGCTGGATGGAGTCCCTGAAGCAGGAGGCCTGAGCTTCAATGGTAGAGGACAGGAAGGCCTGGAGGAACATTGTCCATGGGGTCGCGATGGGTCGGACACGACTTCGCAACTGACAACAACAACAGACTTTGAACCGTCACTAGTCAAAGCCATGGTTTTCCCAGTTGCAACGTATGGCTGTGAAAGTTGGACATATAGCTGGATGGAGTCACTGAAGCAGCAGGCGTGAGCTTAAATGGAATTTAATTTAAATTTAAATGGAATTTAAATGGAATTAAAGAGAATGGAGGCCTTTGAACTCTGGTGCTGGAGAAGACTCCTGCGAGTCCCCTGGACTGCAAGGCGATCCAACCGGTCAGTCCTGGAGGAGATCAACCCCGACTGCTCTTGAGAAGGCCAGATCCTGAAGTGGAAACTCAATTCCTTTGGCCACCTAATGAGAAGGAAGGACTCCCTGGAGAAGGGCCTGATGCTGGGAAAGATGGAGGGCAAGAGAAGAAGGGGACGACAGAGAAGGAGGTGGCTGGATGGAGTCCCTGAAGCAGGAGGCGGGAGCTTCAATGGACTCCAGAAGAGGGCAGAGGACAGGAAGGCCTGGAAGAACGTGGTCCATGGGGTCGCGATGGGTCAGACACGACTTCGCAATTAACAACAACAACAACTTCCCCACCAGTCGGTTAGAACTGAGCAAGCCGCTCGGACGAGGAGCGAAACGTTTTCAAGGAGAAGTAAACAAGAAAAGGTCATTTGCCTTTTTTTAGAAAAAGCACCTTTGGGACGATCCTGACTCTGGGGAGGACGGGGGCATCTCCAGAGACCCCCGTGAAACAGACCCAAATCCCCCCCTCCCCCCCAGAACAGAGACCCATCTCAGCCCATCGGTCTGCCCCAGAGTCAGAATATAATTAAATTCTTTATTATTAATGGATAATAAACTCCCTTGGTTGTCCTCACCTTCCGGCAGATACATGTAGACCAGGAGGTTTCGGTCCCTGTCAGACACTGCAAAAGAAAAAGTCCCCTTTTTTTCAGTGCCCTTGCAACTTTGAACAGTCACTAAACAAACCGTTATAAGTTGGGGACTTATAACTTGTATCTTCCTGGGATCGCACAGCTCCCAGGGTGAGTCCAGGAAGGAGCACGGCGTCTTTATAGAGAGGCACCAGCCTGGATCCCCGCTGTAAAGCCCCCCCCCTTCTTCAACCACTGCCCTCCAGTATCCCTTCCCCAGCATTGGGGGGGTGGGCAGACACCAGCCTGCTGGAGAGAACCCGTGCCTGGATCTAGGCTGCCCCACCCTTTCCCAAGGCTCCCTCTGGGACCCACCGAGGAATCCCAGCTGGGCGTTGTCCACCATGAAGTCCACGCTGTAGACCTCCAGGGGCTTGGCATCCTGCGGGAGGGAGAGAGAGAAAGAGGAGAGAGAGAGAGAGAGACAGATAGAGAGAGACAGAGAAAAAAGAGACAGAGACAGAGAGAAAAAGAGAGAAATGAGAGAAAGAGACAGAGACAGAGAAAGAGAGAGACACACAGAGAAAGAGAAAGATAGAGGAGAGGAAGGAGAGAGAGAGAAAGAGGAAGGAGAGAGTCAGAGACAGAAAAAGAGGAGAGACAGAGACAGTGAGAGAGAGAGAGACAGAGAGAAAAAGAGAGGAAAAGAGAGAGAGGGAGACAGACAGAAAGAGGAGAGAGAGAGACAGAGAGAGAAAGAGGAGAGAGAGACAGTGAGAGAAAGAGGAGAGACAGAGAAAAAGAGAGAGGAAGAGAGAGAGGGAGACAGACAGAAAGAGGAGAGACAGAGAGAGAGGAGATACAGAGACAGTGAGAGAGACAGAGACAGAGAGAAAAAGAGAGAGGAAGACACAGACAGAAAGAGGAAAGAGAGACAGAGACAGACAAAGAGAGGAGAGAGAGAGGTGGGGAGCTCAGCAGAGGCCCGCGATGTGGCCTGGAGGGGGCGGGGTGGGAACAGCCCTCCCCACCCTGCTCAGGGTCCCCACCCGGCTGACGAGAGAGAGGGTCTTGCTCTCCTCCTGGTAGCGCAGCAGCGAGATGCTCTTCATGACGTCGGCGGCCAGGATGAAGTTCTTCACACTGATCATCTGGTGGATGTAGAGCTGGGTGTCAATGAAGGCCATGCCAGTCAGGTCGTTGTCCTTCAGGCTCCAGAGGAAAATCTGCAGGCGCAGAGGGGGGGACACAAGTAGGAGGGGGGGGGAGGTCAACCTGGCTGCCAGGCCTGCCCCCGTCCGACCTCTTAGGAGAGAAAGATCCTCGACTCCCTTTGGGTGAAGTGGTAGGTCAAGATATTGATTTAACAGCTAACCAGGTCATGAAATGTTACGATGTAACGATGAGAATGACCCAGCAGGGTCTGCGTCTCTTTAAGAGCCTCGGTATAAAGGGAAGACTCTGCTGATGTGTTCTCTCTCTTCCGTTTCCTGCTGTAACTGTGGCTTGTTGGACCCTGCCGTATTAGCTCGTGTATGTAGATTGCTCCTGGTGTATGATATTGTAGCTAGTGTAAGATAAACCACCATTTAATGCAGACCACTGTTTATTTTGTTTACCCCTGGGTTATCCCGCGCAGTAAGACTATGCACGCTCTGACAAAGATGCTGGTTGCAATAGTCAGGCTAGAACGGAATGTCCAAAATATTTGGAAAGTTTCCCTCCTCCCAGCTCCACTCCCTTCTAACACTGATGATGTTCCCTAGTTGGGTCATGAAACATCTGCAAGAAAACCATGCTCAGGAAGCACCAGGGACCCCACACTCCTTCTTTCCTTTCCCTCTCCCCCTCCTCCTCCCTTCTAAAACTGATTGTCAAGACTGCTAACATCGGATGTTCTTGCTTGCCATATATGAAGAAGCAAACCTTTTTTATTTAGCCTGTATAGCACTTCTAGAGTTAAGGCAGATAGTAGTAGTCTAGGGGATGGGAAAGTATGCAAGTTAACCATAACAATGTCTGAGCACAGTGTGGCCAAGGTCAGCTCAGCTGCAACGGGAGGGGCACCTCACACTTCACATTAATTGGAGAATGTGATTGATGACTGTAAAATGAAGGAATGAGTTATGCTTTGTTACGGGTGTTTGGGGGAGGGAGTATTCAGTTTTTGGCTTAACTTTGTTAGTGCCCAAGCTATGCAGAATAATAAAAAGATTCTTTTAGAGGAATAAGCCTCAAAATTCTTTGAAAATCTGCTTTCTTTCGGAACCATGACACTGATGATGTTACCTAGTTGGGTCATGAAATATCTGCAAGAAAACAATCCAGCTCAGAGAGCACCAAGGACCCCACAGTCCTTCTCCTCCTCCTCCTCCTCCTCCTCCTCCTCCACAGACCCTATTCCCTTCTAGCACTGATGATGTTACCTAGTTGGGTCATGAAATATCTGCAAGGAAACAATCCAGCTCAGAGAGCAACAAGGAACCCACAGTCTGTCCTTCCTTCCTTCCTTCCTTCCTTCCTTCCTTCCTTCCTTCCTTCCTTCCTTCCTTCCTTCCTTCCTTCCTTCCCTCCCTCCCTCCCTCCCTCCCTCTCTCCCCCCTTCTAGCACTGATGATGTTCCCTAATTGGTTCATGAAACGTCTGCAAGAAAACAATCCAGCTCAGAGAGCAACAAGGACCCCACAAACTATCCTTCCTTCCTTCCTCCCTCCCTCCCTTCCTCCCCCCTTCTAGCACTGATGATGTTCCCTAGTTGGGTCATGAAACGTCTGCAAGGAAACAATCCATCTCAGAGAGCACCAAGGACCCCCACATTCTTCCTCTGCCTCCTCCACTCTGGTCTCCGACCGACTCACCTTCTGTCCAATGGCCGACACCAGGTAGCCATTGCAGTGGCAGAGGGCGGTGACCGGCCCCTTCTGCTCCTTCTCGTACAGGACCTTGAACTTGTTCTTGGTGAGGGGCTGGCCCGGCTCGGGAACCACCTCGATGATGTCCATGATCAGGATCTGCGCAAAGGGGGCCAGTGAGGAGGAGAAAAAGAGCCATCCCACTCTCTCCTGAATTGCAGGTAAGTCCTCGATTTATGAGCGGTCACTTAGTGTCCGTTGACAGCTACAACGGACTCCCCGTAAAATGACTCACAGCCCAGCCAGGGATTCTCAACCTTGTCTTCACCACAGGCTCCCTTTAAATACCTTTTGTGGCCACAGACCTCCGAGACTTAAGATTTAAATCCTAATATTTCTTCAAGCCTTTGTCCACCCCGTGACAACGTTAAACCTCCCCCCCAGGGGACCACAGACCACAGGTTGAGAACCACTGAGGTAGGCCCCAAAGAAGAGGGAGTCAAGCTATTCTCCAAAGCACCTGAAGGCAGAAGAAGCGACGGATGGGGACCAATCAAGGAGAGAAGCAACCTGGAACTAAGGAGAAACTTCCTGACAGTGAGGATAATTAACCAGTGGAACTCCTTGTCTCCATAAGTTGTGGGTGCTCCATTACCACAGGCCTTTAAGAAGAGATTGTCTCCTGCTTGGGCAGGGGGCTGGACTGGAAGACCTCCAAGGTCCCTTCCAGCTCTATTCAGATTGAAAGTCAGAAAATAACCTGCAAGGCCATGAAGACGACGACTGCCACAAAAATTATATGGGTGTGTGTGTGTATCCATATAACTGCTTGTAGGTGTGCAAGGAAAGCTGATCCTGATCAGAGATTTTCTGAACCTGGACCACTTTAACATGGGTGGACTTCAACTCCCAGATTTTCTCAACATGGACCACTTTAAGATGGGTGGACATCAACCTGGATTTTCTTAACCTGGACCACTTTAAGATGGGTGGACTTCAACCTGGACCACTTTAAGATGGGTGGACTTCAACTCCCAGATTTTCTCAACATGGACCACTTTAAGATGGGTGGACATCAACCTGGATTTTCTTAACCTGGACCACTTTAAGATGGGTGGACTTCAACCTGGACCACTTTAAGATGGGTGGACTTCAACCTGGACCACTTTAAGGTGGGTGGACTTCAACCTGGACCACTTTAAGATGGGTGGACTTCAACCTGGACCACTTTAAGGTGGGTGGACTTCAACCTGGACCACTTTAAGATGGGTGGACTTCAACTCCCAGATTTTCTCAACATGGACCACTTTAAGATGGGTGGACTTCAACCTGGACCACTTTAAGATGGGTGGACGTCAACCTGGATTTTCTCAACCTGGACCACTTTAAGGTGGGTGGACTTCAACCTGGACCACTTTAAGATGGGTGGACTTCAACCTGGACCACTTTAAGGTGGGTGGACTTCAACCTGGACCACTTTAAGATGGGTGGACTTCAACCTGGACCACTTTAAGATGGGTGGGGACCACTGGACTTCAACCTGGACCACTTTAAGATGGGTGGACTTCAACCTGGACCACTTTAAGGTGGGTGGACTTCAACCTGGACCACTTTAAGATGGGTGGACTTCAACCTGGACCACTTTAAGATGGGTGGACTTCAACTCCCAGATTTTCTCAACATGGACCACTTTAAGATGGGTGGACATCAACCTGGATTTTCTTAACCTGGACCACTTTAAGATGGGTGGACTTCAACCTGGACCACTTTAAGATGGGTGGACTTCAACCTGGACCACTTTAAGGTGGGTGGACTTCAACCTGGACCACTTTAAGATGGGTGGACTTCAACCTGGACCACTTTAAGGTGGGTGGACTTCAACCTGGACCACTTTAAGATGGATGGACTTCAACCTGGACCACTTTAAGGTGGGTGGACTTCAACCTGGACCACTTTAAGATGGGTGGACTTCAACCTGGACCACTTTAAGGTGGGTGGACTTCAACCTGGACCACTTTAAGATGGGTGGACTTCAACTCCCAGATTTTCTCAACATGGACCACTTTAAGATGGGTGGACATCAACCTGGATTTTCTTAACCTGGACCACTTTAAGATGGGTGGACTTCAACCTGGACCACTTTAAGATGGGTGGACTTCAACCTGGACCACTTTAAGGTGGGTGGACTTCAACCTGGACCACTTTAAGATGGGTGGACTTCAACCTGGACCACTTTAAGGTGGGTGGACTTCAACCTGGACCACTTTAAGATGGATGGACTTCAACCTGGACCACTTTAAGGTGGGTGGACTTCAACCTGGACCACTTTAAGATGGGTGGACTTCAACCTGGACCACTTTAAGGTGGGTGGACTTCAACCTGGACCACTTTAAGATGGGTGGACTTCAACCTGGACCACTTTAAGACGGGTGGACTCAACCTGGACCACTTTAAGGTGGGTGGACTTCAACCTGGACCACTTTAAGGTGGGTGGACTTCAACCTGGACCACTTTAAGATGGGTGGACTTCAACCTGGACCACTTTAAGATGGGTGGACTTCAACTCCCAGATTTTCTCAACCTGGACCACTTTAAGATGGGTGGACGTCAACCTGGATTTTCTCAACCTGGACCACTTTAAGGTGGGTGGACTTCAACCTGGACCACTTTAAGATGGGTGGACTTCAACCTGGACCACTTTAAGGTGGGTGGACTTCAACCTGGACCACTTTAAGGTGGGTGGACTTCAACCTGGACCACTTTAAGGTGGGTGGACTTCAACTCCCAGATTTTCTCAACCTGGACCACTTTAAGATGGGCGGACTTCAACTCCCAGAATTCCCCAGCCAGAAGTCCCCCATCTTAAAGCGGTCCTGGTTGAGAAACCCTGGCCTAGTGGATCCCACCCTAAGCAGGGGAAGGACTAGATGACCCCCCGTGCTCAGAGATCCCTTCTCCAACTCTACATCTCCCTGATTCTTTAGCCCAACCTCTGAACTGTGTGGGACACCCAACGGGGACTGGGACCAAAGGACAGAGTCGGGGATGACGGGGCCAGGGAAAAGCTTCGCAACCCGGCTAGGGGTGTGTGTGTGTCTCACCCGGCCCCTGCAGGTGACCTCTTCACCCTGCATCAGGCAGGTCCCGACGGCGATGTAGCCCTTCAAACCGGAGACCGTCTCCTCGCTCTTCAGCGACACTGTCTTCATGCAAGTCACGTGCTCCCACTCCTCCAGGTCGATCCTGCGGAGCAGAAGAGGGGGTGGGAGGGGCTGGGAGGGAAGGCCGCTGCGTACAGATAGTCCTCGACGTACGAGCCCAGGTGAGCCCAAATTTCTGTCGCTAAGTGAGACAGTTGTTAAGTGAATTATGCCCCGTTTTCTCACCCCAGCGGTTCAGGGAATGCCGCGTTAGTAACCCAGTTGTTAAGTCCGGCTTCCCCCGGCTTCCCCCGTTGACTTTGCCCATCAGACGGTTGCAAGAGGGGATTGCGTGACCCCCTCCGGGATGCTACAACCGTCATAAATGTGAGTCGGTTGCCAAGCGTCCGAATCACGTGACCACGGGGACACTGGAACGGTCGTACGGTGTGAAAAATGGCCCTGTCACTTTTTTCAGTGCTGTCGTTAACTCTGAACGGTCACTAAATGGATAGTTGTAAGTCGAGAACTGCCTGCACTGATAACAACGGCTTGTGGCTTAGTGTGATGTGTGTTAACGGGTCAGTGATTGGTTGTAAGAAGGATTTCCTGTACCAAACAATTCCACTGGAGTTTATAGGCAATTATAAGACACATCAATAATTGCAGTGACCGATTTAGATAGAAAGCAAGTTTTGTGCACCACACACACTCTGTGTTCCATGTTTGTGCGTCCTCCCACCTCCCCTGTGCAGAAGAAGGAACAGGCCCAGAAGGGTGGAAGGTGGGATATTTAGCAATAGAACTGCTAGTTGTTAAGTGAGGAACCTGGTTGTTAAGCAAATCCAGTTTCCTCCATTGACTTTGTCAGGTCGCAAAAGGGGATTATGCGACACCCCCCCCCTTGGACATGGCGACCGTCACAAATATGAGTCGGTTGCCAAGTGTCCGACGTTTGCTCACGTGACTACGGGGATGCCGCAATAGTCGTAATTATGAAAAATAAGTCCTGTGTCGCTTTTTCAGGGCTGTCGTAACTCTGAACGGTCACTAAATGAATAGTTGTAAGGCAAGGACCACCTGTATACGCGTCTCCAAAACTGGGGGTGGGGGGGAAACTGCCTTTATGGGTCTCCCCTTTTGGTGGGGGGGCGGGGGGCCTGTCGGCCGTTCTCACAAAATGAGCCTCTAAGCCAGCGGTAGTCAACCTTGGCTCTTTTGTGACTCATGGACTTCAATTCCCAGAATTCCTGAGCCAGCTAAGCTGGCTCAGGAATTCTGGGAATTGAAGTCCACGAGTCACAAAAGAGCCAAGGTTGACTACCCCTGCTCTAAGCTCTCTCCAGGCTTCTGGAGAAGATCTCCACGATCCACAAAGGAAGGTAAGGGGGTGGCACTGGACGAGATGGAGCAATGGCCTGACCTTCCTTCAGGGCTCTGCCCGTGAAAACGTCTCCCTCCCGGGGCTTAATCCAAGGGTTGCCCTCCCCTCTTCTCACCTGGTGTTAGGGATGGTCTCCCAGCTGACCGGAGAGATCAGCTGAATAGAAAAAGCTTCCTGCAGTGGGTGCATGTAGCGGTCATCTGCGGAGGAGAAGGAAGAGGGATGTCCGGCTTTGGGGTCCGCTTCAAGAGGGAGGCGGGGGGGGGGGAGAAACTGAGCTCCAGAGAGCTTGGCACCAATAAAGGAGAGAATTTGTAGCTCCAAAATATGTTGTCAAGTCTTGGTAGTCACAGAACTGCCTACTGATGGAGTAGGGCCAAGATTGCAAGGAGGCTGGAGAGAGAGTGAGGAAGAGAGAGGAGGAGATCTCCCAGTCTATGGTTGTGGGGGTCTATGCTTCCCCAAATGGCAGCTCTTTGCCTAGCAAGTTTGGATGGTTTCTGCCAACTCCGGTGGGAAGAAGGAAGCCATGACGGCATGAAGAATACTGCCTCAGTATGCATCCGATATGCAGTTTGGCTCTCTGCGATATAAAAACGTTGTTGAGACTCTGGAAAGAGTTCAGAGAAGAGCAACAGAGATGATTAAGGGACTAGGCCAGGGGTAGGCAACCGTGGCCCCTTCGTGACTGGTGGACTTCAACTCCCAGAATTCCTGAGCTAGCATGGCTCAGCTTGGAAACCTCTCCCTTTCCCCTCAGCGTGGCTGGCTCAGGAATTCTGGGAGTTGAAGTCCACCAGTCACAAAAGAGCCAAGGTTACCTACCCCTGGCCTAGGCCCCTTCATGACTCATGGACTTCAACTCCCAGAATTCCTGAGCCTGCATGGGGGAACTATGGCCTCTGATGACTGGTGGACTTCAACTCCCAGAATTCCTGAGCCAGCATGGGGGAACTATGGCCACCTCATGACTCGTGGACTTCAACTCCCAGAATTCCTGAGCCAGCATAAGGGAACTATGGCCCCTCATGACTGGTGGACTTCAACTCCCAGAATTCCTGAGCCAACATGGGGAACTATGGCCCCCTCATGACTCGTGGACTTCAACTCCCAGAATTCCTGAGCCAGCCTGGCTCAGCTTGGAAACCTCTCCCTTTCCTCTCAGCATGGCTGGCTCAGGAATTCTGGGAGTTGAAGTCCACCAGTCATAAAAGACCCAAGGTGGCCTACCCTGGGACTAGAGGCTAAAACATAAGAAGAACGGCTGCAGGACTTGGGTTTGGCTAGTCCAAAGAAAAGAAGAAATAGGGGTGATCTAATAGCAGAGTTCCAGTATTTGAAGGATTGCCACAAAGAAGAGGGGGTCCAATCTATTCTCCAAAGCACCAGGGGGCAGGACAAGAAACAATGGTTGGAAACTGACCAAAGAGAGAAGCAACCTGGAATTAAGGAGAAACTTCCTGACAGTGAGGACAATTAACCCGTGGAATGGCTTGCCACCAGAAGTTGTGGGTGCTCCATCACTGGAAGTTTTTAATAACAGTTATTTGACCTGGCTGGTATAAGGTCTTAAACTGGGGGTTGGACTAGAAGATCTCCAAAGTCCCTTTCAACTCTATTTTTTGTGATTAATATTTAGCCCAGAAAGGCATTGCAGCCATTCCTGCCTCATTTAAGGGCAGGTCCCCTGCTCCTCTCCCTGGACCCTCACCAAACAGCTCAGGGACCCCCGTCCATGGACAGTCCAGCAAAGCTCCCTGCTTGCTCCTTCGCCCCCAAAGACCCTCCGCTGGGCAGGACCAGGGGAGAACTGCTCCCGGGGGCATCCTCAGTTTGGGCAAAACTTCCACAAGGAAGCCCTCTGGCTGGAGGATGTGGCACGTCGGCTCCCGGCACACCCACCTCTCTCGATGGTCTCGAAATCCTTCTCCTCCCCCGTCATGTGGGGGATGCGGGTGCAAGTGTTGTTGACGCTGGTGGCCACGGCGTACACCTAGGCAGGAGGGGGAGTTAGTTCAAGGCGCAGGGCAGGGACGGGACAGGCGTGGAATGAAAAGAAAACGAGATCCTCTCGGCCTCTGAAACCGTGAAGCTTGCCGTCGCGCAGGCCGACGATCCAGAAATCAACAAACTGAACACTCTCACACACTGTCACACACAATACCCAACTTCTTTGGATCTCGAAGAAACATTCACGGGTGTAATCTGAACCCGTTAAAACCAATGGAGAGAGAATCCAAGTGATCAAAGAAGCTAGACTGGGTCGGGTTACCGGGGCAACCCAATTTCCAAGCCAATCTAGCATTACCCAGAGCACCCAGTCCTACCTTGGACTCCACGTGGTATGCTACGTAGTGGGCGGTGCAACGCAGTGGGATCTTCCGGACAGGCCACGGCGCATCGTAGGAAAGATAGGCGGGCAAGACGCTGATGCGCAGCTCCCCCTGCAGGACAGGACACAGTCAGACTTTCATCTACCACAGCAGTCTCCAAACATGGCCACTTTTAGGCTTGTGGACTCCCAGAATTCCTCAGCCAGCCCTGCTCTACCAGCTTCTGGATCAGCTCCTAAGGAACTCCGCAGGCAGGTGTTCCAACCCGAGGGACCCTTCCAAGTTCTAACCCTGGATGAGTGAGGCTTACCTGCCGGTTGAAGTAGAGGAAGCCCTTGGGGCAGTTGACGTTGTGGAAGGGGGCGAAGGACTCAATGGGGCCATCTATGGTCATGGGGTGCAAGCGCAGGGCCCCCCGAGATGTCACCAGCAGCCAATGTGGCGAGGGCCCACAAATGAACACCTGAGAAGAAACACAGATGCTTCTTGCGCAAGGAATTCCGAGTGTTGTCCTGGTTCTCCAGGCTAGCCTTCTTGACTCCCTTCTGTCCAGTACAAAAAAATCCCACCACCCCCAACTTTGGGGTCCTATTCAGCAGGTGCCCCAAAGCATCTCTTCCCTGACCATCTCCAAGGCCAGAGACCCCCAACACTCTGGCCTTGGATGTCCCACAGAGAATCCCAGAAGCCCCTGCTGGCCTATCCCTGTGTCCACCAGGAATTCTTCACCTACTCCCGAATAGCCGTAGATGTCTTCAAAGTAGCGGAAGCGAGCGACTCGTCCTCGGGGGGCTCCCGATTCCTCGCCCCCCGCGCTCTCGGACTTCTTTTTGGACGGTCGGGATTTCTTTTCCCGGAAGTTGATGTTGTGGGGAACCTGGTTGGAGACCAAGAGAGAAGGTGAGGAGGAAGAAAAGAAGGAAGGAAGGAAGGAAGGAAGGAAGGAAGGAGGAAGAAGGGAAGAAGAAATGAAGGAAGGAAGGGAAGAAGGAAGAAAGAAAGAAAAAAGAAAGAAAGAAGAGAAATGAAGGAAGCGAAAAAGAGAAAAAAGAAAAAAAGAAAAAGAAATGAAGGGAAAAAAGAGAATGAATGAATGAATGAGTGAATGAATGAAAGAAAAGCACCAGAAAGACAGAAAGAAAGACAGACAGAAAGACGAAAGAAAGACAGAAAGAACAAGAAAGAAAGAAAGAAAGACGAAAGAAAGAAAGAAGAAATGAAGGAAGGAAGGGAAAAAAGAAAGAAAAAAGAAAGAAAAAGGAAGGAAGGAAGGAAGAAAAGAAGAAAGAAAGAAAGAAAGATGAAGGAAGGGAAAAAAAGAGGAAAAAAGAAAGAAAAAAGAAAGAAAGAAATGAAGGAAGGAAGGGGAAAAAGAAAGAAAAAAGAAAGAAATGGAAGGAAGATAGGAAGAAAGGAAGAAAAGAAGAAATGAAGGAAGGAAGGAAGGAAGAGAAGAAGGAAGAAAGAAAGAGAAAGAAAGAAAAATGAAGGAAGGGAAAAAAGAAAGAAAGAAAGAAAGAAAGAAAGAAAGAAAGAAAGAAAGAAAGAAAGAAAGAAAGAAAGAAAAAAAAAAAGAAGGGTGGCCTATAGGGGCAACGGTGGCCCCTCTGCCCTGCCCCTTCCCTGGTAAGGGAATACTGAGACCCAGAGGAAGGGGGGGGGGGCTGATAAAGGCTACCTTTTTGAATCGCACTTTGAGGTTGGCCTGGCCCAGCTGAGAGTCGTGGTTAAAGGCCTCGTAGATGAGCAGCTCTTGATCCACGTGCACCTGGCAAGAGAATTGGGAAGGCCGCCCAGAGTCACTCCATCCCATAATGGCTCACCAGGTGCAGCTCTGAGCTGCAGGCGCCAGTGACCGAACGGCACTCGCTCTGAGCCTCCCTCAGCTCCATTCCCAAGAGAATCGAGTTACAGCCAAGCCCAGTTTGGTCCAGCGGTGAAGGCTAGGAAACCAGGAGACGGTGAGTTCTAGTTCCGTCATAAGCACAAAAGCTGTCTGGGTGATTTTGGGCCAATCACCAGGAGACAGGGAGTTCCAGTTCTGCCTCAGACATGAAAGCCGGCTGGGTGACTTTGGGCCAATCACCAGGAGACGGTGAGTTCTAGTCCCGCCTTAGGCATGACAGCCGACCCCCTCAGCGCAGGTGACCCTCCATGCTCACCAAGAGGTACGGCCGGCTCTGTCGATTCCCCAGGGCCACCAGCAGGACCTCCTTGACCAGCGGCATCTCGGTCTGACGGACGACTTCCTCCTTCTTGCTCTCCCCCTGGCTGGCGGGCTGCCCAAAGGAGCTGTCCACCAGCACCCGTTGCCCCATGGGAAAATTCTTCACCAGAAACACCAGGCGCCAGTCGGGCAACTGGTAGATCTGGGGGAGAGACGAGACGACGGTGGGAGGAACTAGAGAGGGGGCAGGTGGAGTTGGCCAAAAAGGCCAACACGGTGCTAGGCTGCATCAACAGAGGGACAGAATCAAGATCACGAGAAGTGTTAATACCACTTTACAAGGCCTTGGTAAGGCCACACTTGGAATCCTGCACCCAGTTTTGGTCACCACAATGTAAAAAACGATGTTGAGACCTTGGAAAGAGTGCAGAGAAGAGCAACAAAGATGATTAGAGGGGTGGAGGCTAAAACATATGAAGAATGGTTGCAGGAATCCGGTATGTCTAGTTTAATGAAGAGAAGGACCAGGGGTGACATGAGAGCAGCATTCCAGTATCTCAGGGGCTGCCCCAAAGAAGAGGGAGTCAAACTATTTTCCAAAGCTCCTTAAGGCAGGACAAGAAACAATGGAGGGAAACTAATTAAGGAGAGAAGCAACCTAGAACTGAGGAGAAATTTCCTAACAGTGAGGACAATTAACCAGTGGAACAGCTTGCCACCAGAAGCTGTGGGTCTCCATCAATGGAGGCTTTTAAGAAGAGACTGGACAACCATTTGCCTGGGTCTCCTGCTTGAGCAGGGGGTTGGACTAGAAGACCTCCAAGGTCCCTTCCAACTCTCTGTTATTCTGGTGGGAGCTGCTGACTTACCTCCATGGTGCCGTTCTCCCGCACCAGCATGCACCAGTGGGTTGGCTCGGCCTTGTACTGGTGGGAATCCTTGTCCGCGGAGGGCAAGCTGCTGCGCCGTGGCTCCTCCTTGGTGGGGCTGAAGAGCGTGCTGGAGTCGCCGTAAAGCATCTCCTCCTCATCGTCCACTGTGTTGCTGCAGGAGGCGGATTTTATTGGTTTAGAACAGGAGTAGGCCACCTTGGTTCTTTTACGACTGGTGGACTTCAACTCCCAGAATTCCTGAGCCAGCCATGTTGAGGGGAAAAGGAGAGGTTTCCAAGCTGAGCCATGCTGGCTCAGGAATTCTGGGAGTTGAAGTCCACAAGTCATGAGGGGGGGCATAGTTCCCCCATGCTTGCTCAGGAATTCTTTGAGTTGAAGTCTACCAGTCATAAAGTGGCCTAGGCCTAGAGCAGGGGTAGGCAACCTGGGCTCTTTTATGACTGGTGGACTTCAACTCCCAGAATTCCTGAGCCAGCATGGGGGAACTATGGCCCCTTCATGACTCGTGGACTTCAACTCCCAGAATTCCTGAGCCAGCATGGGGGAACTATGGCCCTTCATGACTCGTGGATTTCAACTCCCAGAATTCCTGAGCCAGCATGGGGGAACTATGACCCACTTCATGACTCGTGGACTTCAACTCCCAGAATTCCTGAGCCAGCGTGAGAAAACTATGGCCCCTTCATGATTCGTGGACTTCAACTCCCAGAATTCCTGAGCCAGCATGGCTCAGCTTGGAAACCTCTCCTTTTCCCCTCAGCATGGCTGACTCAGGAATTCTGGGAGTTGAAGTCCACGAGTCATAAAAGAGCCCAGCTTGCCTACCCCTGGTTTAGAAGATTTATTACCTTACCTCAAGGCAACTCTCGGATGACAGTGAAGGAGCAGAAGAGGAAGCTCATTTATGGGGGCCGTGGCAAGTTTGAACCCTGCCCCCCTCCGTGCGTACACACACACACACACACACACACATACCCTGTGCTAAGACCACAGAGATCCACCCTGTCTACAGATCTCAAGGCTTTTAGGTTTTCTTGATTCCACTGAAGAAACAGGAGGGTTTATCTCCTCTTTCCACCAAGCCTCCTGTCAAGGTAATGATTTAACAGCTAACCAGCTTGTGTAATGTAAGATGTAAAAGGTAATGATGGGAATGGCTCAGCAGGGTCTGTGTCTCTTTAAGAGCCTTGGTATAAAAGGGAAGGCTCTGCTGATGTGTTCTCTCTCTTCTGTTTCCTGCTGTAATTGTGGCTTGTTGGATCCTGCTGTATTAGCACGTGTATATATACTGTTCCTGGTGTATGACATGGTAGATGGTGTAAGATAAACCACCATTTAATGCAGACCACTGTTTACTGTGATAACTCCTGGGTTATCTCAGCGCAATAAGACGCTGCACGCTCTGACACCTCCACTGGAGAGCACCGAATACAGGTTGTCCTTGACGTTAACGTCCACAATGGAGCCCAACATTTCCGTTGCTAAGCGAGACAGTTGAGTGAGCTTTGCCCCATTTGACGACCTTTCTCACCACTGTCGTTAAGTGAATCGCTGCAGCTGTTCAGTTAGCAACAGGGTTGTTAAATGGGCTCCCCCATTTGACTTGAAGGTCGCAAAAGGGGATCACGTGACCCCCCCTGGGACGCTGCGACCGTCATAATATAAGAGTTAATTGCCAAGTGTTTTATTTATTTATTTATGAGACTTATATACCGCTTTAAGTGCAAGCACTCTCTAAGCGGTGTACACCAGTAAGCAATGTGTGTGTGTGTGTGTGTGTATGTATGTATGTATGTGTGTATATATATATATATATATATATATATATATATATATATATATATATATATACATTGCCCCCAACAATCTGGGTCCTCATTTTACCTACCCCGGAAGGATGGAAGGCTGAGTCAACCTTGAGCCGGTGAGATTTGAACCGCTGACCTGCTGAACACAGTCAGCTAAAGTGGCCTGCAGTACTGCACTCTAACTGCTGCGCCACCTCGGCTCATTTTGATCACGTGACCATGGGGATGCTGTAAAGATCGTGTGAAAAATGGCCGTAAGTCGCTTTTCCAGTGCTGTTGTTAACAGTCACTAAGCAAATGGTTGTAACTTGAGGATAACCTGGGAGAGACTGGGAGGAACGCGAGCCAAGATGGGCTTTAAGAGTCTCCCCGGTCTGCAGTGCCTCACCTGAGGTCCTGGATGGGCGTCTCGGTCTCCAACTGGCTCCGCAGGGGCAGCTCGTCTCGGGAGCTGGACGAATGGCTCTCAGTGGAGAACATCCCACTGACGTCCCGGTAGACGCAGAGGGCGATCACCCGCGATTGCTGGGAAGAGAGACATATAAGGGGGGAGGCTGGGCTGGCCACAACACCGAGGCAGAGCCCAGGCAGGAAGGCTGGATACGGCTCCGTCTCTCCCGCCCTCTTAAATATTAGACTAAACTAAACTAAATTAAACTGAACTAAAATAAGTCAACTCAACCAAACTAAACCAAACCTAAACTAAACCTAAACTAAAAACTAAAACAAATTAAACTAAATTAATTAAGCTAAACTAAACCTGTTGTTAATTGCGAAGTCGTGTCCGACCCATCGCGACCCCATGGACAACGTTCCTCCAGGTCTTCCTGTCCTCTACCAAAACTAAACCTAAACTAACCTAAGCTAAACTAAACCTAAACTAAACCTAAACTAAACCAAACCTAAACTAAAACTAACTAAAAACTAAAAGAAACTAAACCAAACCAAACCAAACCAAACTAAGCCTAATCTAACCTAACCTAACCTAAAACTAAACTAAACCTAAACTAAACTAAATCTAAACTAAACCTAAATTAAACCTAAACTAAAACTAAAAGAAACTAAACCTAAACCAAAACTAAAACTAAACCTAAACCAAACCAAACTAAACCTAAATTAAATTAAAACTAAACTAAAACTAAATTAAATTAAAGTAAACTAAATTAAATTAAACTAAACTAAACCTAACCTAAATCTAAACCAAAACCAAAACTAAACCAAACAAAACTAAACTAAACCTAAACGAAATTAAAACTAAACTAAACCTAAACTAAATTAAACTAAACCTAAACCAATCTAAACTAAACTAAAACTAAATTAACCCTAAACTCAACCATACCAAAGTAAACTAATAAAATAAAATAGTAAAATAAAATAAAAAATAAGACCAGGCTCTTCACTTTCTTCCTCTTCTACTTTTTAAAACATCAGCCTGTTTCCAACTAGGCTGCGTCTGCCGGTGCCTGGGCTATCTGAATCCAAACAATCTTTAAGACTGACCACTCCTATAATCCACATCCCAAGGCCAAGTCATCTCGGATATCAACAAGCGGCCCGTTTTGCACACTTAAGCACCCACCTCTGAAGCTTAAACAAGGAAACTGCTGGGAAACTGCCGGAGAGGCTGGGTGGAGGCGTCAAGTGGGGACTCAGCTTGGAATCCTAGCGCAGCTGCAAGAGGCCTAAGCTTGATCTCCCTCTAAACTTCAACTCCCAGAATTCCCCAGCCAGATACGGGAGTTGAAGTCCACAAGTCTTGGAGACCCTTGATCTAGGCCCGGGGTCGGCAACCTTAAACACTCAAAGAGCCATTTGGACCCGTTTCCCAGAGAAAAGAAAACACTGGGAGCTGCAAAACTCACGTGGGGGGGAAGCTTGATTGAAGAGTTTAATTAAAAAGAAATAGAGGCTGCTGTGCATGAGTTCTCTCTCTCTCTCCCCCTCCCTCCCTCTCTCTCCCTCTTTGTCTCCCTCCCTCTCTCTCCCCCCCCTCTCTCCCTCTCTCCAATCTTCTGCTCACCTGGCAAGCTGGCTTCACGCTGTTCTCTGACAAGCTGACACACATTCTTACTGGGCTGGCTCTCTCCTGCCCTTGGTCTGCCAGTCCTCTTCCCCCACTCAGTGTGAGTGAGTGTGTGTGTGTGTGTGTGTGTGTGTGAGAGAGAGAGAGAGAGAGAGAGAGGGAGGGACACAGAGAGAGAGACAGAGAGCTGCTGCTTCCTGCTTCTTCCTGCTTCGACGTAGCAAAGGCAGGAGCCCCACCTAATAAGCTTGTCAGCTTGTCAGAGAACAATGTGAGGCCACTCTTTTTACACACACACACAAAGAGAGGGAGAGAGAGAGAGAGAGAGAGAGAGAGAGAGAGAGAGAGAGAGAGAGAGAAGGGAAGCACAAGTGTCTCTCTCTGTCTCTCTCTGCAAATGGCGGAAGAGGCTGGGAGCCGCAGGCTCAAAGAGCCACATGCGGCTCCGGAGCCGCGGGTTGCCAACCCATGATCTACACCCATGAAGCTTTATCTGCTCATTCCCATGGGAAGGCAAGCAGCTTGGGGAGATTCTTGTAACTTAGGTGGAAAATAATAAAGTAGTTTGCTATGGCTATTTTCAAGGGCCTCATCTTGCTGGTCCTGATTGAAATCAAGCAAAGGGGATTGAGCTGCCACACAATTTACGTCGCTTCTGCCAGCCAATAGGAACTCAAAAGGTCCATCAAAGCCCAGATGTTCTTCAGCAGCTCCAAGCTGATCCATCCCTTGGCCGGAAGCTGCTGCTTTGGCAACTTCTTTTCAACAACCTTGGAACGACTGAATTTGTGGCACGAGGCTGAACAGAACAACTTCCCGGGGCGATCTAACTCTCACTCACATGGTGTAACTGTGGTTTCTGTAAGGTCAGGCGGTGCGTCCGGCCCCCGTAGGTGTCGCTCTTTAGCACGAACATGGTCACCTGGCCTTCGGAGCTCATGATCACCACGTAGGGATCAGCCACGGCACAGTGCACAATGGGCGAGCCGAGGTCCACCGGGATGAAGTGTAGCTGGTTCACTGGGGAGAAAGGCACGGGTAAGTTGAGGAATTTGTGGGTTGTGATGCTTCGGCCCCGAGGGGAACATGGCACACTGCTAAGGAGCTCGGAATCATCCCATCTCCTGTTAATTTGGTGGTGCTATCCAAATTGCCTACACCACGTTCTCAACTTTAGCAGCATTAAGGTGCCTGGACTTCCAGAATTCCCCAGCATGAGCGACACCTACGAAGTCCAGACATCTTAATGTTGGTAAGGTTGAGCGCAGACAATTCCTCCTCTCTCGCTGAATGATTGAACTTCCAAAACGGGACACCCGGGAAGGTGAGCCAGATCGCCTTCCTGCACTCACCTCCTTCCAGGAGACGGATACCCAGAGGGGACACTTGGACGATGTAGCGGTTCTCGCCGATGTTGCCAGAGTATACGGTGGGGCCCTGGGTGGCAAATCCGCTGGTGTCCAGCTCCATGATCTCCTGGCCGGTCTGCAAGATCTGAGGGAAGAGAGAGAGAAAGATTGTAATAGCCAAGGGCAGCTATTCCTGGCTGTGAGCCAGACGGGGTAGCAGTTGTCTCTGCTGAGAAGGCACGTGGCTACTGATCTGGCAGGAACAGCTTCTCCACAAAAGCAAATTGCTAGCCAAGAGTCACCTCATGCATTCCCAACTCAGAATAGAATAGAATAGAACAAGAACAGAATAGATGAGTAGAATGGAAGAGAATAGGAAAGGACAGAATATAGAACAGAACAGAACAAACAGAACATAGAATGGAATGGGAATAGAATGGAATGGAATAGAATATGGAATAATAATAAGAATGGAATGGAATAGAACAGAACAGAAAATGGGTAGAATAGAATAGAATAGAATAGAATGGAATGGAATGGAATGGAATAGAATAGAACAGTGGTTCTCAACCTGTGGGTCGGGACCCCATTTGGGGTCGAACAACCATTTCACGGGGGTCGCCAAACAAGGCTGTCGGCCATTTTTTCCCCCTTTTCTTTGGCCACGCCCCTGGCACCCGGTGATGCATAAGTGGTTGGGGGTCACCACAACATGGGGAACTATATTATGGGGTCGCGGCAGTAGAAAGGTTGAGAACCACTGGAATAGAATATGAAATAATAATAATGGAATGGAATGGAATAGAACAGAACAGAAAATGGGTAGAATAGAATAGGACAGAATAGAATAGAATAGAATAGAGTAGAATAGAATGGAATAGAATAGAATATGAAATAATAATAATAAGAATGGAATGGAATAGAACAGAACAAAAAGTGGGTAGAATAGAATAGAATAGAATAGAATAGAATAGAATATGAAATAATAATAAGAATGGAATGGAATGAAATAGAACAGAACAGAAAATGGGTAGAATAAAATAGAATGGAATGGAATAGAATATGAAATAATAATAAGAATGGAATGGAATAGAATAGAACAGAACACAATACAAGCTGGAAGGGACCTTGGAGGTCTTCTAGTCCAGCCCCCCGCTCAAGCAGGAGAACCTATACCATTTCAGACAAGCGGCTGTCCAGTCTAGTTTTATGTCCATTGTTTCTGCTGACATCCCTCGTTTGCCCAAGATGGATCTCTGGACTGCCAAGGACCTCTTGAGACAGGGACACGCTCAGTCCTGAACCTAATGGCATCTCAGAGAGTTCATGTCCACCAAGGCAAGCCAAGCCATCCAAAACCATCTCAACCCAACCCAACCCTGCGCAACTCAATGCAAACCAGCCAACTCAACTCAACGTCAAGCCTCAAGGAATGCTTATGTTGTCTCAACCAATATTGCTTCATAACTTGCCTACGAACCCTGGGGGGAGGAGAGGGGAGAACGGAATGCTGGTTTCTGATCTCAAGAGGCTAGTCTGTGAGAATCAAGGACTTTCAAGATTTGTCTGCTGAGACGAAAGACATCCCCTCGTAATAATTATCTGAGTTATAATTGGGTAGTGGGACCTGCACTCATAGGGGGAGGGAGACTTCTATATTTTTAATATAGCAAACTAGGTGCAAATTAACCAGAGCCGGTTTTCCTTTCACCAGTCCCGAAATGATGCACTCAATAAAGTTTTGCCTTAGAGATTGGATCGTCTCAGGTGTGCTGACTTCATTGGGTTTGTCAGTCGGAACCTTGACACCCAACCCAACTCAACTCAAGCCAACACAAGCCACTCCAACACACGCCAACACAACTCAACTCAAGCCGAACCACTCAGACCTAACACACTGAATCTTAATCTAATCTAATCTAATCCAACCCATTCAAACCCAATCTAACCCAACTCAACCCAATCTAACCCAACCCATTCAAACCCAACCTAATGTAACCCAACCCAACCTAATCTAACCCAACCCAACCCAACCCAACCCAACCCAACCCAATCTAACCCAACCTAACCCAACCCAACCTAAGCCAACCCAACCCAACCTAAGCCAACCCAACCCAATCTAACCCAATCCAACCTAAGCCAAGCTAACCCAACCTAACCTAAGCCAACCCAACCTAACCTAAGCCAACCCAACCCAAGCCAACCCAACCTAAGCCAACCCAACCCAACCTAACCTAAGCCAACCCAACCCAACCCAACCTAACCTAAGCCAACCCAACCCAACCCAACCTAACCTAAGCCAACCCAACCCAACCTAACCTAAGCCAACCCAACCCAACCCAATCTAAGCCAAGCCAAGCCAAGCCAGTCACAGAGAAGCACCCACCATGGTGGAGTCTTCACGGCTCAGGATGAGGAACCCATGTCGCTTCCCATCATCCACTGGCTCAGGTGGAGAGGGCTCCTTCTCAGTACCTTCTTCCTGAGTATCTTCTTCCTGCTAGGAGAGCCACGGAGGATGCTATCAGGGTCCGCACCCCACCCCAAGATCAATAAGGAGCCTCATACTGATATGGTGAGAGGTGAGAACTGGCCCAGGTCACTGTGCTGTATAACAAGACCCCACCAAAACCAAGCAGGACCCTAATCTTTGTGCCTGGCAGAGACCCCGGAGGAGGCAAAACTCCTAAGGGAGGCAGCATTAGTAAGAATCAGAACACCAAACCATCTTCAGACCTTCTCCATGGGTCTCTGGAGGCCTCCTGGAGGTCAATGGGATACTAACCGGGCCCAACAGAACTTTGGATTTTTTTCTGACCAGCCAAGCAGTCAGAGAGAGGTAAAATACCTCTCTGCTCGCCCTCCTCCACCTTTTAGTCTTCAGCAACACCTAGCAGGAGTGCTGAGCTGAAAATCTTTTCTCTCTGGGTTGCAGGATGAGCTGCCTTCAACCCCGAAACACGTCTAGCACAATGCCCCGGGACAGGCCCAGGCTGGGCCAGCAAGCCACCTTCCTGTCCTGGAAACCTGGGTATAGTGAGGGCCTTCTGCCCTCAGCTGGCAGGGGGAAGGAGGGCCAATCAACTGCAGGAGACAAGAGTGTGCAAGACCAAAGGCTGGACATACGGTGGCTTCCTCCGTCTTCTGGGGCGAGATCACCGTCCACATGTCGTAGCAACCGGGCAGTTCAAAGGTGGTGACCACCTGAGGACGGATGCTTTTCTGCAAGGAGGGAAGAGGGAGACATTGGGGAGGCGGGTGGTCCAGCATCTCCAGAACGTGACATTCGCAAAAGCTTCCTGCACAGGAGAGAGACTTCTTCCATTTTATTTCGGGATATTCGTGGCTTTAAGGAATGAGGCTTATTAGGTCTGATGTTACCTAAGTGGGTAATGAGATATCAAAGAGCGCCAAGAACCCTCTTCACCACCTCCTCCACTTCCTCATCCCATCAAGGACTGTATCTTCCTCCTCCTCCTCCTCCTCCTCCTCCTCCACCACCACCACCAAGGAACCTATCCTCTTTCTCCTCCTTCTCTGCAAAGCCCTCTCCCTTCTAGCACTGATGATGTTACTTAGTTGGGTCATGAAACATCTGCAAGAAAGCAACCCAGCTCAGAAAGCACCAAGGACCCCAGTCTTCTTCTTCTTCCTCCTCCTCTTTTCTTCTTCCTCCTCCTCCTCCTCCCTACAAGCTCCACTCTAGCACTAATGAAATTATCTAATTGGGTTATGAAACATCTGCAAGAAAACCACCCAGCTCAGAGGGCACCAAGGACTCCACAGTCCGTCCTTCCTTCCTTCCTTCCTTCCTTCCTTCCTTCCTTCCTCCTCCCTACAAGCCCCACCTTCCTTCCTTCCTTCCTTCCTTCCTTCCTTCCTTCCTTCCTTCCTTCCTTCCTTCCTTCCTTCCTTCCTTCCTTCCTTCCTTCCTCCTCCCTACAAGCCCACTCTAGCACTGATGATGTTCCCTAGTTGGGTCATGAAACATCTGCAAGAAAACCAAGTTTAGGCAGCACCAAGGACTCTACAGTCCTTCCTTCCTTCCTTCCTTCCTTCCTTCCTTCCTTCCTTCCTTCCTTCCTTCCTTCCTTCCTTCCTTCCTCCCTCCCTCCCTCCCTCCCTCTTCCCTACAAGCCCCACTCTAGCACTGATGATGTTCCCTAGTTGGGTCATGAAACATCTGCAAGAAAACCACTAAGTTCAGGCAGCACCAAGGACTCCACAGTCCTTCCTTCCTTCCTTCCTTCCTTCCTTCCTTCCTTCCTTCCTTCCTTCCTTCCTTCCTTCCTTCCTTCCGTCCGTCCTTCCTTCCTTCCTTCCTTCCTTCCCTCTCTTCCTCCTCCTCCTCCTCTGCAAAGCCCACTTCCTTTTAGCACTGACGATGCTACCTAGTTGGATCATGAAACGTCTGCAAGAAAACCACCCAGCTCAGAGAGCACCCAGGACCCTGCAGTTCAACCCTCAGCAACAAAGATTCTGTCGGTGCTCCAATGTTCTCCGGGGCAGCCCTAGACTGCGCTGCTAATGGGGCCTCGGCCCTTCACTCCCCTCCCTGGGATCGGTCCGCAGGGTGTCCGCAGCTGCGTTCCCCCCCCCTCACCTGCAAGACTGAGAGGGCACCGTTTTTGCCGTAGCCAGAACACACCACAATTTCTAGATCAGGCTCAGGACTATTCTGGAACTAGAAAAAAAAAGGTATATTAAGCAGGTTGCGTCCCTTGTAGGTTTTGCACAGCAAAATCCCCCTGAAATTTTCTATCTTAAGGACGTGTAATATTTTGTAATTTGAATTTGTTTCTTACAGGTATAATTGTTTTTATACGTCTGTGTTTTATTATAATATAAGCCTCCCAGAGTCATCTTGAACTGTGCGGTGGACAGCATGTAAATTTAATAAATAATAACATAATTAAACATCCAATTTGCTTATCCCGGGTCCTTGGAAGGACTGGATAGGCCAGGGGTAGGCAACCTGGGCTCTTTTATGGACTTCAACTCCCAGAATTCCTCAGCCAGCCATGCTGAGGGGAAAGGGAGAGGTTTCCAAGCTGAGAGGAATTCTGGGAGTTGAAGTCCACGAGTCATAAAGCGGGCTAGGCCTAGGCTAGAGGGTAGGCCACCTTGGCTCTTTTATGACTCATGGACTTCAACTCCCAGAATTCCTCAGCCAGCCATGCTGAGGGGAAAGGGAGAGGTTTCCAAGCTGGCATCCAGGTGAGGCTGAGCGGGGGGCGGGGGGGGAGGACAGAGAACCCTACCTCCTCGGAGAGAAAAGCCGGCTCTCCCATGGCAGCGTTGGCGCAGGGCCCGATGTTTAGGATACTGTCGCAGACCTTCCAGAAGAGGAGAGAGGAAAGCGTCAAATCGGCTGAACATTTCTGATTAACCAAGGAAAGAGGTGGGAGGGGGCACTTTTCCTGCCTTAGGAAAGCAAGATGGGAACCCCCCCTCCCCAAAGCCGAAGAAAATCTCCAACATATAGGGAATTGAAAAAGGACCTTCGGGAATCAACTCGACTGAAGAGTTCCTCCTCGCAGAATGTTGTGATGGGCAGAAATCCGGGTTCAAGCGCTTGAGTTGCTACTACATGAGCACGGCCAGAGCTTTGAGGACTTGGTAGCCTCAATAGAAAGCCCTGAGCTCAAATGCCAGGCTGAAACTTTGGCAGCTACGTGCCTCTGCCCTTCAACTTGCCTTTAGAAAGGGGTGGGGTGGGAGGCATTACTTTCAAGCGGACAGAAGGAGAAAAAAAGCTACTTCGATTCAGCTGCAGACCGTGGGAGCCTGAAGCCTTGTCAAGGACACCAGAACAGGTGTCGACTTGAAGCAGATGGTTCCCATAACAAAGTGGATTTGTCGATAGGGATTACGTAAGACGTTGGGGGTTCGGCTGGGAAAACTAGGGTCTTCTGCTTGAGCAGGGGGTTGGACCAGAAGACCTCCAAGGTCCCTTCCAGCTGTATTCTGATCGACTGAAGTCTATGAATTAGTGTGGGAACCTTGGAGTTAGGTTTGCTTCAACACAGTCGTGCAGTGTATTCAATAAAACGCAAGCTTTTCGGAAACGGAATCAACCTGGGAGTTTTATTTGGATTCTCAAGCTGGATGTTGACAGCCTGGTTGTGGGAGTGTCTAGTTGGTACTTCAGGGGCACTTCCCTTGCTGGGGAAACTGAAGCAGACATACCTCGAAAGAGTAGGTGGTCAGCTGGGTGCCAGACTGGGCCTCGCTGCCATACACCTCAATCTCGTCTACTTCGTCCTGCGGAGCTGACTTCCCTCCTGGGCGAGACGGATTGGGAAATAAAAGACGAGGGGCTCGGATGGATGGCCTCGCCCCACTGTTGCTCCTTCAAGCCCCTCCTCCTCCCTCCAGGCACTTCCTCCTCCTCCACCCTTCTACTTGCTTCCCACCCAAGTGGGGCTGGATTGGCCGTTCTGATGTTTTTTTTAGCGGCTTAGTGGTTTTTACTGTTTTCAAATGTTTTTAAGATTTTAACTGCAATCCAGGCAGTTCTCAACTTACAACAGTTCGTTTAGTGACCGTCCAAAGTGACAACGGTGCTGAAAAAAGTGACTTATGACTATTTTTCACTTAAGACCGTTGTAGCATCCTCATGATCACATGATGGAGAGAAAGGGGGGGGGATAGGTAGCTGATATAGATAATGATAGATAGATAGATAGATAGATAGATAGATAGATAGATAATGATAAAGATAGGTGGATCAATGATAGATGAGAGATAGATAGATAGATAGATAGATAGATAGATAGATAGATAGATAGATAGATAGATAGATGATAAAGATAGGTGGATAGATGGATGATAGATTACATAGATAAGTGATAGATGATATAATGATAATGATAGATAATAGCTCGATGATAGACAGAGATGATAGATAGGTAGACAAATGATAAAGATAGGTAGATAGATGATAGATTACGTAGATAAGCAATAGATGATATAGATCAGTGATGGCGAACCTTTTAGAGACCGAGTGCCCAAACTGCAACCCTAAACCCACTTACGTATCACCGGGTGCCCGGCGGGTGTGGCCCACTCGGTGGGTGCAGCTACAGTGGGCTTGGCAGACTGGGTGGGCGTGGCTACTGGATGGGTCTGACTGCAGTAGTCATGGCAGATTGGGTGAGCATGGCTGGGGTGGGCGTGGCCACCTTGATGTTGCTTGTGGGGAGGGACACCTGTGGGAGCCGGGCAGGGTTGGGGGGGATCCAGGGGGGCTCTCTGGCGGGTGGGATGGTGGGCTCCCCGATGGCAGCTCCAGGCTGGCTGGCCTTAGGCCAGTGATGGCAAACTTTTAGAGACCACATGTGCTGGGGCGATGGCGCACGTGCCCACAGAGAGGGCTCCGTGTGCCGCCTCTGGCACGCATGCCATAGGTTTGCCACCACCGATATAGATAATGATAGATAGGCAGATAGACAAATAGATAGATAATTTACAGACAGACAGATAGATAAATGTGCAGTGCAGCCAACCTTCTGGCTAGGGAGCCTGGGGGCAGACAGTCCTTACCAATCTCTCAGATATCGGCGCAGAGGGTGCTGATCAAAGACCCCCTTCCCTCCAAGACCACCCCCAGTGTCAGCAGACGGAATCAGATGACCCAGCAGAGATGGGAGGAGAGGGGAGGATAGGCTGCCCCCCACTAGAAAACTGAAGCCTTTATGCGGAGTGCGGTGGCTCATTTGCAACATGCCCCCCCCAGATCTTACAACAGATTTTGGGGGGTCTTTCTCGGCCCTTTTGCTGCGAGAATCAGGACACTCACCGGCCCAGTTGGCGGACTGCTCCATGCGCTTCTTCTTCAGGGGGGGCTCCTCCTGGGAACCAAACAGAACGGTTCGTTGGCAAGGAAGGCAAGAGACCCACAAAGCCCCCCTCCTGCTGCTGCTGCCCTTAGAAGCCCCCCCGTCTGTCTCTGCAGGAAAGCCCCCCCCCGCCCCGGATTCTCTAAAGCAGCGGTTCTCAACCTGTGGGTCGGGACCCCATTTGGGGTCGAACGACCATTTCACGGGGGTCGCCAAACAATGCTGTCCATTTTTTTTCCCTTTTCCTTAGCTGTGCTCCTCCCTTTTATTCTATTGGCTTTTGAAAGCCAATAGAATAGCCTCTCTTGAATAGAGTCTAATTCTATTGGCTTTCAAAAGCCAATAGGGATTGTCCAGGCTGTCTCTGCCCTGCTGAGCCCGCCAAAAGTCCCATTCTGCAAACGGTGCTGCACCAGTTGAGTAGTCCTCGACTTACGACCGGTTGAGTAGTTCTCGACTTACGACTGGTTGGGGGGTCGCGGCATTAAAAAGGTTGAGAGCCACTGCTCTAAAGCTCTCCATCCTCGGCCACTTTAAGGCCTGTGGACTTCAACTCCCAGAATTCCCCAGCCAGCGCCTGTGGCTAGGAAGGACTGCGTGTACAGGGAATCCTCGACTTATGACGATTCAGTGACTTATGACCAGTTTTCACACTTAACGACCGTTGCAGCGTTCCCGGGCTCACGTGATATCAACGTTCAAACGCTCGGCAACTGGCCTGTACTTAGGACGCTTGCAGATTCACTAAACAACCAGGTTACTAATTTAACAACGGCAGCGCTCCACTTAACAACTGTGGCAAGATAGGTCATAAAAAGCTGAGATGGCGCAGCAGTTAGAGTGCAGTACTGCAGGCCACTTTAGCTGACTGTGTTCAGCAGGTCAGCGGTTCAAATCTCACCGGCTCAAGGTTGACTCAGCCTTCCATCCTTCCGGGGTAGGTAAAATGAGGACCCAGATTGTTGGGGGCAATGTCAATATATATATATATACATTGCTTACTGGTGTACACCGCTTAGAGCAGTGGTTCTCCACCTGTGGGTCGGGACCCCATTTGGGGTCGAACGACCATTTCACGGGGGCCGCCAAACAAGGCTGTCCGCCATTTTTCCCCCCTTTTCTTTGGCCACGCCCCTGGCATCCGGTGATGTATAAGTGGTTGGGGGTCACCACAACATGGGGAACTGTATTATGGGGTCGCGGCATTAGAAAGGTTGAGAACCACTGGCTTAGAGAGTGCTTGCACTTAAAGCGGTATATAAGTCTCATAAATAAATAAATAAATAAATAAAATGGAGGAAAACTCACTTAACCAGTGTCTCACTTGGCAACAGGGCTGAATCGTGCTCGTAAGCCGAGGACGCCCTGTGTTTTGCGGAAGAGGGCGGCTATAAAGGTAGGGCTCAGCTCTGGGTGCGAAGGGGGATGGAGAGACCCCCGGCTGATCCCCCTTACCTTCTCGGCAGAGTCCTTAGCGATGCTCATGGGGGCCTCCTGGAGCTTTTCCGTGTATTTCAGGAGAAGAGAGTTGCCCAGCCGAGAGCCCAGGAAGAGGTAACCGAGCTCCAAGGTAATCATCTGAGACCCAAAGGGAGAAAGACAAAAAAGAGACCAGGCTAGAACGGAGAGACGGCCGGCGGGGGTCCAGCCTACCGGAGGCAGAAGGGGACAAACTCGTTGCAGCCGACTGGCCACGGCCAGCTTGCTGGGAGACAATTTAACCGTTCGGTTTAATTCCTTAAAGTAAATTAAAAATTCTAATTTTTGTCATTCACATTTCACTGAATTGGGGATGTCTAGTTTGATGAAGAGAAGGACGAGGGGGGACAGGATAGCAGCGTTCTGGTATCTCAGGGGCTGCCCCAAAGAAGAAGCAGTCAAGCTATTTTCCAACGCTCCTGAAGGCAGGACAAGAAGTAACAGATGGAAACAAATCAAGGAGAGAAGCAACCTGGAACTAAGGAGAAACTTCCTGACAGTGAGAACAATTAACCAGTGGAACTACCTGCCTCCAGAAGTGGTGAATGCTCCAACACTGGAAGTTTTTAAGAAGAGACTGGACAGCCATTTGTCTGGAATGGTCTAGGGTTTCCTGACTGAGCAGGGGGTTGGACTAGATGACCAAGATCCCTTCCTACTATTCTATTCTGTTCTGTTCTGTTGTCCCCCCCTCCCCATCCTGCTTAGGTTTATTTTGAATTTTTAAATTAAGGTCTTTATTTATTGTTTTATTTTGCATTTCATTCAATGTCTGTTAGCCATCTAGAGATACCTGGGGATGGACTGTGAAACAAGTTGGAAAAGAAAAAGAAAGAAAGAAAGAAAGAAAGAAAGAAAGAAAGAAAGAAAGAAAGAAAGAAAGAAAGAAAGAAAGGAAGGAAGGAAGGGAAAAAGGAAAAGAAAAAGGAAAAAAGAAAGAAAAAAGGAGAAAGGAGAGAGAGAAAGGAAGGAAGGAAAGAAGGAAGAAAAAACAGAAAGAAAGGAAGAAAAAAGGAAGAGAAAAGAGAGAAAGAAAAAAGAGAAAAAAGAGAAAGGAAGAAAAGAAGAGAAAAAGCTAAAAGGAAGAGAAAAAGAAAAAAGAAAAAAGGAGAGAGAGAGAAAGGAAGGAAAGAAGAAAGGAACGAAGGAAGAAAAAAAAGAAAGAAAGGAAGAAAAAAGGAAGAGAAAAAAAGAGAAAGAAAAAAGGAAGAGAAAAAAGAGAGAAGGAAAGGAAGAAAGGAAGAAAGGAAGAGAAAAAGGAAAAAGGAAGAGAAAAAGAAAAAAGGAGAGAGAGAAAGGAAGGAAACAAGGAAAAACAGAAAAAAAGGAAGAAAAAGGGAAGAGAAAAAGAAAAAAGGAGAGAGAGAAAGGAAGGAAAGAAGGAACGAAGGAAGAAAAAACAGAAAGAAAGGAAGAAAAAAGGAAGAGAAAAGAGAGAGAGAGTGAGAGAGTGAGAGAGAAAGAAAGAAAGAATGATCTAACTGACCATCAGGCACCAGCCCCAGGAGAATGAAAGGGGGCTCAGATGCCACAGCTGCCTATTCCGTGGCTCATCAATCCAATCAATCCATCCCCCTCCCAGCCCAGATGGCCACTGCTGGGCCGAAGGGCACTTACGCAGGTGGTGAGGACACTGGCTGCCGCCTTGTCAAAATGGAAGGAGCGGACACTTCGCATGCCGTCCGTGATGAGGGTCAGCACGTAGCTGGGGAGAGAAACGGAAGTGGATGATGGGAGCCGCGGGTCCACGAGCAGAAGGCAGTCTGGACACAGTCTCTGCTCCAGCACAAACTCACACACCCCAAGGGCAGAGCGTGGTGAGCAGAAATACAATGCGGACTGCGGTTGTCTGAGGAGCAGGAGATTCAGTTACTGGGGGTTGGGGTGCGGGTGTCTTGGTTGTCCCTGAGCTTTGTGATTTTCTTGCAGACATTTCATGACCCAACTAGGTAACATCATCAGTGCTAGATGGGAGCAGGGTTTGAGGAATGGAGGAGGAGAGGAAGAGGACTGTGTGGTCCTTGGCGTTCCCTGAACCTGGTAGTTTCGTTGCAGACGTTTCATGACCCAACCAGGTAACATCACCGGTGCTAGATGGGAGGGAAGTTTCCAGAAAGGGGGAGGAGCAGGGGGGCTGTGGGGTCCCTGGTGCTCTCTGAAAAGGCTTGTTTTCTTGCAGACATTTCATTATCCAATTAAGTAATTTGACCAGAAAGAAAGAAAAAGAAAGAAAGAAAGAACCATAAAGACAGACAGAAAGAAAGGACAGAAAGAAAAAGAAAGAAAGAAAAAGAAAAAGGAAGAAAGACAAAGAAAGAGAACCAGAAAGAAAGAGACAGACCGAAAGAAGGAAAGACCAGAAAGAAAGAAAGACAGACAGAAAGATGAAAGAAAAAGAAAGGAAGAAAGACAAAGAAAGAAAGAAAAAGAGAACCACAAAGAAAGAAAGAAAAAGAGAGAAAGAACCAGAAAGACAGAAAGAAAGAGAGAGAGAAAAAGAAAGAAAAGGAAAGAAAAAGAGAAAAGGAAGAAAGACAAAGAAAGAAAGAGAACCAGAAAGAAAGAGAGAGAAGGAAAGAAAGAACCAGAAAGAAAGAAAGAACCAGAAAGACAGAAAGAGAAAGAAAGAAAAAGAAAAAGAAAGGAAGGAAGGAAGACAAAGAAAGAGAACCAGAAAGAAAGAGAGAGAGAAGGAAAGAAAGAACCGAAAGAAAGAAAAAGAGAGAAAGAACCAGAAAGACAGAAAGAGAGAGAGAGAGAGAGAGAAAGAAAGAAAGAAAGAAAGAAAGAAAGAAAGAAAGAAAGAAAGAAAGAAAGAAAGAAAGAGGACTGTGGGGTCTTTAGTGCTACCTGAGCTCAGCTGTTTCCTTGTACATTTCATTACTCAAATAGGCAACATCATCATCATCGTGAGCCCTAGTAGCACTGATGATGTTACCTAGTCAGGTAATGAAACGTCTGCCAGGAAGCAAGCCCTGGCTGGGCCAGGATGTGTGCCTGCAGGAGGAGCACCCCAAGCCTTACATCTCCCCTCCCTTCAGCGAGATCACCATCTTGTCATAGGAAATGAAGGTCGCCTGGGCACAGTCCAGAGTGATTTTTAATCCTTCTTGGAACCCTGCAAGAGACGGGGAGAAGAGCAGCCGTTAGGAACCAGGGCAGCAGCTGCTCCCTTCGGCCCTCCCCAAGCGAGACGGGCGGTTAAGAAATACGATGTATAAATAAGTCAATATAATCGGTCAGACTCTGGGCTAAAGTCTGCCACAAAAACTTAGTTTCCTGATGTAGTAGTTTGGATGCAACTTACGTTCGTATTTGGTGGACTTGTAGAAATGTAAAAGCTTTTTGGATTAAAATTTGGTGGAACGTTCAGAATATTTTTAAACGAAAGATAAAGTTGAAACGTCCAGTATTGGGGCACCCACAACTTCTAGAGGCAAGCTGTTCCACTGGTTAATTGATCTGGGATTGTAGCATTACAGAACAACAGAGCTGGAAGGGACCTTGGAGGTCATCTAGTCCAAGAACCAAGATCACGTGAAGTGCTAATACCACTTTACAAGGCCTTGGTAAGGCCACACTTGGAATACGGGATCCAGTTTTGGTCACCACGATGTAAAAAAGATGTTGAGACTCTAGAAAGAGTACAGAGAAGAGCAACAAAGATGATTAGGGGACTGGAGGCTAAAACATACAAGGAACGGTTGCTGGAATTGGGTATGTCTAGTTTAACGAAGAGGGGGGACATGATAGCAGTCTTCCAATATCTCCAGGGCTTCCCCAAAGAAGAGGCAGTCAAGCTATTCTCCAGAACTCCTGAAGGCAGGACAAGAAGCAACGGATGAAAACCAATCAAGGAGAGAAGCAACCTGGAGTTAAAGAGAAACTTCCTGACAGTGAGGACAATTAACCAGTGGAACCACCTGCCTCCAGAAGCGGTGAATGCTCCCACACTGGAAGTTTTTAAGAAGAGGTTGGACAGCCATTTGTCTGAAATGGTCTAGGGTTTCTTGCCTGAGCAGGGGGTTGGACTAGATGACCTCCAAGGTCCCTTCCAACTTCATTATTATAACCCCCTGCTCAGGCAGGCGACCCCAGACCGTTCCAGACGGGAGAACGAGAAAGTCCCAGCTGCCTTTTGGAAAAACACCGTTGGCACAATGGCAATCTAGAGGATTGAGCACCTCCATAGACGCCCAGTTTTCCAAATAGTGCCTCGGCAAGCGTGATCCCGTGTAGGCAGAGATCTTGTAAGAGCGTGCGGATCCCTGGTCACAACGGATCCCCTGCCGCCTGTATCCCCAAAGGGTTGTTGCAAGTCGAATAACAGCAGGCAGCCACAGGCATGGAGTTCTAGACTTACCACCAGAGCTGAGAACAAAATTTCCGTGGCTAAACAAGGTGCTTATTAATCGAAGTGTGTCTGGTTTCATTACCTTTTTTGGGGGGGCAGCGTTGTTAAGCGAAATCAACTGAGGTTGCTAAGTGAGTTGCACCGTCTTTAAGCAAACCCTGCTTTCCCCACTGATTTTACCTGAGGGGGGGGTCACCGATGGTGACCCCCTGACCCTGGGACGGCGCAACTGTCACGAGTACATGCCAGTTGCAAAGGACCTGGATTTGGAGCACGGGACCGTTCCGTGGGAAGGCCGGTCGTACGTTCACTTTTTTTCAGGGCCGTTCAGAGTTTCAAACGGTCGCTAAATGAACCACGGTAAGTCAAGGACTACCGGGATCTTGTCTGAGTTGGCCAGCGGCCTATTTAGCTGGGGAAGGAGAAGAGGGGGGCAGGTAAATGGAGCTGGGTGGAGATGGCTCTCCGACCGGATCTGGGAAAGACGGGACGAATCCTGGATGGTTTGAGCTGGATGACGGAGTCTTTTTTCACTTGGGGGAGAAACCCCCCGCAAAGTCAGTACGGCAAGGGTTGCTTCGTCCCAGGGACTCTCTGGCTCTTTGCCTACCCAAAATTTTCATTTTTGACTGAAGGAATTTACTCGGAGGAGGAACGAAACGCCTCAGTTTTGAGAAACGGGGCGCCCTGGCCACGACGTAACCTTTTGAGATGCTTTTCACAATGAGTCCCACCTCCGGAGTGATCCAAAAGCATCTGTCCATCGTCATTTGGGGAGGAAAGGCAGAGAGAGAGAAAGGGAGGGAGAAAGAGAAAGAGAGGGAGGGAGGGGGGGAAAGAGAGAGAGAGAGACAAAGGGAGTGAGTGAGGGAGGGAGGGAAAGAAAGGAAGGGAGAGAGGGAGGGAGGGAAAGAGAAAGAGGGAGAGAAAGGGAGGGAGAAAGAGGGAGAGAGAGATGGAGGTAGGGAGGGAAGGGAGGGAGGGAATGAGAGAGGGAGAGAAAGGGAGGGAGAAAGAGAGGGGGAGAGAGAGAGACGGAGGGAGGGAAAGAAAGGAAGGGAGAGAGGAAGGGAGGGAAAGAGAGGGAGAGAGAGGGAGGGAGAGGGGGTGGGAGAGAGGGAGGGAGGGAAAAGAGAGACAGAGAGGGAGGGAAAAGGGAAGGGAAGGAGAGAGGGAGAGAAAGGGAGGGAGGGAAAGGGAGGTAGAAAAAGGGAGGGTGGGAGAGAGGGAGGGAAAGAAAGGAAGGGAGAGAGGGAGGGAGAGAGAAAGAGAAGGGAGAGAGACAGAGGTAGGGAGTGAGAGAGAGAGGGAAAGAAAGGAAGAGAGGGAGGGAGAAAGAGAGAGGGGGAGGGAGAGAGAGATGGAGGTAGGGAGAGAGGGAAAGAAAGGAAGAGAGAGGAGGAGGGAGGGAGAAACAGGGGGAGGAAGAGAGAAAGGGAGGAAGGGAGAGAGGGAGGGGAAAGAGAGGGAGGGAAAGAGAGGGAGAGAAAAAGAGAGACGGAGAGAGAGAGGGAGGGAAAAAAGGGAGGGAAGGAGAAAGGGAGGGAGGGAAAGAGAGAGAAAGGGAGGGAGGGAAAGAGGTAGAAAAAGGGAGGAAGGGAAAGAGAGGAAAGGAGGGAGGGAGGAAGAAAGGGAGTGAGGGAAAGAGAGAGAGAGAGAGAGAGAGAGAGAGAGAGAGAGAGAGAGCGACGTACTCAGCGGGAAGACGGTGGTGCCGTTGGTGAGGCTGTTGAGGGAGACGCCGTAGGGAGGCACGCTCTGGTTCAGGTAGAGCAAAGAGTTCACCGCAAAGATCACAACACCTCCTGGAGTGGGGGGGGGGAGAGAGAAGAGAGGCAGAGGAGACAGGGAGGAAACAACTCACTTCTTACACACCCTAGGCTTAATACGTGTGCTTCCCTTCAAAACTCTGCACCAAAAAAGCTGCTCCCATCGGCAGCCTCCAGCCCTTGTCCAGCCCCCCACATCTGGAGTTTCCAGCCGGGAGGCTCTGTAGCCCCGGCACCTCTGGAGGGGGGGGGGGTGTCTGTTCGAGATGCACGCAGATGCCAACCTCCGGCACTGGCCTTTCCGCCCCTCCACCGCCCCCCCAAGAAGCCGAGAAGGGCCGTCCCGCTCACCGATGGGCTTGGGCACGGCCAGGGCCTGGGTGCAGTCGAAGGGCAGGTTGCTGAGGGACCAGATGACCGGGTGGACCTTCTGCATGATGTTGAGGGAGATGGCCACGATGCTGCAGGTGTCCTGGCGCACGGCCACCCGCCTGCGGGGAAAGAGAGAGAGACAATGAGCTGCTTCCCAGGCAGATTTCCAGGGAAGCCAACGGCCAGCAACTGACCCTTGAACCCATACTGATTTTTTTAATATGAATTAGGATAAAGATTAATGAGTCAACAGAGGGGTGTGTGTGTGTGTGCGGGCGCGTGTTCTTCACAGCCATGACAAGCAGAGATGGTTAAACTGGCCCTTTTATCCAAAGATACATCTAAGCTAGCTTGTATTCTGAAATCGCTTCCAGATTTTGGGCTCACCATGAAGAAGAAATTGACAACTTGACTTTGTTAATCAGATAGGTGTATTGTTACGGAAATCGTTTGTGTATATACTGTTGTGTAAAAGAAAAAGTTGTGTCTGCAACGTTATCTACAATGTGCCTGCAGGGGATAGGACTAGAAGACCTGCAAGGTTCCTTCCAACATTATTATTATTATGGATCATCGCACAGTCAGCCAGATGTTCAGACTGGATTTGGCATTTTGTCTACTATCGAGTCCTTACCCAGGACCTGGGATAGGCAGATGTGGATGTTTGATGGTATTACAGGTATCGTCGCAGGATGGAAGCAGCTCCTAGTAAGGCCGCCTTTTGCAATTGACTAATACCGAATTTGTCAATGCCGATGATGGTGTTCAAGTGGTGCTCTAGTTGTTCTGGGATTGCATCCAAGGCGCCTATGACTATTGGTACTACCCTTGCTTGCTTTTGCCACAGTCTTTTTTTTTCTATTTGTAGGTCTTTGTATTTTGTTATCTTCTCCAGTTCTTTCTTCTTCTTCTTCTCCTTCTTCTTCTTTTTATTATTATTTATTCTGAAGAAAGTTGGAAGTTGGCGTCCTTTTCTGTTCTTTTCTCACAGTTTTCTTTTTTTTTCTCCTTCCCATTTTTCTAATTCTCTCTTACTTTTTAAAAATTTCTTTTAAAAAGAAAAGAAAAAAAAAGTACGCACCCTGGCCAGGTCTGGTTGGGCTCAAAGAGGATGAGCAAGGTGGGCTCGTAGTAGCCGTAGAGAAACTGCATGTCGATGATGTTCAGCAGCTTCTCGTCCAGCTCACGCACATCGATGATGTAGCTGGGCAGGAAACTGGACTTCTGGCTGCAGAGAGAGAGAGACAGAGAGAGAGAAAAAAAAGAGACAGAGAGAAAGGGAGAGAAAGAGACAGACAGAAAGGAGAGAAAGAGAGAGACACAGAGAGAAAGGAGAGAGACAGAGAGAGAGACAGAGAGAAAGGAGAGAAAGCGAGAGACAGAGAGAGAGACAGAGAGAAAGGAGAGACAGAGAGAAGAGAGACAGAAAGAGGCAGAGAGAAAGGAGACAGAGAAAGAGACAGAGAGAGAAAGAGAGACAGAGAGAAAGGAGAGAGAGAAAAAGTGAGAGACAGAGACAAAAAGTGAGAGACAGAGAGACAAAAACAGAGACACACAGAGAAAGAAAGAGAGAGAGAGAGAGAGACAGATAGAAAGGAGAGAAAGAGAGAGACAAAAACAGACACAGAGAGAGAGAGTCAAAAAGAGAGACCGAGAGACAGATAGAAAGGAAAGAGAGAGACAAAAACAAAGACACACACAGAAAGAGAGACAGAGAGAGAGAGAAAGAGTCAAAAAGAGAAAGAGAGACAGATAGGAGAGAAAGAGAGAGACAAAAACAGAGACAAACACAGAGAGACAGAGAGAGAGAGAGAGAGAGAGAGAAAGAGAGAGAGACAGACAAAGAGACCGAGAGAAATACAGAGAAAGAGAGACAGAGAAAAGAGAGCAACAATTAACAGGGGCTTAGAGATACCCTGGGGGAGGACACAAAGTCTCCCCCCCCCCAAGGCAGACCCTAGGGAGCCCCCCAGACTCAGCCTTCAGTGCCCCAAAGCAGCCCCTCTCCAGCCTCAGTGCTCCAGAGGCAGCAGATTCCAACTCCCAAAACCAAATGGAAAAGCAGAATTAAAGGAGGAAGCAAACAGGTGGAGGGGCTCATCTAACAATTCATTTATCTGTTGGATTTATTTATTAAACAAACCCTTAAATAAACAAATACTCTACAATGGCTGGTAGGTGACTAGATGGCCTTAAACTTTGCACACACACCCCCCGCCTGGTGCAAACTACGACTACCTTAATTTCATTTTCTTTCTCTTTTCTGGGGCCATTAATTTCTGGACCGGAGCCATTGCGCCTTCCCACCCCCGCCGAGGGAATTACTCACCTGAGTATTTCTAGCACTATCACAATATTATGATTCCCTCAAGAGGAGTAAACCTCGAGGAGGAGATTCCGTAGGAAAAGGCGCTCCCTTCCGTTCGGTTTGGTTTCCTCCCCATTTGCTGCGGGGGGGAAAACGTCGACTCTCCCGCAGGCCACGTGCCGTGTGCTGCCTGCTGGCCTTACCCTTCGCCCACTACTCCTTCGTGCTCATCCGTCAGGGTGTCCCTGCGGAAGGGCAGCACCACCAGCCGCGTGCCGTAGATCAGCATCACGGCGCAGCGCCCGTCTGGATCCACCCGCACTTTGGGGATGTGGACGTTCTGCACAAAGCCGTCCTGTGAGAAAGGAAGGAAGGAAGCAATGGGTGTACTACTTATTTAGTGTATACTACTTATTTAGTGTACGGCGTACAGGTAATCCTCAGCATACAGCCACAACGGAGCTTAAAAGTTTCTGTTGCGAAGGTTGGTTAAGTGTGATTGCTATTGGCTGCCTTCCTTCCTTCCTTCCTTCCTTCCTTCCTTCCTTCCTTCCTTCCTTCCTTCCTTCCTTCCTTCCTTCCTTCCTCCCTCCCCTCCCAGTGGTTAGAATGCAGTATTGCAGGCTGACTCTGCCAACTGCCAGTTCGATTCTCACCAGCTCAAGGTTTACTCTGCCTTGTATATAAGGTTTATAAGGCTAAGTGTGATTGCTATTTTTTTTCCTTCCTTCCTTCCTTCCTTCCTTCCTTCCTTCCTTCCTTCCTTCCTTCCTTCCTTCCTTCCTTCCTTCCTTCCTCCCTCCCTCCCTCCCTCCCTCCCTCCCTCAAGGTTAGAATGCCGGCTGCCAGCAGTTCGATTCTCACCGGTTCAAGGTTGACGCCGCCTTGTATATAAGGGTTATAAGGCTAAGTGTGATTGCTATTGCCCGCCCTTCCTTCCTTCTTTCCCTCCCTCCCTCCCTCCCTTTCCCAGTGGTTAGAATGCAGTATTGCAGGCTGACTCTGCCAACTGCCAGGAGTTTGATTCTCACCAGCTCAAGGTTTACTCTGCCTTGTATATAAGGTTTATAAGGCTAAGTGTGATTGCTATTTTTTTCCTTCCTTCCTTCCTTCCTTCCTTCCTTCCTTCCTTCCTTCCTTCCTTCCTTCCTTCCTTCCTCCCTCCCTCCCTCGAGGTTAGAATGCCGGCTGCCAGCAGTTCGATTCTCATCGGCTCAAGGTTGATGCCGTCTTGTATATAAGATTTATAAGGCTAAGTGTGATTGCTATTGCCCGCCCTTCCTTCCCTCCCTTTCCCAATGGTTAGAATGCAGTATTGCAGGCTGACTCTGCCAACTGCCAGGAGTTCGATTCTCACCAGCTCAAGGTTTACTCTGCCTTGTATATAAGGTTTATAAGGCTAAGTGTGATTGCTATTTTTTTCCTCCCTTCCTTCCTTCCTTCCTTCCTTCCTTCCTTCCTTCCTTCCTTCCTTCCTTCCCCCCTCCCTCCCCTCCCAGTGGTTAGAATGCAGTATTGCATCCTTAAGTCTTTCTTTCTCTAGACTAGTCCTGCAGACCTTTTTTAAAACTCTCCATCTGATATTAAATGAAGCCTCTTCACATGATATCAAACTGCAAACCTTTGGAGACTTACCTTCAGCTCCGGCTCCTCAAAGTAATGAAGGGAAAGCGTTTTCAGATCGTGAGTGCCAGGATCGTACTCAACCACCGAGAGCTGGGAGACAGGAGACAGGGAGTTAAAAGACCCAGGCCGGAGACCCCCTCGTCTTTCCTCCCATTTCCTTTAATGGAAGAACGGGGCAATAAGACGGAAGGAGCGGTCCCTAAGACTCTGCAAAGTTACGGTATTAGTGAGACTGGGTAGCAGAGAAATTGAATATAATAATAGTATAGTATAGTATAGTATAGTATAGTATAGTATAGTATAGTATAGTATAATATAATATAATATAATATAATAATAATATAATATAATGTAATGTAATATAATGTAATATAATATAAATAAAAATGTAAATAGGTCTTTGGTTATTCAGGTTTTCTCCCATGTAAAATTGGAAGTGTCTTGGCGACGTTTCGACGAAGTCCCATTCGTCATCTTCAGGCTGGTGTTTTCGGCTTCGTGCTTCTAGGAGCATTCTCATTGCTCTTAGAAGCACAAAGCCGAAAACACCAGCCTGAAGATGACGAATGGGACTTCGTCGAAACGTCGCCAAGACACTTCCAATTTTACGCAGGAGAAAACCCGAACAACCAAAGACCTACATACAAACACCTGCGAAAACCTCAGAAAACAAAAATGTAAATGTTCGTTTGTTCAAAATCTTAAATCTCCGAAAGTTCTTCACCGATTACTTTGAAATTTTGACATGTTGCATTCGAATACGTGCGTGTTTTTATATGTTTTACCTGTGACAGGTAAAAACATGCTTTTTTGAAAAACAGGTAAAAACATGCTTTTTTTGAAAAACAGCGCCATCTGTTGGACGTAATCTCTATATCTGCACACACAATGGAACAACAAAAAATATTGTATACCCACAAGCATTGTGAAATTAAACATAGTACAAACGTGCGTTTTCTCTTTTCTTTCTTGAGCCACAGCAATGCGTGGCTGGGTACAGCTAGTATATAATATAAAATAAATAAAAAATAAAATAATAAAATAAAATAAAATAAAATAGAATAAAAATAAAATAAAAATAAAATAAAATAGAAATGAAATGGACACAGAACCACTGATTGGTTCAAAATTGGAAAAGGAGTCCGGCAAGGCTGTATACTGTCGCCCTGCCTATTTAACTTATATGCAGAGCACATCATGAGAAAGGCAGGGCTAGATGAATCAAAAGTTGGAATTAAGATTGCCGGGAGAAATATCAACAACCTAAGATATGCAGATGATACCACTCTAATGGCAGAAAGTGAAGAGGAACTAAAGAGCCTCTTGATGCGGGTGAAGAAGGAGAGTGCAAAAGTTGGCTTGAAACTCAACATTAAGAAAACCAAAATCATGGCATCCGGCCCTCTCAATTCCTGGCAAATAGATGGGGAAGAAATGGAGGTAGTGACAGATTTTATTTTTCTGGGCTCCAAGATCACCTCAGATGAGGACTGCAGCCAAGAAATTAAAAGACGCTTGCTCCTGGGGAGGAAAGCTATGGCAAATCTAGACAGTCTACTAAAAAGCAGAGATATCAACCTGCCAACAAAAGTGCATATAGTCCAGGCCATGGTTTTCCCAGTTGCAATGTATGGCTGTGAAAGTTGGACCATAAGAAAGGCTGAGCGCCAAAGAATGGAGGCCTTTGAACTCTGGTGCTGGAGAAGACTCCTGCGAGTCCCCTGGACTGCAAGGCAATCAAACCGGTCAGTCCTAGAGGAGATCAACCCCGACTGCTCTTTAGAAGGCCAGATCCTGAAGTGGAAACTCAAATACTTTGGCCACCTAATGAGAAGGAAGGACTCACTTGAGAAGGGCCTAATGCTGGGAAAGATGGAGGGCAAGAGAAGAAGGGGACGACAGAGAAGGAGGTGGCTGGATGGAGTCCCTGAAGCAGGAGGCGTGAGCTTCAATGGACTCCAGAAGATGGTAGAGGACAGGAAGGCCTGGAGGAACGTGGTCCAGGGGGTTGCGATGGGTCGGACACGACTTTGCAACTAACAACAACAACAAAAATGGAATGACTCCATGGCCTCTGTGTCATGACTTCTGAGCAACAGCTGCTGCCTCCCTGGGGCTGCGCCCTCCCTCTTCCACAGGCAGAGGCCTCCCAACAGCCTCTTTTTTCCCCTGGCTCACACACACACACACAGACAGAGCCACAACTGACCTTGGCGTCCTTGAAGCTGAGCAGGAGAGCGTCCCTTTTGGCGCCTGCAAGCTGCACGCTGGCCATGGACATGATGTTCCCGAAGAAGGAGAAGGAGGCCACGAGCTCCAGCTTCTCGCGGTGGCCTCTGCCTTCTGTGCGAGGCAAGACGTTAGACACACACACACACACACACACACACAATTTAATATGGTAAACTTTCCCTGGGATAAGATGGGTGGCCGATAAACTGGATAAAAAAAATCTCAAGGCCTACCCTAGCAGAGTATTTTGCCACAAGCCCCCAGCCCTTGGAGCCCCCATCAGCACGAAGCAGGCTTTCGTGAAGACATACTGGATCCAAGGTTCTCACCGGGCCGAAACCTGCCTGTGTCATACAGGTAGTCCTCAACTTACAACAGTTCATTTAGCGACCGTTCAGAGTTACAGCGGCACTGGAAAAAGTGACTTAGGACTGCTTTTCACACTTACGATCGTTGCACGATCCCGCCAGGGTCACCGGACCGACATTCAGCCGCTTGGGTCACATTTATGACGGTTGCGGCGTCCCGGAGGAGGGGAGGTCACGCCACCCCCTTTTGTGACCTTCAGTGGGGAAGCCTTAACAATGGTGCGATTCACTTAACAACTGCAGAGATCCACTTAACAAGGGTGGCGGGGAAGGTCGGTAAAACGGGGCCAAAACTCGGCTAACAATTGCCTCACTCCGGCAATGAAAATTTGAGCTCTCTATTTTGTCATAATTTGAGGACTTCCTGCAGAGGGAAGCTCCAGGCTTAGGCCCGCCTTGACCTCTGGGGCTGCACCCCAAACTTTCCCCTACTCCAGTTTAGCTCCAAGATGGGGGTGCTCAAGGCAGGAGAGGATCCCGGAAGAAGAAGGGTGATGAGGACACTCTCCACCCCTCTAGCCAGCTATCCCGATTGGTCTGCTCTGGTGGACTCTGGCTCCCCAGGGATTCCTGTCCCGAGGATTCTGCCCCCCTCCTCTTAACAGGCGACGCACACAGCTGCACCAGAGACCCCCTGAAGTGCGATAGAGTCTACTTTGAGGGTTCAGCGGTCAGGAAGGGCTGGCGGTTCCCAAAATGGATTGCCCTCCTCGCCACAGTTCCCTGCTGGCTTCAGCAGAAGGCAATTTGGGGAAACAGCTTCGGCAGCAGCCACGTGCCCACAATCTCACAAGCCCCCCGCCCCCAGTTGCTGGCAGGGCGTGCCAAGCATTCCCAAATTCCCAATGTGACTTTGGAAAGAAAGAGCGTCCACCGCCAAACTGTGTGGACGCAAGCTGAGGACAAGGAGAGTTTGGGTACCAACGCTCCTCCAGAACTGCTTCTCCCCCCCCCAGCCCCGTTTCCCAGGACTCTTCCTGCTTCCCCCCCCCCCAGCCCTGTTTCCCAGGACTCTTCCTGCTTCCCCCCCCAGCCCCGTTTCCCAGGACTCTTCCTGCTTCCCCCCCCAGCCCCATTTCCCAGGACTCTTTCTGCTTCCCCCCAGCCCCATTTCCCAGGACTCTTCCTGCTCCCCACTCACCTGTGTTCCTGTCACTTTTTGTGGTGCTCTGGAAGAGAAGAGGAGCGTCGTCAGTGCAAAAGACTCACAACCACAGCCACACCGTCCTCCTGGCTCCCCTCCCCTCCCCATCACAGCCCAGTCCAGCCTGCACCTCACTGGGATATTAACAGGTTAGGAGGAAAGCTGGAAATCTCACGGTACGGTCCTCCCTTACTAACTATCGGTTTGGTAACCGTTCCGACTTACAACGGTGCTGAAAAAAAGATGATTTATAACTGGCCCTTGAATCTGCGGCTGTTGCCGTCTTCCCCACAGTCCTATGATCGTGCGCGTGGCAACCGACACACGGTTAGGACGGCGTCCTGGGGGGATCCACGGGATCGCCATCTGCAGTCATTCCAGCCGGCTTCCACCAAGCAAAGTCATTGGGGAAGCCAGCGGGAAATGGCAAGCCCTGTAACATCGTGCTTCAAGATCCCCAGCAACTTGTTTAACGCCCGCAACGGGAACTGATGTCGTAAGCTGGGGCAGCCAAGCGATGTCCCACACTTAGCAACCGCCCTGCTTAGCGACAGAATTGCCAGTCCCAATTGCGGCCACTACAGCTGGTTCTCGATTTACAGCCACAGTCAAACCCAAAATTTCTGTGGCTAAGCGAGGCGAGGGTGAATTTTGCCCCCGCGTTATGACTTTTCTTGCTGCGGATGTTAAGCGAATCACTGCAGCTGTTAAGCTAGTCACCCGGTCGTTAAGCGAATCTGGCTTCCCCATTGACTTTGCTTGTCAGAAGGCTACCAAAGAGGATTACGCCACCCCGGGAGATTGCGACCGTCATAAATGTGAATCACTTGCCAACATCCAGATTTTGAACAATGTGACCGTGGGGATGCTAGAACGGTCACAAGTGTGAAAAACGGTCGTACGTCCGGGGTTTGGTGTTTTTTTTTTTGCTTTTTTTGTTATTTTATTTTTTAGAGGGTGTTTTTCTATGCGTGTAAGCCGCCTTGAGTCACCACATGCGCATAGGCGACAATACAAATTTTCTAAATAAACTAAATAAATGTCCCTTTTTTCAGCACTGCTGTTAAATTCGGACAGTCACTAAACAAACCGTTGTAAGTTGGGGAGTTACCTGTGAGGATTACCTGCAGAGACCAAGGTTCTATAAGGCACACAAGCGTCCTAGTGCAGGGGCAGGCAACCTTGGCTCTTTTATGACTGGTGGACTTCAACTCCCAGAATTCCTGAGCCAGCATGGGGGAACTACGGCCCCTTCATGACTCGTGGACTTCAACTCCCAGAATTCCTGAGCCAGCCATGCTGAGGTGAAAGGGAGAAGTTTCCAAGCTGAGCCATGCTGGCTCAGGAATTCTGGGAGTTGAAGTCCACCAGTCATGAAGGGGCCATAGTTCCCCCATACTGGCTCAGGAATTCTGGGAGTTGAAGTCCACGAGTCATAAAAGAGCCCAGGTTCCCTACCCCTGGTCTAGGGCTTCCCTACCTCAGTTGTACCCCAATGCTCAACCCAACACCCAGCTTCCCTCTTTCTGAGGTCTACACAATACCATTCTCCCTGAGAGGCATTCACACGTTGGCGACAACCAGAGGCAATGAATCTTCCTTGATTCCTCCATCAACGAGTTGACCCCTAGAAGCAGGAACTTTGTTAGTACCTCAGAGTCATGGTTGAGCCTGTACACATACAGCTGTGAGGTTCCCGCCACCACCAAGTTGCGCTCGGAGTTGGAGAAGAAGTTGCAGTACATGGAGAACTCCAAGCCGGTGGGCGGGTGGGCTTGCTTGTATACAGCGTACATCTTGGCCCCCTCCCTAAGGAAAACAACAACAACAACAACAGGAGAGGAAGCTATCAAGGAACGGGGTCTCCATGGATCTGGAAGGTCTCCTTTGGGGGAATCTTGGTGACAGCGACGCTTGTTCTGATGACTACCCAGCTGGACTACTGCAATTTCCTCTGCATGGGGCTGCCTTTAAGGCCCCTTGGATCCTGCACTCAAGTGCAAAATATCTATCAAGATTCTCCGTCATCCGGGTCACGTTTGTCCCAAAGGTGCTTTTTCCAAAAGGCAGCTGGACTTTTATTACACTGTTACATTATTGTCTTGTGGATGCTTTGTTTTTCTGAGCTACAGGATTCTACACTTCTCTGTTCCCCTTCCCTCCCTTATTTGTCCTACTATTTGCTTTTGCATTTTTGTATATGATAAATTAATAAAAACTGTAACATTAAAAATAGATATAATGATATAGGTGGATAGATGATACACAAATGATACAATATAGATAATAGATAGATAGGTGATAGATAATCTATTTATCATCTATCAATCTATATTATCTATCATCTGTCTATCCACTTATCTTTATCATTATATCTATCTATCCATCTATCAGCTATTATTATCTATCTATATCATGTATTATCTATGTATCATTTATCATCTATCCACCTATTTTTATCTATCATTATCTATATCTAGATAGATAGATAGACAGATATAATGATAGATAGGTGGATAGATGATAGATAGAGATGATAGATTGATAGAGATGATATAGAGAGATGATAGATGATATAGTAGATAGATAGATATAATGATAAAAATAGTTGGATATATGATAGATGATATTGATAGATGATAGATGTTAGATAGATGATAGAGATGATAGATTGATAGAGATGATATAGAGAGATGATAGATTACAGATATGATAGATAGAAAGAAAGAAATACAGTGTTACATTATTGTCTTGTGGATGCTTTGTTTTTCTGAGTTACAGGATTGTGGCAGTGGTTAAAAACACGTAAATAAATAATCCAGCGTTCCAGGACAAGATCCTGAAATTATTCGAAAGATGAAAAGAAAGAAAAAAGTGACCACGGGGCTTTCCCTAAACAAGCATCTTCAGGCTGGGTTCACACGTGCTTAGCTAGGGTACTGAACTGACCCCATTTGGAGAGTTCACAGGGGGCCCTAAATCAAAATAACCGCAGGTTTTGAGGGGCACAAGACGAGAATCCCCCTCCCCAAGCTTGGGATGTTCACGTGTTCACGCATTCGCACGAGCCATAACTGAGCTGGGCACAGGAGGCGTTCCCCTTTGGGCTCAGCACGATGGGTCTTGGGGTTGGAGGAGGGAACCCCGCAGGGGGCGGGAAGAGGGGAGCGTTCCCACGTGCTAATCGCGGGTATTTAAACCCGGGTTCACCCATGAATTGCCACCCGGGTCGACCCAAGCGGCGGGCTGGGTTCCTTCAGGACTCCCCAAGCGCCCTTCTTGTGGCGGAACCCCCGCGAGGGCGCCCCAGAGCATGTACAGAGTGCCTTTTTGGACACCCAGCGCCAAGCCCCGGAGAAAGACGTCTCCGAGCGGGGAAAGGAGACGGAAAGGAGGCAGCTCGGGCACGAAGGGACCCCCCCCCCGAACCCCCTCCCCAAAAAAACCCACCCGGCCCAGCGATTACCTCCGAGCCCCTCACCGGCGGGAGTAGCGGGAAAGCACTCCGGGCGGAAACCGCGCCCGCCGGAACCTTCGGAGCCAGGAAGAGGCATCGAGTCGGGAGGCTAGAGCGGAGCGAGGGATGGGGCGTGGCCATGAGCCGGAGGGGAGAAAAGGCGGCAGGACCTGAAAAGGGCGGAGATGAGGCGCCCGCGGGATGCCTCGGTTCCCTCTGTCTGATTGGATGACAGGAAAGGAAGGCCGTCCAATGGCGAGGGCCGATTGCCGCGGTGTGGGACTTTAACTCCCAGAGGCCCTTGCCGCGCGCATGTGCAGTGGCGCAGAAGTGGAGCCGGCTTTAGAACAAGGCAATCCAAACGTGGCCGCTGGAAGACTTGTGGACTTCAACTCCCAGAATTCCCCAGCCAGCATGCGCTGGCTGGGGAATTCTGGGAGTTGAAGTCCACAAGTCTTCCAGCGGCCAAGTTTGGAGAGGGACCCCTGCTTGGGAATGAAGGCAGGAAGGCGCCAGGCTGGGAAGCGGGTTCGAGTCTCCTGTATGAAAAGCAGCACTGTGGCTGGAGCAGCTCCGTCCCTGGAGTTAGTTCGACCCTGAGAAGGGCACTCAGTCTCCCAAAAGAGCGTTCATTTCATTTCCAAGCTGATTCCGGCAAAAGGATGGCAGTCGCCTCCTAAAGGACTTCTGAACATGTGCAGAGTGTTTTTGCTTTGGCCCCTGCAAAATGGAGGAGCAGGCCTTCCAAGGGGTGATAGGATGCAGGATGAGGCCCTGGCAGGCCTGTCCTGGCCTCCCCCACCCCAGGGCTGCCTAGGGCACTGGGAAAACTGGGTAAGGCAGGAGTCTCCCCTCCAGGGAGCACCCACGATTGGGTGACAAAGATAAGGCACAGAAATGACAACCCCACAAAGTGGAGCTTTGGAGCAGGTTTTGCACAAGGGAAGATAAAAATGCTGCTATTGTGGGATCCTTTGTGGTCTCCGAGCTGGGTTGTTTTCTTCCAGACGTTTTGTAACCCAACTAGGTAATTTCATCAGTGCTAGAGAAGGAAGGAAGGAAGGAAGGAAGGAAGGAAGGAAGGAAGGAAGGAAGGAAGGAAGGAAGGAAGGACTGTAGAGTCCTTGGTGCTGCCTAAACTTGGTTTTCTTGCAGATGTTTCATGACCCAACTAGGGAACATCATCAGTGCTAGAGTGGGCTTGTAGGGAGGAGGAAGGAAGGAAGGAAGGAAGGAAGGAAGGAAGGAAGGAAGGAAGGAAGGAAGGAAGGAAGGAAGGAAGGAAGGGTTATGTGCTCCTGGCTACTTTCCTTCGTGACCAGAGGCAAGCTCGCCTGACCAATAACCAGCCAAGACACAGTGAAGGCCTTTTGTTTCGTTTATTGCAATAAGCAGGGAGAGAAGCTTTCAAAGCTTGGTTCTCTCCAAAGTTTTAACCCAAAATATCTCCTTCTTTTATTCATCCCTCTCACCGGCCGCTACAGCCCTCCTCTTTCCCCATTGGCTGAGGTAGTATGAGGTTACACTCTTTCCGTCCGCCTATACACATTTCCTGATAACACACTAAATCATATTCACTTATACAATAAGAATAAGAAAAATTAGACATGGAAATGGTTATTTTAAACTCAGGTATATTTATGTCCCTATTTTAAACAATAAGTTCTTTTTCTGTTCTCCATTCAACCTTCCTTTCTGGCTAGCCATTTCCTATAAAAAAAACTATCTATTTTATGACTTTCCTCTTCCTTTCTCAGACCCAGCTATTTTTACCTCTATGGTTATCTTACTTCCTTAATGTCTTCCTGACTCTCACCATCTGTATTTTTCTTTCTATTCAATTAGTTTCCATTGTCTCTGAAGATTTATCATATTGATGTATATTTATCAGAAGGAAGGAAGGAAGGAAGGAAGGAAGGAAGGAAGGAAGGAAGGAAGGAAGGAAGGAAGGAAGGAAGGAAGGAAGGAAGGACTGTAGAGTCCTTGTTGCTGCCTGAACTTGGTGGTTTTCTTGCAGATGTTTCATGACCCAACTAGGGAACATCATTAGTGCTAGAGTGGGGCTTGTAGGGAGAAGGAAGGAAGGAAGGAAGGAAGGAAGGAAGGAAGGAAGGAAGGAAGGAAGGAAGGAAGGAAGGAAGGAAGGAAGGAAGGAAGGACTGTGGAGTCAGTTGTGCTCTCTTGAACTGGGTGGTTTTCTTGTAGACGTTTCATGACCCAACTAGGTAACTTCATCAGTGCTAGAAAGGAGTGGAGTTTGTGGAGAGGAGGAGGGTGGGACGAAAGGGACTGTGGGCTCCTTGGTGCTCTCTGAATTTGCCTGTTTCCTTGCAGACGTTTCATGACCCAGCTAGGTAACATCATCAGTGCTAGACGCCTGATTGAGTCATAAAACTTCTGCAAGAAAACAAACTCAGTTCAGTAAAGCCTGTGTCTCTACCCCCACTTCCCACAGCCGCCTGTGAGAGAAAGGGGGGTGGGCTTGTCAATTTTAAGATTCCGGGATCAGGATCCATCCATTGAAAGCAGCCCTCCTGCTCCGAGGCTTCTTCTGTCTTGACCTATTTTTCCAGGGTCTATTCAAACAACACACGGACCTCTTGATATGAAATGTTAGAATCCATGGGTTTTATTTAGCAACGATGAGACACGATGCGGTAAAAGTTACAACAGATGTGTAAGTCCACAGCCCACCATCTGCCCAGGGCTTGAGACCTTGCAGTCATTTTTTTTCCCCAATACCACTAAAGTAGTGTTTGTGTGATACAATACTGGAGTGTGTGTTTTCCTACCACTGAATACCCACAACGCCCTCCCCCAACGTCCTCCCCATTCCAAATTGGACCGTATCTAGGTGGTCTTCGGCTTACGACCACAATGGAGCCCAAAATTCCCACTGCTGACAAAACAGTGGGTAAGTGAGTTTTATCCCGTTTTACGACTTCCTTGTTAAGCGAATCGCTGCAGTTCTTAAGTAAGTCACACGGTCGTTAAGCGAATCCCGGCTTCCCCCCCATTGACTTTGCGTGCCGGAAGGTCGCAAAAGGGGATCACGTGACCCCTCTGGGACACTGCGACCGTCATAGATACGAGTCAGTCGTCTAGTCTCATGACCTTGGGGATACCGCAATAGTCATACGTGTGAAAAATGATCCTAAATCTATGCCAGTTGCCAAGGGTCTGAGTTTTGATCACGGGACCGCGGGGGGGGGGATGCTGCCAGGGTCATAAGTGTGAAAAATGGTCATAAGTTCCTTTTATCAGGGCCGTCGTAGTTTGTAACGGTCACTCAATGAACTTTGTATACTTCTGAACTGGGTTGGTAATTCAGCCTCTCTCTTTAATCCCTGGCCCTGGTGATGTTCGCGAAGAAAGGATGAACGCACGTCCTTTATTATTTTTGTCTGAAATGGTATAGATCAGTGATGGCAACTCCATTCTGGGCATTCTATGAGAAAAAAAGCCCTGGTTATAATAATAATATAATAATAATAAAGTTGGAAGGGACCTTGGAGGTCATCTAGTCCAACCCCCTGCTCAGGCAGGAAACCCTATATCAGTGATGGCGAACCTTTTAGAGACCGAGTGACCAAATTGCAACCCAAAACCCACTTATCTATCGTCGGGTGCTGGGTGGGCGTGGCCCATTGGGTAGGCATGGCCCATTGGGTGGGCGTGGCCCATCGGGTGGGCGTGGCTGCGGTGGTAACAGCAGACTGGGTGGGACTAAAAAGTTCAATCAATCAATTCCAACTTTGCAAGATCTTTTTTTTCTCCGCGACAAGTTGAAATTGACTGATTGATTGAACCTTTTTTTTTTTGCACATGACGGTGGAGGCCTAAAGCGAAAAGGTTTTATAAAACCCAGCTGAAGGCCTAGGACTGGGGTGATGGCGCGCATGCCCACAGAGAGGGCTCTGAGTGCCGCCTCTGGCACCCGTGCCATAGGTTCGCCACCACTGATATAGATCAGTGGTGGCGAACCTATGGCACGCGTGTCAGAGGGGGCACTCTCTGTGGGCACACACACCTGGCTCTTTGGCTACGTTTTCGCAGGAAAAAGCAATTTCTCAAGCCCCTTCCTAGCCAAAACAAGCCTCTGGAGCGAGCGCGCTGTTTTCAACTTTGAATCATATCCAATCTGACATCGGAAACAGACTAACAGGTGACCTGAGTGCTGCATGTGTTGCTCTCAAACTTACAAAGTATGAGCCAAGGCTAGACAAATGATCAGCAGGCGTACAACAGCAAAAATCACATTCATTTCTCAAAAGCATGCCAAATGCAAGCTTTTACCTTTCAGTTAAAAGTTGTTGGTATCATTGAAAGCTTTGCCCTTGTGTTTTTCTTTTAAGACAAAAGATGTTAATGCATGAGTGGTGTTTTTTTCCTAAACTAAAACCTCAGTATTCAGATTAAATTGCCGGGTTGGCACTTTGGGATAAATCAGTGGGTTTTGGATTGCAGTTTGGGCACCCGGTCTCTCAAAGGTTCTCCATCACTGATATAGGGGGTTGGACTAGATGACCTCCAAGATCCCTTCCAACTTTATTATATGTGTGTGTGTGTGTGTGTGTGTATGAGGCTGCTTTGACTGAAGAAAAGAGCAGAATTTATTTTGTCTCTACTTGGAAACCGCTTTTGGGCCTTGGGCTTGAGGTGGGGGGAAAAAAAATAATGAAATTTTGATTTTGGCTTTTGCCGATCGCTTCGGCTTGCTGTTATAGAAATGGCTAGTATGTCTTACCACCTAAAGAGTAAATCGTGGAGGTTGTATGTTATTCTGTGATTCCATTGCGCCAAAAGGAGTTTGGGAACTCAGTGCTTTCCTTTTCCTTGTCGCCTTTCCGATACGCTTTTTTCCTCTTCTCCCTTTTCCTCCCTCGTTTCCCCCTTATTTTCATTTTCTTTACATTTCCGTATATTTTACATTTTGATCAACGAGTAAAAAGGACTCCAGCGGCACTCCTACTGGCTGAGTCTCTGTGCTGCGGGGGCAAGGTTGGTTTTGAGACCTCTGTGCCTCTGAGCCCTGGAAGGAGAGTCTGAAGGAAAAGGAGAATTTGAAGGAGTGTCGTTTGGCCCAGATTCCTGTGTCTTCTAAGTATCTTGGAAGGGGGGCCTATGTGTATGTCTGAAAAAAAAAGGAGGAGGAGGAGGAAGAGGAGGAAGAGGAGGAGGAGGAAGAGGAGGACTGGGGTCCTCCGTGCTCTCTGAGCTTTGTTGTTTTCTTGCAGACGTTTCATTACCCAACTAGGTAACATCATCAGTGCTAGAAGGGAGTGGGATTTGTGAAGAGGAGGAGGAGGAGGAGGAGGAGAAGGAGGAGAAAGAGGAGGAGGAGAAAGAGGAGGAGGAGGACAACGACGACTATGGAGTCCTTAATGCTCTCTGAGCTTCGTTGTTTTCTTGCAGACGTTTCATTACCCAACTAGGTAACATCATCAGTGCTAGAAGTCAGTGGGGTTTGCAGAGAGGAGGAGGGGGGTATGGATGTCTCTGAACAAGAATAAGGATTTAATAAATACAATAAATACTGCAGAAGGGAAGGCAGGATGAACAGCCTTCCAGGGCGCGCTGATGCAAAACTGGAAACTAGCAAGGTGGAGACGGGGGATGTTCCAGGTTAGGGAAGCCCCTGAGGGCAATGACCCAGGTCAGCTGATTCAGACAGCCAGAAGGAGGAAAAGGCCTAGAATTTGAACCCAGGGCCAAGCTTTCCTTTCTGTCTGCTGCAGCGGACCGATCTTTCACGTGGCCGCGGCTTCCTTCTTCCCGGCCACCAAGACTCGGCCAGGCCACGTGGTGTTCGAGAGCCCACGGAGGAATTCGGGGCGCCTTCCCTGACAGCTTGTGCTCTGGCCTGCCCCCCCCAAAGACCGCAACCCCCCTTTTGTGTCCCTGACTCGGCCATGCCTGCCGGGGGGGGGTGGCAGGGGGGGTGGCAGGGGGGCCCAGTGCTGACCCGCAGGAGCGTTGTGGTTAAATGGTGATGTGGTCCTCGAAAATGGAGAGGAGCAGGAGGATGGCCCAGCCGGCCAGGAGCCCCAGGTTTTGCAAGCCAAACAGCAACCAGGGTCGTTTGTCCTTCACGTTCATCAGGGCGGGAAGCTGGAGGGAGAAGCAATCGTGGTCAGACGTTGTTAGGGGCAGTCCTCCACTTACAACTTGCTCAAAGTTATAATGGCACTGGAAAAATGGGGGACTTTGGGCCAATCACCAGGAGACGGTGAGTTCTAGTCCCGCCTTAGGCATGAAAGCCGATTGGATGACTTTGGGCCAATCACCAGGAGACGGTGAGTTCTAGTCCCGCCTTAGGCCTAAAAGCCGACTGGGTGACTTTGGGCCAATCACCAGGAGACGGAGAGTTCTAGTCCCACCTTAAGCATGAAAGCCGATTGGATGGCTTTGGGCCAATCACCAGGAGATGGTGAGTTCTAGTCCCACCTTAGGCCTGAAAGCCAACTGGGTGACTTTGGGCCAATCACCAGGAGACGGTGAGTTCTAGTCCCGCCTTAGGCCTGAAAGCCGACTGGGTGACTTTGGGCCAATCACCAGGAGATAGTGAGTTCTAGTCCCGCCTTAGGCCTGAAAGCCAGCTGGATGACTTTGGGCCAATCGCCAGGAGATAATGAGTTCTAGTCCCGCCTTAGGCCTGAAAGCCGACTGGGTGACTTTGGGCCAATCACCAGGAGACGGAGAGTTCTAGTCCCGCCTTAAGCATGAAAGCCGATTGGATGACTTTGGGCCAATCACCAGGAGACAGTGAGTTCTAGTCCCGCCTTAGGCCTGAAAGCCAACTGGGTGACTTTGGGCCAATCACCAGGGGACGGTGAGTTCTAGTCCCGCCTTAGACCTGAAAGCTGACTGGGTGACTTTGGGCCAATCGCCAGGAGTCGGTGAGTTCTAGTCCCACCTCAGACAGGAAGGACGGCTGGGTGACTTTGGGCCAATCACCAAGTGATTGTGAGTTCTAGTCCCGGCTTAGGCATGAAAGCCAGCTGGATGACTCTGAGCCAATCTTTTTCTCTCAGCCTGGCCTACCTCACACGGTTGTTGTGGGGGGAAAGAAGGATGTTTAGGCATATTCCCTGCTTTGAATCATTTATAAATAATAATAAAGGTGGGAGATAAATCAAAATTTTTCCATTTCTGGCTCTTCCAATGTAGACCGGGGGACCCTTGCCTCTTTCCGACATTCTTTCATTGCTTTGGCATCTGACCACTATTCACTCCTTCCCCCCAAGAACTAAGCCTGCACTTTGATGATCCTGGTTCTGCCTCTTCCACGCCGCTGCCCTCCTGGACCCCAAGCCCCATAACTCCCATCCTTCGCCACGGTGGGATTGGCAGCCCAGCTCCCCCGCAGGGCCGCAGGGTTGGGGAAGGCCGGCCCAGAGAGTCCAGCTTGGAGTTGGGGGGATGATTGGGGGCCACTCACCATGTCGCACAAGGCCACGTAGAGGAAGAGGCCCGTGGCCACCGTGAAGACCCAGGCCTCGAATTCCTCCCCCGTGCTGACCGAAAGGGCGATGTAGAGGCCCAGGAAGGCGGTCAAGGCGCTGATGAAGTTGAGCAGCAGAGCCCACTTGACACTCAGCCCTGCGTGGAGCAGAGCGGCGAAGTCTCCTGGAGGGGGGGGGGGCAGAAGGGGCCAGTGAGAAAGGGGGTGGGGGGAGGGCTTGGCCAGGTCTGGGGGCTCGGTCCTTTGGCCAGACGGTGAGCTGAGCTGATGGCGGCACCCGTCCCCACAGGCCAGCCCTGATCAGGTTACTTAGCTGGGTCATGAAATGTCTGCATGGGAACAGCCAGGCTCAGAGGGGAGGGAGGGAAGGGGAGGGGAGGGAGAGAGGGAGGGAAATTGTGGGTGGGGAAGGGAAGAAGAAGAGAAGGAATGAAGAAGAGACGGGAAAGGAGGAAAGGGAAGGGATGAAGAAGAGAAGAGAGAGAAGGGGAGGGAAAAGGAAGGGAAGGGATGAAGAAGAGGACTGGAGGCTAAAACATATAAGGAACAGTTGCTGGAATTGGGTATGTCTAGTTTAATGAAGAGAAGGATGAGGGGGGACAGGATAGCAGCGTTCCATTATCTCAGGGGCTGCTCCAAAGAAGAGGGAGTCAAGCTCTTCTCCAAAGCGCCTGAAGGCAGGACAAGAAGCAACAGGTGGAAACTAAACAAGGAGAGAAGCAACCTAGAACTAAGGAGAAACTTCCTGACAGTGAGAACAATTAACCAGTGCAACCAACCACCTGCCTCCAGAAGTTGTGAATGCTCCAACACTGGAAGTTTTTAAGAAGAGACTGGACAGCCATTTATCCGAAATGGTGTAGGGTTTCCTGCCTGAGCAGGGGGTTGGACTAGATGACCTCCAAGGTCCCTTCCAACATTATTATGGATCATCACACAGTCAGCCAGATGTTCAGACTGGATTTGGCATTTCGTCTACCTATCAAGTCCTTACCCAGGACCTGGGATAGGCAGATGTGGATGTTTGATGGTATTACAGATATCGTCGCAGGATGGAAGCAGTTCCTAGTAAGGCCGCCTTTTGCAATTGACTAATACCGAATTTGTCAATGCCAATGGTGTTCAAGTGGTGCTCCAGTTGTTTTGGGATTGCACCCAAGGAGCCTATGGCTATTGGTGCTACCCTTGCTTGCTTTTGCCACAGTCTTTCTATTTCTATTTGCAGGTCTTTGTATTTTGTTATCTTCTCCAGTTCTTTCTTGTCTATTCTGCTGTCTCCAGGCACTGCCACGTCCACTATCCAGACTTTTTTGTCTTTCTTATCGACAATTGTTAAGTCTGGGGTGTTATGTTGCAAGTGCTTGTCTGTTTGAATTCTGAAGTCCCAGAGCAGTTTAATTTTATCATTTTCTATGACTTTCTCTATTTTATGATCCCACCAGTTTTTGCTTTATTATTATTATTAATTATTATTATTATTATTATAAGAGAAGGGAGGGGGAAGGGAAGGAGAGGAGGGGAGGGGATGAAGAGAAGGGAGGGCGAAGGGAAGAGAAGAAGGGAAAGGGGAGGGGAGGGAAGAAGGGAAGGAGGGGGGAAGGGGAGGGAAGGGATGAAGGGAGGGGAAGGGAGGAGAAGAAGGGAGGAGAGGGGAGGGGAGGAAAGGGATGAAGAAGAGAAGAGGGGAAGGGAAGAGAAGAAGGGAAGGGGAGGGGAGGAGGGGAGGGAGATGGCTGATGACAGGTGCCCTCCATCCCCAGGGGGGTCCCATCCCCCCGCCCCCCTCCACCCACCCCCCCCAAAGCCCACCTAGCTCGTGGGGCAGTTCGTGGCAGAGGACGGCCAGGGAGGTGGCCAGGCCGGTCTTCCAGGAGGCGGAGAAGGCGGCGCCCATGGCCAGGCCATCGGCGAAGTTATGGATGGCGTCCCCAATGGTGATCATGTAGGGCAGCATCCGCAGCTCTGGGGGCGAGAAAGGGGGGCGTTGAGGAGAGGGTCTAGGGGGCTCCGGAGGGTCCCGGGCTCCTCCAACCAGGGGGTCCTGGCCCTCAGCATCTCCGGAGGGGCCGGGCCGGGGGCTGCCTTCGCTCCTCACCCCGGCTGAGCTCCGTCTTCGGCACTGGCCGGCCAAAGTCGGTGTCTTCCACCGAGACCTGCGGGAATCAGAGCAGGGAGTCCCGTCAGGAGACTTTGGGAAAGGGGGCTCCCCCCCGCCTGCCCTAGCTGCAAGCCCCCCCCCGCCCCAGACCCTGGACCTCCTCCTCTTCCTCCTCTCCAGACACCCCATCTCCTTCTAACACTGATGACGTTACCTAGTTGGGTAATGAGACGTCTGCAAGAAAACAGCCAAGCTCGTACCCCACAGCAGTCCACCTCCTCTTCCTCCTCTTCCTGCTCTTCTCCTCCTCCTCCTCCTCTTCCTCCTCCTCCTCCTCATCCCCCTCCTTTCCCTCCTCCTCTTCCCCTCCTTCCCCTCCTCCTCCTCCTCCTTCCCCTCCTCCTCCTCCTCCCCCTCCTCCTCCTCCTCTCCAGACACCCCATCTCCTTCTAACACTGATGACGCTACCTAGTTGGGTAATGAAACGTCTGCAAGAAAACAGCCAAGCTCGTACCCCACAGCAGTCCTCCTTCTCTTCCTCCTCTTCCTGCTCTTCTCCTCGTCCCCCTCCCCCTCCTCCTCCTCTTCCCCCTCCTCCTCCTCTTCCTCCTCCTCCTCCAGGGTGTTGGGCCTGGACACCCACCAGGTCAGCGTTGGAAGCCCCCTTCTCTTGCTTCCTCCTCTTCATCTCGTCCTGGTACAGCTGCAGGGAGAGTCCATTATCGCACTGGTGGCCCTTGCTGGATTCAGAGGAGTCCTACCAAGAGAAGCGGAGTGTGTGGTGGGGGAATGTTCAGCTGGCATCACCCAGGTGCCCACTTCACTGACGGATAGTCCCAAGACAGCTGCCCCATTGTGTGACCTTTCTTGCCCCAGTTGCTAAGGGAATCACTACAGTTGTTAAGAACACAGTGGTTAAGTCAGTGGTTCTCAACCTTTTTAATGCCACGACCCCCAACCAGTCGTAAGTCGAGAACTACTCAACTGGTGCAGCACCGTTTGCAGACTGGGGCTTTTGGCGGGCTCAGCAGGGCAGAGACAGCCTGGACCATTCCTATTGGCTTTTGAAAGCCAATAGAATTAGACTCTATTCAAGAGAGTCTCTTCTATTGGCTTTCAAAAGCCAATAGAAGAAAAGGGAGTAGCACAGCTAAGGAAAAGGGGGGAAAAATGGTGGACTGCGTTGTTTGGCGACCCCCATGAAATGGTCGTTCGACCCCAAATGGGGTCCCGACCCACAGGTTGAGAACCACTGGGTTAAGTGAATCTGGTTTTCCCCCATTGACGCAAAAAGGGATGCTGTGACCATCCTAAATACGATTCATTTGCCAGGCATCCGAATTTTGATCACGTGACCCCCGGGACACTGCGACCGTCATACATACGAGTCATTTGCCAGGCGTCTGAATTTTGATGACGGGATTTTGATCATGTGACCCTGGGGAATGCTGCGACGGTCGTTAAGTGTGAACAACGGTCGTAACTCCCGTTTTTCAGGGCTGTCGTAACTTTGAACGGTCGCTAAACCAACTGTTGTAAGTCGAGGGCTACCTATGCGCGAAAAATAGTAGTACCCTGAATTTTTAATTAATGAGTGGATTTGAGGGGCCCTGACGCAATCCTTGTTCTGCTGTGGTGCTCCGTTGCGGGTAACCAAAGGTGACACACAAAGTTTTAGTAGGAATTGGACTATTCGATTCAAGTTACCAATATTTGGAGAGCCACCAGGGGGCAGCAGGGGGCTTCAGAGAAGTCCTCCATAGAGTATTTTGCAACCTGTTTCCTACTAAACTAGATTAGAGTAGACTAGACTAGACTAGACTAGACTAGAGTAGCTAGAGTAGAGTAGAGTAGAGTAGAGTAGACTAGACTAGACTAGACTAGACTAGACTAGACTAGGATATAATAGAATAGAATAGAATAGAATAGAATAGAATAGAATAGAATAGAATAGAATAGAATAGAATAGAAAATATGGACTGGAATGGAATAAAATGGAATGGAATGGAATAGAATAGAAAATAAAAGAAAAAAGAAAATATGGAATGGAACAGAAACAGAATAGAATAGAATAGAAAAGAAAAGAAAAGAATAGAAAATATGGAATGGAATAGAATAGAATAGAACAGAAAATATGGAATAGAATAGAATAGAATAGAATAGAACAGAAAATATGGAATGGAACAGAAACAGAATAGAATAGAATAGAATAGAAAATATGGAATGGAATGGAATAGAATAGAATAGAATAGAAAATATGGAATAGAAGAGAAGAGAAGAGAAGAGAAGAGAAGAGAAGAGAAAATATGGAATAGAAGAGAATAGAATAGAATAGAAAATATGGAATGGAATGGAATAAAATAGAATAGAATAGAAAATATGGAATGGAATAGAATGGAATGGAATGAAATGGAATAGAATAGAATAGAATAGAAAATATGGAATAGAATGGAATAGAATAGAATAGAATAGAAAATATGGAATGGAATGGAATAGGATAGGATAGGATAGAACTGGAAGGGACCTTGAAGGTCTTCTAGTCCAGCCCCCTGCCCAAGCAGGAGAACCTATACCATCTCAGACAAGTGACTGTCCAGTCTCTTCTTAAAAGTCTCCAGTTATAACTGCTCACTTAACGGCGGGGCAAAATTACGAGGCACCTACTTGGGGATACTTACAATAGACCCCCCCTCATAGTCACAGCCCGCATTTACAGCCATTCGTAGTGTCCTGTAGTTAATATTTAATGACATTTTTTGCTTAAAACAGGCATTTACTTCTGTTTGCCCCATAGCAAACAATTGGCTCACTTAACTGGCTGGGGAATTCTGGGAGTTGAAGTCCACAGGTCTTAAAGTGGCCAGGGTTGGGGACCTCTGATTTATACAATCACATTTTTCAGTGCTGTGGTAAATTTAGCCACTAAATGAATGGTTGTAACTGAAGGATTAGCTCTGTAGCCAAACCGAAATTTACACCTAGCGATCCCTCTCCACTTTCCTCCAGAGGGCTAGAAACTTGAGAAGTGCAGTTAATCCAAGTCTTTGTAAAATTCCTCCCTCTCCGCTGGTCTCCACCGGTTAGCCCTGTATTCCCACTTCCTCAAGCAAAATTAGAGAGAGAGGCGGTGCAAAGCTGAAGTCTGCAAATGTCTGCGCTGTTCCTTTAAGGCAGTGCTGAGCCCGGGTTCAAGTGGAAAGGGGACTTTCTTGAACTGGTTCCTTCAGTTCCCGGGGCGCAGATGCCGTAGCTTTGGAGATCAGCAGGTTGGAAGAACATAGAACCGGCTAAATTTATGTCAGGAAGAGCACTTCAATTCGATCCATAGGATAATATGTTGGAAGGGACCTTGGAGGTCTTCTAGTCCAACCCCTGCTGAAGTGCCAGGGGTATCTAGGCTTGGGAATTTTAAGACATGTGGACTTCAACCTCCAGAATGGCTTGGGAATGCTGGCTGGGGAATTCTGGGAGTCCAAGTCCCCATGTCTTTTAAGTTCCCAAGGTTGGACCTTTGCTCTCTATAGAAGGGATGGAAACTGATCAAGGAGAGAAGCAACCTGGAATTAAAGAGAAAGTTCCTGACAGTGAGGACAATTAACCAGTGGAACAGCTTGCCACCAGAAGTTGTGGGTGCTCCATTCCTGGAGGTTTTTAAGAAGAGGCTGGACAGTCCCTTGTCTGAGATAATATAGGTTCTCCTGCTTGAGCAGGGGGCTGGACTAGAAGACCTCCAAGGTCCCTTCCAGCTCTATTCTATATGTCAGTTCTGTGCAAGAAGAAATAGAGGAAACATGATAGCAATGTTCCAGTATCTGAAGGGCTGCAATGAAGAAGAGGGGGTCAAGCTATTCTCCAAAGCACCAGAGGGCAAGACAAGAAACAATGGTTGGAAACTGACCAAAGAGAGAAGCAACCTGGAATTAAGGAGAAAGTTCCTAACAGTGAGGACAATTAACCAGTGGAACAGCTGGCCACCAGAAATCGTGGGTGCTCCATCACTGGAGGTTTTTAAGAAGACGCTGGACAGTCACTTGTCTGGAATGGTATGGGTTCTCCTGCATGAGCAGGTGGCTGGACTAAAACAGGGCTTTTCAACCAGTGGTACGGGTACCACCTGTGGTACATGGGCACCTGGCAGGTGGTGTGCGACCATCCTAGAAAAGGGGTAGTGAGGGAAGGGAATGAGCTGAACTGGTGGCAGCATCACACAAGCCTGAGCGAGAAACGGCTGGAGCTGCAGGGCTGTCAGGGCTCAGCGGAAGCGCCAGGATCAGCGCCAGGCTGCAGTTGGAGCTCAGCGCTGATCCTGGTGCTTCTGCTGAGCCCTGAAGAAGCACCGATCAGCTGGAATGTTGCAGCCTCTCCAGGGTCTTGTGATTTACATTCAGATGCTTGGCAACTGATTCATATTTATGACGGTCACAGTGTCCCAGGGTCATGGGAAGTGACCAAAACCTGCTGCAACCTCCCAGCAGATAGGGATAAAAACCAAACACCCCCACCCCACCCCCGCTGCCAATCCTCAACAGAAATGCTCACAACAATGGAAACCTCGGACAGGAGGAAGAGCACCTCCGAGCGGGCAGGCAGGTGTCTTGCTCGGCTGTGGCACTTTTTTCGGTGCCATTGTAACTTCGAACAGTCACTAAGTGAACTATTGTAAGTCGAGGACTACCTGTACTTTATCACTTTTTTCCTTTTGGGGGGGGGTGTCATCCAGTTTTTGACACCTTGCTAGGCGACTGGTGGTCCTCGGATGTTGCCATATCCTAAAAGTGGCACAATGGGTGAAAAGGTTGAAAAGCACTGGACTAGATGACCTCCAAGGTCCCTTCCAGCTCTATTCTATTCTAATTATTCCATTCCAGACAAATGGCGGTCCAATCTCTTCTTGGAAACCTCCAGGGATGGAGCACTCTCACCTTCTGGAGGCAAGCCCTTCCAGCTTGCTTCTCTCCTCCATAAGTCTCCATCTTTTACTCCTTGTCCTGCCTTAAGATGCTTTGGAATGACAGAATTACCAAGTTGGAAGAGGCTTTGGAGATCTTCTAGTCCAGCCCCCTGCCCAAGCAGGAGACTATAGACCAGTGGTTCTCAACCTTTTTAATGCCGTGATCCCCAACCGGTCGTAAGTCGAGGATTACTCAACTGGTCGTAAGTCGAGGACTACTCAACTGGTGAAGCACCGTTGGCAGAATGGGACTTTTGGCGGGCTCAGCAGGGCAGAGACAGCCTGGACAATTCCTATTGGCTTTTGACTCTATTCAAGAGAGCCTATTCTATTGGCTTTCAAAAGCCAATAGAATAAAAGGGAGTAGCACAGCTAAGGAAAAGGGGAAAAAATGGCGGACTGCGTTTGGCGAAATAGTCGTTCGACCCCAAATGGGGTCCCGACCCACAGGTTGAGAACCACTGCTATAGACCATCCTGGATAAATGGCTTTTCAATCTTTTCTTGAAGACCTCCAACGATGGAGCATCCACGACTTCTAATGGAAAGCCATTCCACAGATTAATTGTTCTCGCCGTCAGAAAACTTCTCCTGAATTCTAGGTTGAATCTCTCGTTGGTAAGTTTCCACCCGTTACTTCTGGTCCACCCCCTCACCTCCCAATTCTGTTGTTGTGGGAAAACTGGGGCCCAGAACAAACAGCCAACTCACCTCGCTGTGCGAATGTCCCAGGAGAATGAAGAACTTCTCCAGCAGGAAAAAGAGGTAGAGACCCCCTAGGACGGCCAGGAGCTTCCAGAGCTTGTCCTCACCTTCTTGGTGGACGTGGGCATCGTCCCCTCCGTGGGAGTGAGAATGGAGGCCCAGGAACTGAAACGAGAGTGGTGGTCTCAGTGTCATTGCAACCTCAAACAGAGGGACAGAGTGGTCTTTCAAAGCAAGCAGATCACGAGAGGGTTGGGTCTGGCAGAGCTACTAATTACACTTCTGTTCCATTTCTGCACGGCCCGGATAGTCCTCGAGAAACGAATGGAGCCTGCCCATCACGAGAGGTGGGGCCTGGCAGAGCTACTAGTTACACTTCCACTACATTTTGGACCTTCCCAAATGCAGGTGGACCTTGAGATAGGACCGTAATGGAGGCTGCAGCAAGGGATCACCTCCGTTAAGCAAGAAACGTCCAGAGATCTTCCAAAGATGAGTGTGCAATGGGTGATGGGCATGTGGCATCCTGTCCCAAGGCCCACGGGGGTCCTAGTGGGGCGGGATGAAGGGGGAGATAGGGGGCACGGCAGCATCCCTGTGGTTGATTGTAAGGGCCAATGACTGGGGGCGCCACAGTCCCCATAACTTGAAAACAAGGTCATAAGTAGCTTTTGGGGGGGGGGTCTGTTGTAACTTCAAACGGCCGTTAAGTGACTGGCCATATCTAGAGGGCTACCTATACGGCGCCCTTCTCAAATATTTTGGGGGATGACCAAGGCTGTATTAGACCCAGAGATAGGAAGGCCTGAGGAAAAAAAGTGGAAAAATTGAAAAAAAAACAACAGTTTTCTTCTTCCATTTCTTTCCTTTTTTCCCCCAAAGCCGTTTGGATCCTAAAAGGGATCATGTGACCCTGGGGAGGCTGCAACCGTCGTAAATGTGAGTCAGCTGTCAAGCGTCTTGAGTTTTGGTCACGTGACCTGGGGGTGCTGCGACGGTTGTAAGTGTGAAAGATGGTCATAAGTCCCTCTTTTTGAGTGTCGTTGTAACTTCAAATGGTCACTAAGCGAACGACTGTAAGTCGAGGACTGTTATCCGTCTCCCTTTTCACGCCCAGAGTTCCCACCTTCAGATGGGAGGAACCAACCGGGCTGCAGACCCCCACCTGATCCAGCCCCCCCCCCGGGGAGGACCCAAACCATGACCTTCCCCCAACTCTTTGGGTCACCCTTTCAGGTTTCCTGCTCCCCCCCCCCCAGCACGGACCTTGGGGATGAGGTGCAGCATGGCGTCCCCGGTGAGCGATCCCACGGCCAGGCTGACGAAGGTCTGGATGACGTATTGGTAGGCGCTGATGCAAGCCGTGCAGAGCAGAACCACGATGCCGAAAAGGGCGCACAAACACACCACCAGCGTGGCCAGCGTGCCATAGATGTACTCTGGGGAGAGGGAGGGGAGGGGAGGGGAGGGAGGAACAACGTAAAAAAGCAGAATAGACTGAACAAGATTAGACTAGACAAGACTAACTAGACTAAACAAGACTTGACTCGACTAGACTAGATTGAAGAAGACTAGACTAGACAAGACTAGACTAGACTAAAGACAATATTAGACTAGACTAGACTAGACTAGACAATATTAGACTAGACAGGACTAGACTAGACTAGACAAGACAATATTAGACAAAACAATATAGTTTAGACTAGACTAAAGACAATATTAGACTAGACTAGACAAGACAAGACAATATTCGACTGTAGATTAGACTAGACAATATTAAACTAGACTAGACAAGACTATAAACTAAACAAGACTAGACTAGACCAGACGAAACAAAACTAGACTAAACAAGATTAGACTAGACAAGACTAGATTAGACTAACTAGACTAGACAAGACAAGACAATATTCGACTGTAGATTAGACTAGACAATATTAGACTAGACTAGACAAGACTATAAACTAAACAAGACTAGACTAGACCAGACAAGACAAAACTAGACTAAACAAGATTAGACTAGACAAGACTATAGACTAGACAATATTAGACTAAACTAGACAAAACTAGGCTAGGCTAGAACAGAAGAAGAGAACACAGAACAGAACAAAACATAGAGAACAGAATAGAAAACACCAAACAGAATAGAATATAGAAAACAGAACCGAACAACACAGAATATAGAAAACTGAACAGAACATAGAAAACAGAGCAGAACAGAAAAGAAAAGAATGGAATTTAGAGAACAGAACAGAACAGAAAACAGAACAGAATAGAAAAAAAATAATAGAACAGAACATAGAAAACAGAACAGAAGAGGATGTAGAACACAGAATAGAACAGAAAAGAACAAAATAGAATAGAAAAAATCAGAAAAAAGAAAAGAAAAATAGCTTTATTTGGCCAAGCAATTTGTCTCCGGTACAGAAGCACTCAGCGCACTTGCAAAATGTGTAATTCAAGGTGTGTGCGTGTATGTGTGTGTGTGTGTGTCACCAAAACGTTCACCCCCCATGCTAGAAGGGGGTCAAGGGTGATTCCAAAGAGATGTCCTTCTGCTACGTGCCTCACAAGGCTTCTTCATGGGGTGGTTTGAATGTTTCCTAGCGAGAGAAGCCTCCTGGTCACCGCCACCTTGGTTAAACCTTCAGAGGTCCACAACTCCTGACCTTCTGACCAGCATCGACCAGGCCTGACCTGAAGGTAGAAGCTCCGAGGTCTTCTAAGCAGCGGAATAACAGAAGGGAGATTCCCCCCACGGGAGACCTCCAAGACAGATGGTTGATTCTGGCGGGAGCCATTTTCCTGAGCAGCCGTGTCCAACCTTGGCCACGTGAAGACCGGTGGACTTCAACTCCCAGAATTCCCCAGCCAGCGTACGCTGGCTGGGGAATTCTGGGAGTTGAAGTCCACCGGTCTTCACGTGGCCAAGGTTGGACTCGCCCGTGGTAGAGCAAGGGCAAGGGATGGACTCACTCTCGGCCGTGGTGAGGCGCCCGTTTTCTGGAACCTTCCGAGGGGCCGTGCAGGCCTGGCTGAGCTTCTGCTGCACCAGAGCTGGGCTCAGACGGGTGAAGTCTGGGCGGCTGATTCCGGAGGCATCGTCAAGCTCATAAATCTTGAAGATGTCACTGGGGCTGAGGCAGACCTGGAAGGAGACAAAGAGGTCCCTGAGTGAGTAGCCGTTGGCTTGGGGAGGGGGGAGGGAAGGACTCTGGGCAGTGACCTGTAGACTGTGGGAGTGGAGGGGCTTGACCGCCATGCTGGAAAGTGCAGCCATCTTGGATCTGGGCTAAGAAAGCTGCAGGAAGGGCCAGTCCTGTTTCTCTCCCTCTCGGGCGCCAACCACACGAACCCTTGGCTGAGGCTTACGTAGTGGACCATCCCTACCAGGCTGGGATGGGGCAGGGAAGAACTTAGAAGAATAGAATAGAATATAGAGTAGAGTAGCGTAGCGTAGAGTAGAGTAGAGTAGAGTAGAGTAGAGAATATGGAATGGAATGGAATAGACAATAAAATAGCATAGAATAGAACAGAAAGTAGAATAGAATAGAATAGAATAGAATAGAATAGAATAGAATAGAATAGAATAGAATAGAAAATATGGAACGGAATGGAATGGAATAGACAATAAAATAGCATAGAATAGAACAGAAAGTAGAATAGAATAGAATAGAATAGAATAGAATAGAATAGAATAGAATAGAAAATATGGAACGGAATGGAATGGAATAGACAATAAAATAGCATAGAATAGAACAGAAAGTAGAATAGAATAGAGTAGAGTAGAGTAGAGTAGAATAGAATAGAATAGAATAGAATAGAATAGAATAGAATATAGAATAGAGTAGAGTAGAGTAGAAAATATGGAATGGAATGGAATGGAATGGAATAGACAATAAAATAGCATAGAATAGAACAGAAAATAGAATAGAATAGAGTAGAGTAGAGTAGAGTAGAATAGGATAGGATAGAATAGAATAGAATAGAATATAGAATAGAGTAGAGTAGAGTAGAAAATATGGAATGGAATGCAATGGAATAGACAATAAAATAGCATAGAATAGAACAGAAATTAGAATAGAATAGAGTAGAGTAGAGTAGAATAGAGTAGAGTACAGTACAGTAGAGTACAGTAGAATAAACTAGAATAGAATAGAATAGAATAGAATAGAATAGAACTTGAAAGGACCTTGGAGATCATCTAGTCCAACCTCCCACCCACTTCCTCCCTCCCTCCCGTCCTTCCTCCCTCCCTCCCTCCCTCCTTTATATGACTCTGGCAGTGTTGAAGGAGAGCGAACCTCACCGTGTCCCAGATGTTCTGGTGGGCGTCTTGTTCTTCCAAGGCAGCAGGACTTCGTTTTGAGCGCACTGGAGAACTTTCACTTCTGTTTCCATGGCGCTCCATGTGGTGGTGATCTGTTTCATCACTGTGGTGATGGCCTGTTTCATTGCCATGGTGATGGCCTGTTTCATCATCATGGTGATGGCCTGTTTCATCGCCGTGGTGATGGCCTGTTTCATTGCCGTGATGATGGCCTGTTTCATTGCCGTGATGATGGCCTGTTTCATTGCCGTGATGATGGCCTGTTTCATTGCCGTGGTGATGGCCTGTTTCATCATCATGATGATGGCCTGTTTCATCACCGTGGTGATGGCCTGTTTCATCGCTGTGGTGATGGCTTGTTTCATCATCGTGGTGATGGCCTGTTTCATTGCCGTGATGATGGCCTGTTTCATTGCCGTGGTGATGGACTGTTTCATTGCCGTGATGATGGTCTGAGTGATCTTCGTGGTCTCCATGATCATGGCCATCTGGGTGACTGTGTGTGGCATTTCCATGATCATGGTCATGCTCATCGTGCGTGTGTCCATCATGTCCATGGTCGCTGTGGTCATGTCCATCATGTCCATGGTCGCTGTGGTCATGTCCATCATGTCCATGGTCGCTGTGGTCATGTCCATGGTCGCTGTGGTCATGTCCATCATGTCCATGGTTGCTGTGGTCATGTCCATCATGCTCATGGCCATGTTTTCTCCCAGGACCCACCTCCAGCTGTACCATTAGTTTGGTCAGTCCTGTTGGAAATCCAGAAAGGGCAGAGGTCATTGTACCTTCTTAGAGACCCATTTCCCATCCTATCTGTTCTTCTACATTCATCATCTCAACTTGGAGTCCTCTAGACCCATTGGCCACTAAACAGCCCTCCAAAGCTTGAACTAGCCTGACCCAAAGAATCATGGGAGTTGCCCATCTGGGGGGGGGCAGTTCTAATCTCTCTATTTGGGTTCCTTCAAAAGTGACCTACAATCTCATCAAACTATAGTCTCTTATGACTTGTATCTCCTAAACCTTTGTCCATGTTGACTAGGAAGTGTTGAAGCCCAGAACAGCCCTGTTGGAGAAGTCTGTTTTAGCTCTTCTACCGTGGTCATGAAGTAGAATAGGGGTGTCCAGCCTGGACAACTTTAAGACCGGTGGACTTCAACTCCCAGCATGGTTGGCTGGGGAATTCTGGGAGTTGAAGTCCACAAGTCTTAACGTTGCCCAGATTGGACACAGCTGATATAGACAGAGGGGTGTGTGTGTGTGTGTGTCCCAGGCCTATTGTTATTTACACCTCACTTCCATGGCTTTGTCCCCCAAATGTAGATGGTATCATGAAATCGTTAGACAAATGAATGGAAGATTAGTAGAAGAGAATCTCTGTAGCTCAGGAACTGGGGAGTCCTTGGTGCTGCTGAACTTGGTGGGTTGTTTGCAGATGTTTCGTTACTCAACTAGGCAACATCCTCAGTGTGAAAAGGGAATGGTGTGTGAGGAGAGGAGGAAGAGGAAGAGGAAGAGGAGGAGGAGGAGGACAACGGTTGTGGGGTCCTTGTTACTCTTGGAGCTTCGTTGTTTTCTTGCAGACGTTTCATGACCCAACTAGATGGCAATATCAGTGCTGCTAAGTAGGTCAGTTGAACCCGGAACTACAAATATTCTCTTCTATCATAAGAGCTCTGAACAGCTGCAGATCAGGATGGTAACTCTACTCCAGGGGTGTCAAACTGCCGGCCCACGGGCCGGTTGCGTCATACGGAGACCGTCCCCACCCCATCTCTGGCAATACAAAAAACCTCACAATACTTTGTGACACATCACGTCACGTGGCGAGTTTGATACCTATGCTCTACTCCAGTGATGGCGAACCTTTTAGAGACCCAGGGCCCAAACTGCAATCCAAACCCCCCTTATTTATCACGGGGTGCCGGGTGGGCGTGGCCGCAGTGGTCATGGCAGACTGGGTGGGTGGGACCTGGGCGGCGGGGGCCAGTCCTTCACCATCTTCAGGGCACGGCACGTGTGCCCGTAGAGAGGGCTCTGAGTTCCACCTCTGGCACGCGTGCCATAGGTTCGCCACCACTGCTCTACTCCATCACTAAATAGCCCATAGTGAGGGCAACAAGGGTGTGTCTCCACCCCTTCCAAATTCTGGGCAAATTCTGCTTTGGTCCTAACCTCGTAATGTCACAAGACGTCTCTTTAAGACAGACTTCCCAAGCCGGGCACCAAAAGAAAGAGACGCAAGGGAATTGGCGTCTCTAAAACAGGTGTTCTCCCGGATATGAGTCTCTATTCTACCCAGATGAAATCGCAAGAAGAAGAAGAGGACCAGACTACTGAACCGACTATAAATACCCTAAACCAAATATGGAGGTTTGAATTATTAGGGCAACAGCTTAACAATTACAAAGGGGCCCGTTCTTTTGAGAGACTGATAACTGGACGTTCTCCCTTGATTCAAACAACAGGGGTAGGAATGAAGGGAGATGCATCCGAGGTTTTAAGAGGCACTGGCATGGAAACTGGCCTGGCACAAAAAGAAAGCCAGAGTTAGATTTAAAAGTGGGTAAAGCAGTTTTTTAGAGATAGTTCTTTTTTTATATTTAGCCCTTAGATTTATAATGGCAGTTAAAATGAACTGTTAGACCAGGGGTTCTCAACCTTGGCAACTTTAAGACTTGTGGACTTCAACTCCCAGAATTCATGAATTTTGGGAGTTGAAGTCCACAAGTCTTAAAGTTGCCAAGGTTGAGAACCCCTGTGTTAGACTATAACTTTAATTGTTATATGGAAATAGATTTATGATAATGAAAGACATGTTGTTATTAAAGGAGGAGTTATTAGAATGAGAATTAGAATATATTTGTCTATAAAGAAGGTAAATTTTGGAATAATATGTGTATTTTAGTTATGTTAATTATATTATAATGAAATGAGGAAAATCAAGGTTATCCGAAGTTTAAACATTGGTTATAAAAGGCTAAATTGGGATATATAAATTGGAATTAAATAAAACCTGTAAACAGGACTTGGATATATATATATACAAGTAAAATACTATTGATAAATGTACTGACTGATTGAGCCTAGTGAGAAACTTATTAACATGAATATGATATAATATTTGTGGGAAACAGTGAGGGAATGTTATTGATGTAACCTGAGATATATATGAATGTTTTTGTTATTGACCGATTTCTCTAGCACCACACTGCTTCCTTAGTATTTAGATGTTAAAATTTGAAAAATTAATAAAACTTGTTTAAAAAAAATAAAAAATTAAAACAGCTGTTCTCAAATCTTCCCCCCCCCCCCAGGTGAGCAAGCCTACAGCTTGGAGGCTTACCTGCCAGAGTGAGGTTGTGACTCCCGTTGCTGTAGTGTTGGAAAATGTAATCCAAAAAGTAGTGTTGGTGAGGGAGAGCATGGAAGCAGCCGCCTCGTAAGACGTGGTAGGACAAGAACGCCAACATTTTCCCGGCTGGATTGGATGCCACGTGGTGGGAAACGGAGGTGCTGCTTTTAAGGATCTGGCCCACTTCTGCACAGGGCTGGGAAAGCGGAGGAGAGCAGGTGAGAAATTTAGGCTGGGCTTCCCTCTTTTGTCAGCACAGCCACGATTTTTTTTTCCAGCTACAGAGGAAGAGCAACTAATAAACACAATTAATTAATTCATAAATGATGGTTGAGGGAGTGAGGCATGTCTATAAGGAACGGCTGCTGGAATTGGGGATGTCTAGTTTAATGAAGAGAAGGATGAGGAGGGACATGATAGCAGTCTTCCAGTATCTCAGGGGCTGCCCCAAAGAAGAAGCAGTCAAGCTATTCTCCAAAGCGCCTGAAGGCAGGACAAGAAGCAACAGAGGGAAACTCATCAAAGAGAGAAGCAACCTGGAACTAAGGAGAAACTTCCTGACAGTGAGAACAATTAACCAGTGGAACCACCTGCCTCCAGAAGTGGTGAATGCTCCAACACTGGAGGTTTTTAAGAAGAGACTGGACAGCCATTTGTCTGAAATGATATAGGGTTTCCTGCCTGAGCAGGGGGTTGGACTAGATGACCTCCAAGGTCCCTTCCAACTTTATTATTATTATTATTATTATTATTATTATTATTACCCTATCAAAGAGAACAAGAGCTAAAAAGCTGGTTTCGCCATCTTGAAAGAGCAAAAGTTGCTTTCCCATATTTCAAAGGGTTAAAGAGCGACGGGATATTTCAGCAGAAACCATCCTGCTTGAATCCTCCCCATAAAGCAGAATAAGGGTACCTTAAAGATCTTCTAGTACAACCCTCTGCTCAAGCAGGAGACTCTATTCTCCATGCTTGAGAACCTATGGACTTCAATTCCCAGAATTCTCCAGCCAGCCATGCTGCATTGGCTTTTTTTTTAAGCAGCTGCTGCACACAGCTGGCTTGTGTTTAAGGGATCGTCAACTAGGACTCCAAGGTCCCTCTGACAGTTGCTGTTTTTGAGCCAAGTCTCACCTAATCTGTACTTGTACCTTTGGTTTTTCCTTTCCCAGGTGTAAAACCTTGCTTTTCTCCACATTAAATTTCATGTTGTTGTTCAAGTCTGTCAAGATCTTTTTGGATCCTGAGCTTGTCTTCTGGGGTGTTGGCTACTCCTGCCAGTTTGGTGTCATCTGCAAATTTGATGAGTTCCCCTTCAATTCCCTCATTTATGAAGATATTGAAGAGTGCTGGGCCTAAGACGGAGCCTTGTGGTACCCCACTGCTTACTTCCCTCCATGTGGATGTAGTGCCATTGAGGACTACTCGTTGAGTACGGTTTGTCAGCCAGTTACAAAGCCATCTGGTGCTGTGGAACAGTTTGCCCCCAGAAACTGTGAGTGTTCCATCACTGGAGATTTTTAAGAAGAGACTAGATAATCACCTATCTGAGATGGTACAGAGCAGGGGGCTGGACTAGAAGACCTCCATGGTCCCTTCCAGCTCTATTCTATTCTATTCTATTCTATTCTATTCTATTCTATTCTGTTCTTTATTCTATTCTATTCTATTCTACTTTCTGTTCTGTTCTGTTCTATTCGGTTCTGTTCTATTCTATTACTATTCTATTCTTTATTCTATTCTGTTCTGTTCTACTTTCTATTCTATTCTATTCTATTCTATTCTATTCTATTCTATTCTATTCTGTTCTTTATTCTATTCTATTCTATTCTATTCTATTCTACTTTCTGTTCTATTCTATTCTATTCTATTCTATTCTGTTCTTTATTCTATTCTATTCTATTCTACTTTCTGTTCTGTTCTGTTCTATTCGGTTCTGTTCTATTCTATTACTATTCTATTCTTTATTCTATTCTGTTCTGTTCTACTTTCTATTCTATTCTATTCTATTCTATTCTATTCTACTTTCTGATCTATTTCTATTCCTATTCTATTCCTATTCCTATTCTATTCTATTCTATTCTATTCTATTCTATTCTATTCTACTTTCTGTTCTATTGCTATTCCTATTCCTATTCCTATTCTATTCTATTCTACTTTCTGTTCTATTCTATTCTGTTCTGTTCTGTTCTGATGCTGTCTAAGCCACCTTCTCAGAGAAGGTCCATCTTCTCAAACCTTGACCCAACAGCCTCTTCCTGGAAATCTGGACCAACTTCACTTCACTGGCCTTTGAAGGCCAACTGAAGTTTGTGGCTTCTCCAGGACTTTAATTCACCAGTGAGGGTTTACGGCAAGTCTGCAGGTTTTATGGTAATTCTGTATTCTATCGGCACTGCAACAGTTTATGTGGCAGGCTTGATGATTTTATGGTTGTTAGGAGTTACTGATTTTTATGACTCTGGAACTCAGTTGGAACTCAGCAGGCCCCCAACGCTGATATCTCTCTGGTGACTGCTCTTATTTAGGACTCTTCCCCAGCCAGCTGTGGCCCCACCACTGCCCCTTACCTCCTCTTTTTTGACGGACTTGGCATTCCTCTGGATTACAAGCATCTGCCGGGCGACTTTCTCCGAGGTGGGTCTGGCCGCTGGGTTCCCATCGAAGAATTTGCTTTGGAAACCACGGACCTCAGACACCCAGTGTTTCTTGGTCATCGCCGTGCAGGCGGCCACGGGATCCGAGAAGTAGACCACCAGCCCTGCCGAGAAGGTCAGCAGCTCCGGGGAGGTGAGGTTGACCTCTCCAGACGTGGTCTTCCCTACCAGTTCAAAGACGTTTGTGGGCGAGAGGCACTGCAGAAGAGAAGGAGATGGACGCGGTCTTGGCCTCGGTCAACAGAGGTTCCGCAAGGTTGATTCCAAAATGGGTTTCAACCTTGGGTTGAAGGAGGTGCGGCGGCGCAGAGGTTAGAAGGCAGCATGGCAGGCTAGCTCTGCCCACTGCCAGGAGTTCGATCCTGGCCGGCTCAAGGTCGACTCAGCCTTCCATCCTGCCCAGGTCGGTAAAATGAAGACCCAGATTGTTGGGGGCAACAGGCTGACTCTGTAAACGGCTTAGAGAGGGCTGTCAAGCACTGTGAAGCGGTATATAAGTCTATGAGCTATTGCTTGGGAAGGAAGGAAAGAAGGAAGGAAGGAAGGAAGGAAAGAAGGAAGGAAGGAAGGAAGGAAGGAAGGGAGGGAGGAAGGTGAGAAGGAAGGAAGGAAGATGAGAGGAAACGAAAGAAGGAAGGAAGGAAAATAAGGAGAAGGAAGGAAACTGTGGTGATGCACAGGAGTTCAGTCTTGATGAAGTTCAAGGTTGATTCAGCCTTCCATCCTTCCGAAGTCGGAAAAATGAGGACCCAGATTGTTGGGGGCAAATAGGCTGTAAACTGCTTAGAGAGGGCTGTACAATCACTGTGAAGCGGGATATAAATCTATAATCTAAGATTAAACACCTCTGAAAGGCCGCATGGCAGGCTAACTCTGTTCACTGCCGGGAGTTCGATCCTGACCTTAGAGAGGGCTGTAAAGCACTGTGGAGTGGGGTATAAGTCTGAGTGCTATTACTTGGGAAGGAAGAAAGGAAGGAAGGAAGGAGGGAAGGAAAGGAAGGAAAGAAGGAAAGGAAGGAAGGAAAGAAGAAAAGAAGGAAGGAAGGAGGAAGGAAAGGAAGGCAGGCAGGAAGGAAAGGAAAGAAAGAAGGAAGGGAAAGAAGGAGGGAAGGAAAGAAGGAAGGAAGGAAAGAAGGAAGGAAAGAAGGAAGGAAAGGAGGGAAGGAAGGCAGGAAGGAAGGAAAGAAGGAAGGAAAGAAGGAAAGAAGGAAGGAAGGAAGGAAGGAAGGAAGGAAGGAAAGAAGGAAGGAAGGAAGGAAGGAAGGAAAGAAGGAAGGAAAGAAGGAAGGAAAGAAGGAAGGAAGGAAGGAAAGAAGGAAGGAAAGAAGGAAGGAAGGAAGGAAGGAAGGAAGGAAGGAAGGAAGGAAGGAAAGAAGGAAGGAAAGAAGGAAGGATAGGAGTTCAGTCTTGATGAGGTTCAACATTGACTTAGCCTTCCATCCTTCCAAGGTGGGAAAAATGAGGACCCAGACTGACTCTGTAAACCGCTGAGAGAGGGCTGTACAAGCACTGTGAAGCAGGATATAAGTCTAAGTGTTGTTCTATGGGACTGAACATCTCTGGAGTATGTGGAGATAAGGTTACAGGGAGTTCTCGACCGATCAAAACTGAGCCCAAAATTTGTTCAGTGAGCTTTGCCCCCATTTTACAACTTTTCCGGCCACAATTTGTTAAACGAATCACTGCAATGGATAACTTAGTCACACGGTTGCTAAGTGAATCTGGCTTCCCCATGGATTTCGTTTATCAGACAGTCGCAAAAGGGGAATCACACGACTCCCCCCCCATCCCACCCCCAGGACGCTGCAACCGTCGCAAGTAGGACTCGGTTGCCAAGTGTTCGAATTCTGATCACGTGACCACAGGGGTGCTGCAACGGTCGTAAGTGTGAAAAGCGGTCCGAAGTCACTTTTTTCAATGCCGCTCTGACTTTAAATGGTCGCTAAATGAACCGTCGTAAGTTGAGGACAGTCTGTATTGTGGAGGACAGCAGAAGACCGTACAAAATGAACACCAAGCAGGCCCAGCTGGTGTTTCTCCTATTGGACCGCTTAAAGGCAGGTGGACTTCAACTCCCAGAATTCCCCAGTCAGCAAAATAAGTAAGGTAAGTAAGTAAGTAAGTAAATAATAAACCCTACAGAAGAAGCACACTGAGGGAGGAAGGGAATTAAGACAAATTAAGGTGCAGGGACATAACACTGATCCCAAAGTCCAATTCGATACAGAATCGAGCTGGAAGGGACCTTGGAGGTCTTCTAGTCCAACCCCCTGCTCAACCAGGAGACCCTTGCAGAATAACAGAGTTGGAAGGGACCTTTAAGATCATCTAGTCCAACCTCCTGCTCAGGCAGGAAACCCTATACATTTCAGACAAGTGGCTATCCAGTTTCTTTTTAAAAGCTTTCAGTGATGGAGCACCACAACTTCTGGTGGCAAGCTGTTCCACTGGTCGATTGTTCTCACTGTCAGGAAAGTTCTTCTTAGTTCCAGGTAGCTTCTCTCCTGGATGAGTTTCCCTCCGTTGCTTCTTCTCCTGTCTTCAGGTGCTTTGGAGAATAGCTTGACTGCCTCTTCTTTGGGTCAGCCCCTCAAATACTGGAATAACTGCTACCATGTCACAACCTAATCCTTCTTTGTCATGGTTTCCCCATCCTGCTGGGAAAAGTGGACCACCGAAAGAAAGAAAAAATGCACGTTTTTGATTGGTGATGCTGGATAAAGTTGCAGACAATTGGACTTGGATGGTGAGCAGATATTGTGGAGAAGGCAGGACAAGAAGCAACGGATGGAAACTCACCAAGGAGAGAAGCAACCTGGAACTAAGGAGAAACTTCCTGACAGTTAGAACAACTAACCAGTGGAACAGCTTGCCACCAGAAGTTGTGGCTACTCCTTCGCTGGAGGATTTTAGGAAGAGATTGTCTCACATTGTATAGGGTCCCTTGCTTGAGCGGGGGGCTGGACTAGAAGACCTCCAAGGTCCCTTCCAACTCTATTCTGATTGAACTACCATCTGAATTGGTATAGGGTCTCTTGCTTCAGCAGGGGGTTGGACTAGAAGACCTCCAAGGTCCCTCCCAGCTGTGTTCTGATTCTGAAGCCTAGCAGGTTCTGACGAGAAGGAATACAAAGGAGAATCAAAAGCGATCCGATTAGTGTCACTCAAATCTCAGCAACTCGAAGAGGGGTGGACTTTGACTTCCAGAATTCCCCAGCCAGCAAAAGCTGGCTGGGGAATTCTGGGAGTCAAAGTCCACCCCACTCCAAGTTGCTAAGCTGGAGAAACATTGAACTGAACAACAAACACTCCAGAGTAAAAACTTGTGGTCTAATCTGGAGAGCGGTTAATGGTTCCCCGGATTCCTGCTCAGTCTGAAGTGCTTGCACAGAGTTTATGCAAATAATACACCAGTCCCTGCCGGAAATAATAAACCTGCTCCAGTTTCCTTCCTGTAAATGGGAGGTGTAAATAATCAGCTTGGAAGGGTGACAGCCAGGCCATTTAGAGAGAACTGCCATGTAAATGTAATATTGGAAAATTAATAAAAAACTTGGGGGGAAAAATAGAGAGAACTGCCAGAGTTATAACGAAGAAAAACATCCTCATCCAGGCTGTCAATAAAGGCACCCAGGGCTTGCTCTGGATTTCCTGCTCCCCTTCTCTCTCTGGGATCCCCCCCAAAATAACTAAGACACTGGCAGCAGAGGTAGCCCCAGTCCTCGCCTTTCCGACCAGAATATTGATTGATTGATTGATCGATCGATCGAATTGATTTGCCACCCGCCTCGTAGCCAGCGATCCTGCCCCTAAGCCAGGCAGTTGTTAAGCAAGCATCGTCCCATTTTACGGCCTTTGTTTTTTGGGCCAGGGTCGTTAAACGAGTTGCTGCCATTGTTAAGCGAAACGCGCCGTCGTTAAGCGAAACTGGCTTTTCCTGTTGACTTAGTTCGAAAGAATCCAGCTGGGGAGGTTACCAATGGTGATCACATGATCCAAGAAAGGGCAGCTGCCTTCAGCTGTTATTTATTTACTGTATTTTCTGGCGTATAAGGCGACTCGGCGTAGAAGACGACTCCCGACCGACGCCGATTTCCATGCCTAGAAAGTCGTCTTATTCGCCGGAAACTACTGTAATTTCCAGCATATAAGATGACTCGGCGTATAAGACAACCCCCGACTTCGGCACCGATTTCCACGCTTTGGAAAGTCGTCTTATACACCGGAAAACACAGTATTTATTGTTTTAGACATAAATAAACTGTCCTAAGTACATGCCAGTTGCCAGTTGCCAAGTGCTCGAAGCTTTCATTCCATAATCGTGGGGATGCTGCGACGGTCGTATCATAATAATTATCATTATCATTATTATTATTTTGCAATTGACTAATGGCGAATCTGTCGATGCCAATGGTGTTCACGTGGTGCTCCAGTTGTTTTGGGATTGCACCCAAGGCACCTAGTACCAATAGTAATAGGTGCCTTGGGTGCAATCCCAAACAACTGGAGCACCACTTGAACACCATTGGCATTGACAGATTCGCCATTAGTCAATTGCAAAAGGCGGCCTTACTAGGAACTGCTTCCATCTTGTGACGATATCTGTAATACCATCAAACATCCACATCTGCCTATCCCAGGTCCTGGGTAAGGACTCGATAGGTAGACAAAATGCCAAATCCAGTCTGAACATCTGGCTGACCGTGCGATGATCATCAATAATAATAATAATAAAGGCTTCTGGTTCCGGTTTGCGGCGGTGCGGTCGAGAGAAGGGAGTCGTCCCTTTGCCGATCGAGTTTCCCCTGCCGGTAGACCCCTTAGATTGAGGGTAGAAAAGACGCTCTGGAGGAGCGTCTACCATTGAGGAGACTTCTTGGATAGTTGCAGAGGAGTGGCAGCATCCTCTGTGCACCAAGTATCTCCTTTGGGCCGACGGGGTATAGATCGGCCAGTAAAATGGCCAATCATTTAGCTGCACCAACTGCAAGCCACAAGATCAGCTAAGCAAACTTGAGAACCACCTGTTAGAGGCACCTAGCTAGAATTTGGAATTCTGATCCTGCCTTAGGCACGGATCCTGGCTGAGTCTGGCCTAGTTATTCATGCATGCTCAGCACCAGGAAAAAAAAAAAGGCGAGCAGGGCAAAACCACTTTGCAGATGGTGAGAAAACTGCATGGACTTGTCCGGGCAC